TGGAAAGATAAAAAAGAGTTAGGCATTAAATTAGAACCAATAGAATTGGATAAAATAATATTGGGGTTGGAGGATAAAATGATTAAAAAATTATACCACTATTTGTTAGATCAGGCAATGTACGAGGAACAAGTAAAAGTGACTATGTTGAATTGGAGCAAGGACTTTGGTCTTAATTTTGATTTGCACATCTGGCAAGAACTATGGGCAAGAAACAAGAAGCTTACTTTGGCCACCTCTTACAAAGAGAACCTTACAAAATGTTTTATAGATGGCATCTCCCACCCACAAGATTGGCTAAAATGTGTACCAATGTCTCCCCTAAATGCTGGAAATGTAATTTGACAAGTGGAACATACTATCATATGTGGTGGGAATGCACGCGAGCTCGTGATTTTTGGAACAAGATTAAAGTATGGTTGGAAGAAATATTAGAGCAAGTGGTAGAACCAAAACCAGAACTCTTTCTATTAGGTTTAACTACGCAAAAGCATGACGAAGGCGTACTTTATTTAATGCTACACATTTTAACGGCTTCCAGACTGGTTTTTGCTCAAAATTGGAGGAATAAGGGAACTCCAACGGAAGAAGGGATCCTGCATAAAATTTTACCATGTGCTGAGATAGACAGGCTTACAATGATTATGAAAGACAAGACAGAACACGAATACTTCGAAATCTGGGGCAAATTTTACCATTGGTATGAATTAAGGAGAACTGCTCGGACTTCAAGTTGATAGAATTAAAAATATATATAACTGTACATATAATTGTATATATAATTGTATTGTATAGAAGATGAGGCTTATATAGAGGTTAAGAATGATGTTTTAGCTTTTGTACCATGAGAAACAAACTGATAGGAAAATTCATTCTGGAATGTCATGTTTGTCCATTTTTGTTTTAATTGTATTATGAATAAAAATATTTAAAAAAAAAAGATTTCAAGACTCTTTTAAACCATCAAAACAGGGTATAGATATGTTCTCAAGAGCAGATCCTAGCATACAAGGCTCCCTAAATCCCACCAAATGGAATAGCTTAACAGAGAAGACCTGAATCATGCCTACTCTGTCCAGTCATTACAGTCTAGCAGAAAGTACAAAAGTCAGATAATCCTTTATATAACCACTTCAGCTCATGAAGTAAATTATACCATGTCCATAATCGCCCATGCTGTTGAATTATATATCAAGTGAAGTTTCTGGGTGGCTTTCAAGGACAGCTTTATGTAGGGTGCACTGCAAAATTCCATGTTCAGGTTTACCACAGCATGAGTGGCAGTTTAAAGACACAATTTGTATACATGATGTGTATGTGGAAAGGCGTCCTCAGTCACAGCTGCTACTTGCTTCTCAAGTAGGAGCTGTGTGTCCAGGAAGACTCTCAAATTGCACACCAACTTCATTCAAAACTAGATATGGAACTTCATTCAGAACTAGATATGGAACTTCCTTGGCTCTAGGAGTTCCAAACACAGCCCACTTTCAGGGGCGAACTTGAACCTATTCATTCAGGCCTTTACCTCATTCAAGCATTGCCTGGTCAGTTTCAGGTTGAAATATACATTTGGATAACATCCACATATTGATGATACCTGAACCCAAAATGATGAATGATCTCAACAAATATGAAACAGAATAAGCAAGAACATGGAGCCCTGAGATAAGTCACATACTAGGGTCTAAATTTGTTTCCTTTTCTATGAACACCCAGCAGAACCAAGCACAGCGGAAAAAAGTGAACCAGCTTAATAGCGTAAGTTCTATTCTCCAGAGAAGTATGGTGTGTACCAGAGTATCTAAGACCAATTGGTATGATTCACTTTTAATTATTAAGCTAGCTCTAGTAATACTTCAGCAGTACCAGACATAATCAATTTGTTGTATGTATTTTTTGGTTAGGGACATAAGCTTTTGTATAGGTCCACAATTTAAGTCCAATTCAGTTTTTGCCTGATAATCCATTGGAGCTTCCATCCTCTTATTACTGCTTCCACTGTTATCAGATGGAAACAACTATACTGAAAAATCAAAGACCTTTTAGGAAAAAACAATAATATTCTCCAATAGCTTATGGTTTTTTTCATGCAGTTATATTTTCAATTGTTATAGCATCTTTAGAGTTCATTTGTGGATGTATACCAATGTTGGTTAATTGGGTAGTCAACCAACCAGCTGAAAGCGTTCAATTCTATTTCTATATCATTACTTCCTAGTGTGCTTTTTATAGTAATAGCAACAGCACTTAAAATATACCACTTCATAGTGCTTTACAGCTCTAAGCAGTTTACAGAGTTAGCATATTGCACTCAACAATCTGGATCCTCATTTTACTGACCTCAGAAAGATGGAAGACTGAGTCAATCTTGAGCCAGTCAAAATCAAGCTGCTGGTAGTCAGCAGTGTTAGCCTGAAATACGGCATTCTAACCACTAAACTACTCCAGCTCCTCCTATACCAGGGTTTGGCAACTTTAAACACTCAAAGAGCCACTTGGACCCATTTACCACAGAAAAGAAAACACTGGGAGCCACAAAACCCTTTTGACATCTAAAATTAAGATAACACTGCATATATCATTTTTTACCTTTATGCTATGTATAAAAAAAATATAGTGTGTTGCATTTATGAAATCAATGAACTGCTCTCTTCTTCCCTCCCTCCCCCTCCCTCTCCCCCCTCCTTCCCCCTCCCACCAGCCGCTGCTGCAGTTCACATGCTCTCTCCCTCCTTCCCTCCCTCCCTCTCTCCTTCCCTCTCCCTTCCCTTCTCCCTCCCACCAGCCTCTGCTGCAGTTCACATGCTCCCTTCCTCTCCCTCCCTCCTCCCACCAGCCTTGCCTCAGTTCACATGCTCTCTCTCTCCTCCTCCCTCCCCCTCCCCCACTGCCCGCCAGCACCGCTTGCCCTGGGCCCAGCTGCACGTCCAGGCAGCCTGCTGCCCTGGTGCGCCTTTCTTGGCCGGCGGGCCCTTCTTCTTGGCTTTTGCCTGCTCGCCCAGGCTCAACCCAGCCAGGGTGCTGGATTGCTCCCCGTGACCTACTGCCTCTTCCAGCCTCGGCCACAGCCCGTCAGAGGGCATCTTCCAGGACAGCAGTGACGGTGAGAGCGAGGAGAAGGTGGGAGACGAACTCTCGAGCAGCGCGGAGGACAACTCACTCAGGCTCACACCCTGCGGCTCTGGCCACTCCGACAAGGGGGGCAAGGATCCCTGGGCAGCCGGGTTCTCCCATGGCGGAGTCAAGAGAACCCCCTCCGTCTGGATGTTCTATGTCCAGCAGATCGTGCAAAGCCCTCTGGCAGGCTTTCTGCTGCTGGGTTGCGTGCCTCGTGGTGCAAATGCCAGAGCCGCCTTGCCCGAGATGACTATCAGCCCATTGAGCCCCGAGCCCCGGGAGGCCTCGCAATCTACTGGCCAGCGGAGCAATTGGACTCTTTCCCAGCACCACGAGGTATTTTTTCCCGCCAGCTGAAGTGACCCATGCCAAAACCAGCTGAGAGACGGAATGGCTTTCTGCAGCCAACAGTGCTAAGTGGCTTCGAGGCTGGAGAAGGTGTAAAGCAGCCTCTGCTGAAGCTCTTCGAGCTGCGGAGCTTTGGGTGGTTCCTGAGGAAACGCTCTCCTCCTCCTCACTCAAATCGGCTGCTAGCAGCTTAGGTGGCTCTACTCCGTCCAAGCTGAAGAAAGCGGAGGCCAGCACAAAGCAGCTTTGAGTGAGGAGAAGAGTGTTTCCTCAGGAACCGCACAAAGCTTCGCAGCTATGAGTCTTTCAATCTTTTTCGTAATAGCAATAGCAATAACACATAGACATATACTGCTCCACAGTGCTTTATAGCACTCTCTGAGCAGTTTACAGAGTCAGCATATTGCTCCCAACAATCTGGGTCCTCATTTTAGTGACCTCTGAACGATGGAAGGCTGAATCAACCTTGAGCCAGTTAGAATCGAATGCCTGGCAGAGGGGCAGGGTTAGCCTGCAATACTGCATTCTAACCATTGCACCACCACTGCTCCTTGATCTGTTCAAGACAAGAGTAAAATTTGCTCCTGGGAGGATTCCACAGGATTGAATCCTAAGACTGATTCTTTTTGAGCTACAAACATTTCTGGCCCAAGGTCTGAGTCTCCACAATGCCTTTACAATATCAAATTAAATTTATCCAGCTTTCATCACTCTAGCTAAGCAAGCTCCTTTTTTGTTTAAGACCACATCTATGACAAGATGTGACAAGTGCAGGGAAGGAAAAAAGTTCTACTCATGATTTATATGAGTGTCAAGAACAAAATAATTTAAGACTTGGCTTCCCTCAAAGGGAGAGTCTGACATGAAGGACATTACTGTTGGTCTCAACCTTCACATGCTTTCCTTTATTGGAAGCTAAAATGTGTGTTTGTATATTCCTATGAGCAATGTTAGCAATGATCAGTAAATCAGGTTTTATAATTTGAGTAGAAAAAATATTTATTTCACTGTGTCTGGCTAATTAGAGGGGAAGACTCAAAGACAAGTATTCTTCGCATGTATGCCTGGCAGAAGGAAGCCATCTCAGCTTATTTATTTATATTTATTGTACTATCTACTCAAGCAATCCAAGGAGGTTGAAAAAAATCCATGCAATCCAAGTTTAAAATTATTATTTTTTTAAAAAAAATCCTTTTAAAATCTGGTTGTGGCTTCTAATTCATTCCCCTAAAACCCTAAGGAAAAGGGTGGTCTTCAATGTTGCAATTATCAATCTTTTACAGGCAAAGAAGGAACACCAATATTTTAAAGCAGTTTTTCCAAGTTTTTCCAGCTCGGCAACTTTAAGATGTGTGAACTTCAATTCCCAGAATTCCTTAGCCCAGACATGTTAGTGAATTCTGGGAATAGAAGTCCTCGCGTTTTACAGTGGCCAAAGTTGAGAAACGCTGGTTTAAACTCTCTATCTACACCCTGTGTTTCTTGCCGTTAAAAGGTCACCAAGCGCCGAAGAGTCCGCGCCCGTGGATTTGCACCTCCAATGCGAGATGTTCCCCATCCATCTGAAAAAGGCTGGCCGACAGGGCCTTGGCATTTTACGTTACGAGCCCCGCCTGCCTCAGGCTCTTCCTCCAGAAGCGGAAGCCTAGAGGACGTCGAGGCAATCCCCGCATGGGGTTCCGACCGGAGTCCTCTATCGCCACCTGGCTCTTCAGACCTCCGGTGCCCTGGCAGGTCGCGCCAGGGAGGCAGGCGGAGATGAAACGCACCACCTCCTCCCAGAGGGAGGTAAGGCCGGGAGAGAGGAAGCTGAGCCAGGGCCCGGAACCGCAGACCAGCGCGCTATCGTGGGAGGAGAAGCGCATCATACTCACCTGACAAGTTCCGAGTCGTCGCTGCCAGCGGCAAAATAGCGAAGAGACACGAAAGGCGTAGTCGTTGTCGCGACATGGCTCAACGCGCAGGAGGACCAAGAAACGTTGGGATGAGACGCGCGCCGCGGAGGGGCGCGTTCCAGGGCTCGAGCGCAAGCTCCGACCGCTGCTGGGGGAGGGGGAGGGTCGTAGCCAATGTTGTGCTTGCCGGGAAGTCGGCCTTGCCTCTCATTTCCATTCCACGCCAGGATCGGCGTTAACCCGACAAAGGGAGGCGCCGCGAGGACGCGAGATCCCCGCGAGGGCAGCTATCTCGGCTCACGGTTCTCTCGGGAGTGGCCGCGGTTGGCTGTCCCTGAGGAAGAGGCAAGTAGACTGCAAATGGAACTTGGTCCGTACAGATCTAGAAAATTTTGTGCGAGCTTAATTTAGTTCGCCTCTGGATATAGGTCAGGTCAGAGACGTTGGACATTTGGAAATAGCCAGATTCGGAAGTAGACAGGCGAAATTGCTCTGGTTGGCACGGCCAGGCACAGAAGCAAAGCGGCAAGCGAGGTTGCTGCCGTTTTGAGATCATCAGGCTTGAATGCCACCAAGTACTCTTTTAATCAGCAAACTTTATGGGAGAGATTAGCAATTCAATGTAGGGGTATCAAAATTTCCTACCAGGTTCTGTTGCTGTCCAATGGACTGAATGGCGTGAAGAAGCACTGGCGGAATGATTTCCAGCAGCTCTTTTGCCGGAGGTCCTGTCTTGACAAAGTTGTGCCCATATTCATAATTTAATCTCTGCTTTCCTTTTTCTCCAAAAGTCCCTCCCAACCCCAAAGAAATACCACGAATACTAGTTTATTTTGTTTGGAAATTTATTTTAGGACTGGACCTAGAATTGTTTTAATAATTTCTAAAAAGATAAATTGAATTTTTATTATTTACTGTATATCCTGGTATCAGCTTGCTCAACACACTTGAAGTAGTTGCTGCTTAATGAATATGCAATATGAATGGATAATAATTTATTAAACTCATATCTGCCAGACTCTGGGAAGCTTACAACAATCAAAAATAGACATTTCATAAAAAAATCAATAAAATATAAATAAAAGATAGCAAGCACAATAAATTGGGAGGGTCTGTTTCATCAAAGGGTTAGGTGAAGTCCGAAGTAATAAAGCATTGATTTGTTTATTTATTTATGTTTTGGAACAATAAAACAAAAAATAGTGATCATGATACATTATCAAAGAAGAAAAAACAAGCAATGCTATAACGAAGTGAAAAAATGCAACAAAAAGCATAATATATGTCAATAAATGGTCCCAATTCTATACTTACTTCTCTAATGCAAATATTATTCGAAATGTTTATATGTCTTACACATTCATAAACTTTTAACCTATTTTATTCTGTATAAATGTGTCCCATATTTCATTATACTTGTCCATACACAATCTTCAATAAGCAATTCACTCATGGGGGGCAATTGCAACCAGGTTTTCAGTCCATTGAGTGAAAGGGAACATACATTTATTTTCCCAATGCTGCAATACCAATCTTTTGGTCATAATAAGGGCATGGATAATACATTTATATCATTCAGTTGTCAAATTCCCTGTACTGGTATGTAGTTCAAGAGAATGTTATCTGAAAATTCCAGCTTTTGTAGCAAAATCATACTGACCTAATCCATTCCTTCCTAAGCATGTATGTCATATAACTAACTCTGCTTCATATTTATTTTTCAGGAGTATATTATACATTAATTGCTTCTCAGATAACCATCAATGTTAGCTTGATATTTGTTGCTAATTTTTACTTGCTTGCTCAGAAGAAACTGCCAATTAAGAATAATATCTTGTCCTAGGAAAAAAATAAAGATGACATTTCATTGAATGAGAACAAGAATTTCAGTAAATATAAAAAAGCAGGCATATGTAATGTAGAGATAATAGGAAGGTAGTAAAATCACTCGTAAGCAAATAATACACAACTGATTTCACCTACTTTCTAACAGGTTGACAATGAAAAGCTAGAGAAGGTACAAAGAAATTTTCCTAACAAGTCGCTGAACAACAGCTCATCCCCAAATTATATATGTGCTGTAAATTATTTTAAACCATCTGACTCACAGCCATATTCCTTTATACAAGTAATGTACTTTCATCCTAAAGTAGTAATCTTATAGTGAGATTATTACCTGTAGCTATGAAGACAAAGTTTTCTTAGAGTGGGGAATCTTCATAATTATCAACGCAATACTTTCTTTGGGCTTCACAGGTACAATTGCTGAAGTAATAGTGAGAACATAATTGAGAAGATAAACCAAATGAGTATAAGACTTAAAAATACATTTAGATGCATTGTTTGAAATGGCAAATGAAAATTCCTATGGATTAATGGCCTGTTCTTATTTAACCAATGCTAAACTCAAAATAGATATGCTCATGGGAATGGCAAAAACCTTTTCCTTATAAAATACCTGTATTTCAGTGCATATATTCCATATTGATATTTGGTGGAATGTTCATCTCAAATTCTTACTACTTACTACTACTCAAATTCGTACTTCCTTCAATATAAATATGTAAATAAATAAATGCTCACCGAGAGGGACTTTCGGTTTTGTGTCGTAGCAACACAGCCAAGGGATTGCAGAGCTCCGTACCCCACAGCTGGTTTCACCCTGCCAGGGGACCCTAAATGGGTCTAAAGTCGCCCTGGAGAGGCGACAAAGGCAGGCCCCCCTCCCATTGATCATGGAATGATGGTGGTCGATCCGTTTGATTCAGGGAAAGCCCTCCAACCCGGCAGGAGAAAGGTTAACTGCACTCCGGGGACTAGCCCAAGCTACCAACATCCAAAGTCCAAAAGTACCAACTAAGAACAACTAAACAGCGTGTTTGGAACTGGGTGAGAACATAGATCTCTATTTTGAAACCAGTGGAACAGTTTGCCCCCAGAAATCATGGGCACTCAATTACTGGAGATTTTTAAAAAGGCTAAGATAGTCACTTGTCTGAAATGGTATAGGTTCTCCTGCTTGAGCAGGAGGCTTGACTAGAAGACCTCTAAGGTCCCTTCCAGCTCTATTCTATTTGAAACTGATTAACTGGAAAAAATCCCCAAGAAGTAAAAAAATCCTCCAAAGTGAGAAGGAAGGGGATTATAACCCCACCTTTCCATAGACAGAAGCGGCAAATTAATCTTTATGGGGGACAGAAATATATTGACATGGATTAATGTAAAGCTGTAACCTGGATAAAATTGAAAGCTATGGAAATTGTTAAGATTTTTCATTTGAAAGAATATTGAGAAAAATACAAAAAAAGATGTTTTTGTTTTAAAAGTTGGAAAATAAATAGCTACTGACATCTAGTGGTGGATCAGACTATAGAACTACAGCTGCCCTGCCTCAGAAATTGGCAAGACGTCCAGAAATAGAATACAATTTGTTCCTTTGATCCTCAGTGAATTTTAGCTAAATAGAGAACAGCTGGGAACAGAGGAAAGAAAATACACTGGGCTATCTTTTGCAGAATGAGAAACACAACTGTTATAAAATATGCTGACCTCGGATTATAAATACTTACTGAGCTGTGATATTTAAGTTCAAGAATTGTTTGCAGAGAAAGAAAAACCTTGATTTGTTGGCCCCTTTTCTAGGGGGGAAATTACTGGATTGTTTTTAAGTGGTTGAACATTTTGGACTGTTCACAAAGATAAAAACTATATAAGACTACGGTGTTTGGAACTTAAGACTGGTTGGTTTGATGAAAATGGAATGCATAACCAAAAGTGATAAGAAACCACACTCAATATTCTATTCTAAAATCTCCAGTCTGGAGTAGCAGAAATCTGGAGGAGTAATACTTCAAGACAAGACAAATATCTTCCAGGAGGAAATGCATGCTATGTTGCAATTAATTCAAATGACAATTGTTTCAAATCATGATGAGATTAAAAATAATTTTGATGATATAAATGAGCACATTCTTGACCTAAATTCACAATTAAAAAACTCTCAGAAAATGATGACAAAGAATGGACAAATAATTCAGACAATAGAACAAAAACCAGAGGAAAGTGACACAAATGACACAAAAGTGACACAAATATAAATGGGTGAAACTCCCCCTCAAAAGCGCCTTACTCAACTTGTCTTTCCCATTTTTAACAACACTTATAAAAATACAGGAAGAATCCCTTAGCAAACTGAACATACTGATTTGGAAAGCTGTCTGATAAAAGAAGAAGGTGAGAGCTAGACCCAAGAGAGATGATTTAACCTACCAGATGGAGTACTGCATGACTAAACACTTGTTTGAATATGGTTAAAAGAATAGTTAAATCTTGGATATGAATGAGTTTTATAGCAAGAGAAATAATGATTTATAAATAGTATAGTATCTCTTTATGATATGGGAAATGTAAAAATAATGGGATGAATTAAACAAAATATTTTGGATATTTAAATGTAATCAACTTGGAGAAAATTATAATTGATAAGAAATGTTCTGAATACTGAGGGGAAATTAAACTTAAATAAGAATAGGAGAGAACCAGTCTCGAGAGATGATGTGACCTAACATATGGAGTATTATATGATCAAATACTTGTTTGAATATGATTAAAAGAATAGTTAAATTTCAGACATGAATGGGTTTTATAATAAGAGAGATGTGATTTATAAATAGTATAGTATTTTTAATGATATGGGAAACGTAAAATACTGGGATGATTTAAATGTATGAAATGTTTTGGATATTTAAATATAATCAATTTTGAGAAAATTATAATTGACAAGAAATGTTTTGATTACTGTAGAAAATTAAGCTTAAATAAGAATTCTGAAAACAGGACTTAAAGCGATTTACATAAGATGACTTTTTGCAAACGCAGTTGTAAAATAAGCTGATTAGAAAAGATGCTACATATTGATGTTATTGTTATTCATATAAATATTAGAAAAAAATTATATTCAACTTTATATGTATTAAAAATACTAAGAACTATATTTACTCAATGTTGGTAAAAGGAGAATATTATTGGAAGAAGCGAGGATCAAGGAAAGGTATTTCTAATTAGTATGTTGATTATGAAATCATAGAAATTAATTATTGTTGATTGTTATTAAATATGTGAACCCAAACAACAAGTTGTTTACCAAGTACTAACAATTGTTATTGTAAAAAGTCAATAAAATATATTAAACGAATAAATAAATGCTCACCGCTTTTTCTTTTGCAGAAGGACAATCCATATCACACCACCAAAAATGAGAACAAGTAATAGGATACTTCCCACAGAACCTATTAAAACCAAACAAATATATTTTTCTTTGTTCGGTTATGATTTTCTCTAAAAGGAAAGGTTAAAGAAAGCACTGATTTTATTACAAACTAAGCTGAATAATATATAATTCAGAATAATATTATGAATGAAAAGTTATTTTTTTTCTTTCTCTTATGTCAGGTTGCTTCAACAACTTTGCTATTATCATATGCAGTGCAATACCTTCTTTTCCTTTCTCATTTTCGTTTAACTCCATTATGTATATGTGCTCATCTGACAAAGACAACTAAAGAACAGGGCAGACATTTGACTAGTAGCCACTGGCCTATCTTATCCAGTGTTTATGGAATGCAAGGTCCACAATGCTATGTCTTTCTGCACTCAATGGGAGGTTCTAAAAATTACTTACCAAAACCTAGTGTAGCAAAATTGTAGGAGCCTAAAGAAAGAAGCAAAACAAGAGTTACAATCTGTCAGTGAAAGGGGAAATTAAATTTACCAGCTCTTGAAAATATTTTTGAGAGGCTCTCCAAACAATATAAATTTAAATTCCCTCTCAAATCTTTAGAGCCTTATTTCCAACTTACTTTGTTTACTTGATGTACATGCTGGCACAGGGGCATCCCATCCTATCTGTTGCGCTTGAATAGGAGAAGTATCATTCCTGACATAACCATTTTCACACTCCAGAGTCACCTTAGCACTCATAGTTTCTATTTCTGCTTCCCTGCTATCAGAAAGTGGTGGGAGGGTGCAGCCATCTACTGAAAATCAAAGTTGAAGAAAAGTTCTTAAGACACTTTTTCCAGCAAGGAGCCACACTTGCCTTTACAACTCAAATTGTAGGGGGGTTGCCAGAGATGCAGCAATATCATTCAAAGAGGTAGAGCAAAAATATTTTTTTACTGAAGTTTAAATAAGAATAATAGAAAATAGGACAGTTAATTTATTTTCATCTTAATTTTTACCCACACTTTCACCCTCACTGACAATTTCCTGCCTCCACCTAAATAAGTTTGCTGCCACTAATGACATTAATGCTAATAGATTTTTGGGAGGAGAGAAATTACAATAACTTAACTGTACCCTGGCCATCACAGTTTTAGAGGAAGATAATTTGATTCTCATGCTATCAAAAATTATCTTGGGCAGGAAACAATTGTGTGTATAAGGTTGGGGGCTGCAGTTTTAAACTTAACACCATATTTTTCAAGCAGGACCTGGATCCTAATTAATTATTGTATCACATTCATCATTCATTAACATGCTATGTTTGGAGCCTCGTTCTGAGATATTTACAAATTACATTCAAAAATTCAATACATCTGAAAGGTATTGATTACATTCAAGGAATAATGTCATATTCAAGCAATAATAGCCTGTGGCCTCTGAGATAAAATAATTACTTATAAGGCTCAAAAAAAAAAGCAGAAATTGGCAGATGCTTTTATTCCTTGTACTGATCCAAAAACTCCAGGGAGTGAATTAGTCTTCACACTGACTTGGTCATTAAGTATATATATAAAATTTGTCTAGATGTAATTGATACATAACTTCATATTTCATAGTGTCCCTTATTTAGAAATATGCCATCACATATAAAAAAGATGTCCCTTTGTGATAGAAACCCTGTATCCTCCAGCTGTTGCTGTTATAATTGTATTGTAAGCCTTCCAGCATCACTTTGGATAGTGAGATGGGCAACATATAAATTTAATAAATAAATAAATAATCATTAGCATTCCTTACCAGAGACAGGGCCATGAGAAATATTGAGAAATACAATGATATATAGAAATATAATAAATCACTAAAGAATACAGTTCTTCATCCTGCCTTTCTATTGGAAGCTAAGAAACACACCTTCTCCACTGCAATTTCTGACCTCTGGAAAAGCATCTTTCTGGAGATCTCTTTGGCTCCCACCATTTAATGGTTCCAGAAATCTTTGAATATCTGGCTCTACTCCAAGGCCTAGGGTTAAGGTAGTTGCTAAGTCCTTGGTAGTTGTTTTGTTGATTTTTGAATGTATTGTGCTTTTTATGAATGATCCAATTATTTTTTCTATTTGATTGTTCTCATCCTTGATCACCTGGGAGTCACCTTGTTTGATAGCCTCCATATCTAAAAAAAAATGAAGTAATTAAACCTTCAAAACCACTATGATTTTTTTTTAATGGCTTGGTAACAAATTGTGTGATCGGTTTCCTAAAACAAAAAACAATCATTTGCATGGTTTCCGCACTGCAAAAGAAATATAACTAGCCCTCAACTTATGGATCATAATTTCTGTTGCTAAGGAACGCAGTTATGTTATGTCACACCCAACTTTATGACTTTTTTGCCATGGTTGTTAAGCAAAACACTGCTGTTGTTAAGTGACTCACACAGCCATTAAATGAATTTGGCTTCTCTCATTGACTTTGCTTGTTGGAAGCTGGCTGACCAGGTCACAAATGGCAATCAGATGACCCTGGGATGCTGCAACCATTGTAAATACATGTTGATTGCCAAGTATTTGAATTTTGACCTGGGGATGCTGTGATAGTCATAAATGCGAAAAACGGTTATAACTCTTTTTTTTCAGTGTTATTGTAAATTCAAATGGTTGCTAAACAAATGGTTGTAAGTGAAGGACTACCTTAGTGTCAAGGTGATTAACAAAACAAAATAGCACTAGTAATAGCACTTAGACTTATATACCACACCATAGTGCTTTACAGCCCTCTCTAAGTGGTTTACAGAGTCAGCATATTGCCCCAAACAGTCTGGGTCCTTATTTTACTGACCTCGGAAGGATGGAAGGCTAAGTCAACCTTGAGCCAGTGAGAATCAAACTGCTGAACTGCAGGCAGCCAGCAGTCAGCAGAAGTAGCCTGCAGTACTGCATTCTAACCACTGTGCCACCACAGCTCATTAATGAGCTCAAAAAGTGCTCATTAATTTATAAAAGAATGTTTGTATAAAACACCACTTCTAAGTTTGCTCTTCTGGAAGAAACAAAAGTTCAGTGGGACAACACAGGTCTTGCTTGTATATTGTCACAATGCATTTTCAAGAGACACAGTGACAAAGCTCTTGATTCCTTGGCACATGTATTTCTCTCAGATGCTGCTAGTTTCAGTTACTGAGGTCTAGGCAGTGCAGCTCTTACTGTGGGAAGCACCCCACATGCTTGACACCAGATGTCACTTAACACTATTGAAGTACAAGTTTAATAACTAACTCTCACATACATTCTCCACTTTTACACTGAGGGACAGGTTGATCCCATGTTCCAGAAGTCTGGCAGTAAATGGTTGGTGCTCCAATAAGAGAAAAGCCTGGATCACAATGATAAGTCACAGAGGAGCCATAGGGGAAATCTTCCAAAGTAACATTGTCTCGTTTGCTATGGGCAATACTTTGTGGTGCAAGGCAACCTACAGAAAGAAGTGATGCAACTGTATTACCACAATGTCGATTTACCTCTCAAATTCCACCCAAATTATTACATTCAGATTGGCTGTGATACACCTATCATAGACCTTCAATAAATAATGCTATAAAAGTCATTAGCATGACAGTATGCACAGTCCAATTATAGTACTCTTTTTCATCTGGCTTCAAGCACCCATCCCTGACAAGCCACCCCAATCCCTGTGAAAGGTAGCAGAGAAGACTGAGCCTCTGATTTGCAAAATACAAGCAATAAAGGACCTTGGCATCTGGGGGCTTCACTCCACTTTACAGAGTTTGAGCTGTTCCAAATACATGTAACACTGTAGTTTCCAATGCAGGAATAGCCGGCATCACAAATATAGATTACTGATTTCCCATATGTGAAGTCCTCACCAACATGCTTCCCATGGATGATTTTCGGGGGTGGGAGACAATGCATAACTACAAAAGATCAAAGAATGGTAAGTACCTTCATTTGAGATCTGCCAAAAGCTGTAATTGATCAAACATCATCCCACTAAGAAAATAGCTGTTGTGACAGATGTGATGCATGTATTCTCCAGAAACAAACTTTGGTAATTCTGCTTATGTTAGTCACCTTTTGAACAAATTGAGAATGACAATGCATTCTTATTTGAGAGCTATCTTTTTCTCAAATCAAACCAAGAGAGTTGCCTTCCAACAACCCCAGAATTGAATTACATAATTCAAAATGGTTTCAAAGTGTGCTTGAAATACAATAAATTGAAGGAAAAGACTGGTATGTGCAATACAAAGTAATGATATTCTATGTTAGCCCAAATATGTTGCAGTTTTTATTACTTTCACAGGATGGCACAGGAAGGCTCCAGGTTCCAGAAGGTCCACAGGAAATAGATGCCTTTCCAACAAGCAAATAGCCTGGATCACAAGAATAGGTTACAGCCATTTCAGAAGTAAACATTTGCAAAGCCAAACCATCATGTTTTCCATTGGCTATGCTTGGAGGAAAGGGACACTGTGATTCTAAAAGAAAAAAAAAATGAAGTCAGAGGACAGTGTTCAGAATTCCATTTTGATGTGATACTTAGTAGAAAGCTGCAATTAAAGGCCATTTACTACAAGTTGATCCCTTCATTTTTCTAAGGGCATTAGACACCTTGTGTGATCTCCTCTACTCTAATTTTTTTTCCCATTATTGCAGAGCCCAATAAAATAGGTTAGATATGTCTTAAGCCATGTTTGTTGAATAGAGTGGTTTACCTATAATATTAAGCCACAGAACCTAGTCACAGAACCTCAACTCTTTTTGAGTTCACTAATACACAAAGTCAGAACAAACAAACCACATTTTGGACTTAATGCAATTAGGAAACCCTGGCAATATCTCATTTAGAGTAAGTTAGTGAGGCTCATGATTGAGTAGATTCTTTAACCTATATTGCATATCCAAATTCAATCCCAAAGGCCGCTTTTTATGCTATGAAGCTTTATGTTACCAGCAGCAATTAATAAAAAAAAAATTACTTTCACAATGAGGGGCAGGAAAGGTCCATGTGCCAGAGTCTGTGCAATGAATAGTAGCATCTCCAATTAGAGTATAGCCAAAGTTGCATGTATATTTCACACACATTCCTCTTTTGAATACCATTACTTCCTGGTTGCTGTGAACTCCATTCTGGATATCTGGAGGTGACTTGCATTCAATCTCTGAAAAGGTATAAAAGCACTATTGATTTTCAAAGAGTAAAAGCAGTCAAGGAAAGAAGATAATGAAACCTGAAGAAATTTTCCCAAATGCTAATCCTTTAGAATTCAGGGGTAGGCAACCTTGACTCTTTTATGACTCATGGACTTCAGCTCCCAGAATCAGCTATGCTAAGCTGACTGAGGAATTCTGGGAGTTGAAGTCCATGAGTCATAAACAAATTGAGTTTGCCTACCCCTGCTTTAGATAAATATATGGTTTCCTCTTCCACTTAGCGCATTGCGTCCTGCTCATTATTATCTTTATCTTTTCCTATTAGTTTTCATAGTTTAGGGTTGATGAGTATTAAATTGTCCTGTCCCTCTTTACCTCCTCTGACTAGTGGTGAAATTGATCATCACAAGCATAAAAGTAAATGGTGTTTATGGAGGCCCCATACTGTACATTAATTGCTATATGTTCAGTAATGGGCCAAGTAGCTTAAATTTTCCAGCCTATTTGCAGTACTTTAGATTGTGTTTCCTAAATGATATAATGTTTCTAATTAATATAATGCATTTTCATATTCAATAAATGTTTTAATACCACTTTGTCAATAGTTGAATAATAAAAAAAATTATTAAGATACAACTTGTTCTCTTGGCTGCAACAATTGTGAACCTATTGTTCTCTCAACACAGTGAGAGAAGGAAAATGTAATGCTTAGGTCAAACAGAATAAAACAGAGCTCTGAAAATTATTTTTTTAAAAATGGAAAATCTTACCCTGTTCACAGACAGGAATGGGGGGATCCCACGTACCATCCACCTGGCAATGGATCTCTCTGGAACCAACCATCTTGTGGCCCCCAATGCATTCAATGCTAACCTTCTGGTTATATTTGTAAGAGCTGAAAATACCAGCCACAATCCTTCCATTCTTAATCTGAGGAGATGGACACTGTGTCACTGAAAAATAAAACATGTATCAGAAACACAAAGGGAGAAAAAATTGGAATCACTCTGCGGAAGGGACAGGCCTGATTGATTCAGTTTATACACCTGAGGGATAGAAGTAACTGGTTTGTCCATAGATTTTCTTATAAACATTATAGCTCAATTAGCATTTAGGGCTATGCTGTAATATAACTTGCTTGCAGCTGGATATAATGTTGCCTAAGGGTGAAGTACTCTTTTAGGTTTCATTATCTTCAATATGACTTGCATCACTTTATCTGTCTTCTATAGTTTCTGTTTTAGAATATCGACATTCATAAACCTTTTCTAACAATTATCCTAGGCTAGATCTGCATTTTGAGTGCTGCTTACTCTGGCAATAAGGAAGGTCACCTGTCCATGCTACTGTTTTACCGAACAATGCACAGCTTCTGGAAGACTTTCCAATCAGCCTATACCTATAGCAAGACAAAAGAAACAGCATATAATCATTTTATTTTTTTGTATAAGAATGCAGACTTTAGATGGTTGGAATCAAATGGACATTCTACATCCCTTTGTTTAATTCAAAATGAGCTGTTTAGAGTTGTCTCAGTTCCGAGGTGATCTTCAGGTCTGAATAAAATGCAGGAATAAATATGTCTAAGTCTTTTAGTATTCATTCATCCCATGCTTTTTTATTCATGTGGTGTCAATAGATATTTATATGCATTCATGTGTAGACAGACAGCATATGTGTTATGTGTAGAGACAGATTGCTAGATAGCAAAATAGCAACGTGCAGGAGACATTAGTTTTCATGACTGCTAAGTCTTATTTTGGCAAAAGTCTTATATATTTATAATCATACAATAGAAACAGAAATTTCCTACTGGTTTTTTTCTAGAGAAAATATATAGAAGGAGGAATCTGTTTAACTCTGCTGTTCAATGATACAATCTTTGAACCTGACAGTGGTCCTTCCTTTTCATTCTGCTTAGTCTAATTTTTGCTTATGATTTTGTTTTTAGCAAACTTAGATTGAAAGAGAAAGATGCAAAAGATGCAACAGCAGGCTAAGGCCTCCCAACCTGGCCAGGACAGGCTTCCCTGGATGTTGGCTCAGACCACAAGAGCCAGTTCTAGGGACTTTGGGGAAGGATGCAGAGAAGCATAGGGAAGGCGCAGGAGACGCCATGCCAGGAGTGGATGGGCAAGAGAAGGAGAGGTCAGGAACATTGGAAGGGCTGGTGGGGTAGTGACTGAATGAGGGCCTGGCTGAAGAGGAAAGAGAAGTGACACAGCTGAGCTGGGAAGCATGGATGATCAGCCAGAGGTACAGGGTGAAGAAGAGGCATAATTGTACCTGGTTAGAGGAGACAAGAAGGAATTGCCTCCCTGCCAGATCCCAGGGCACATAGAGCCAAGCAGATGAAGGCACATGGAAATTAGGTGAGGCTACTCATGAGGAGGCTGCCTTGTCTCTCCTAATGAGTTGCTCCAGCTGGTGACCACTTAGTCTGATACCTGGAACAAAGCGGTGTTGGAGACAACCATTCACTTCCCTGCCATGTATGTGCTCTAACGTAGTGTTTCCTGATTCTGGACCTGTGCCTTGTTTCCTTTCTGACCTCATTTTTGAACTTTGGATTTCATGCCTGGGTTTTGGACTTGGATTTTGGATACCATGCCTGGACTTGAGGCTTGGGCCTAGATTTTGGACTTCATGTGTGGCTTTGCAGACTTATGCCTTGACTTCAGACTTTGTATTTCATGGTTAAGCTTTGTGGACTCTGGTTTATTGGGCCTTAGTGGAGGGCCATTTGCTGACAAGCCTCTGCTAGTGGCACCTGAAGAACAACAGTGGGGGCTTGCAGTGTTTCAACAAAATGTTAAAAACTCCTTGGCATGTGTGTGCATGCCTCTTCCTCATTGAGGTACAGGCCCTGCCCAATGACTGGTGAGGAAAATGAAATTTCCTACACCCCACCCAAAAGAGTTCTCATCAGACAATTTCAGGTTACACTATTCAAAGGAGGAAGAAAGAAACAGGAAGAATCTCATCATTGGAAATTGTGCTGGATTCCTTGAAACTTACCCTTCCTCACATTGATAATTTACAGTGGAACCAAAGTGAAAATCTCCTGTTACAAGCAATCTGCCACCCTTTGGTTCTCCTGGATGTCCACATGATTTTCCTAGTAGAAAACAGAGAGATTCTACTTTTCCATGTTATGTTTTGGGTAACACAAAATGTATAACACTGATTCAAAGTTTCTGTCTGTATTTAGCAACACTCTCAAAGGTTAAGACTTTGATACACTCTGAAAGGGTATCCATCCTATCGTATAGTTTGATCAGAGTAAAGGAAGACTCATTTTGACAGAATTTATGAATTTGTGACCAAATCTTATTCCTAATGCATGTCATTGTGGTTTTCAGTTCAGGATTCCTAACATAACCAGGATGACATATATATTTCACAACTGAATCCAGAAGAAACAACTTATTTTTTTATTATTCATCTGCAATCTCTGCCCAATCTAACTGAATGGGAAGGCCACAGGTGCCTCCAAAACAAAAAAACAAACAAATTTAAAATAGTCAGCTATAATTAGTATTATTAATACTATTAGCATTATCACTGAACATACTATTGCCATGTTCAATTTGATAGATAGGGAAACTTCGATTATTCCTAATTCTACCTGATTACCTACACTAATTTTCTATAACTTTCTCAATTTTAATTACAGAACACTATTAATTAGAGAACAGTCAATCAAAGATAAAAAGAGTAGAATTTCTTTATATTCTTCCCTACCAAAAATAGTTAACAAGGTACATATATTTTGAAAATCTAAACACTTTAGAAAGGGGAAAACAGTATCTTCCTCTTACATCAATTACACTGCAGGGTTTAAAAATACCAATAATTGATGGCATTTCCTATTTAGTTTTATACTAGTTTTATAATTTAGTTTTATACTAATCTTTCATCAAGAATGTAGAACTCAAAATCATGACTCTCCTTGATTTATAAATCCAGAATTTCTTTATCATAATTTGCATTGGGTCTGAACACAAAATTCTGATATAATCTTGGTTTTGTTGCATTGTACGTTTATCCCAAATATGGACATGAGAATGAGTAAAACAGATCAAGAATGGGTATTTTTCACAGTCTGCAAGGTTAGTAGGCTTATTCATCAAACCTTGTCTTGAAGAACTCAAGGCTTATTATTAATTGAGTACATATGCTTTTATTGTTTCATTTAAAAAAAACCCTAAATGTGTGCTTTTCAAAAACTAAATTCACACTAATATCACATCAGTCCCAATAAAAGATTTCCAAACTATTCATAGCTCTCTGCAACTATTCCCACATGAACACTAGAGATGGGGAGAGCAGCACCATGATCCCCCCCCCCAAAGGAATAGCCCAGGAAAGGACTTTTTGTCAGCAATTATTCCTTTTCCAGACCCCTTCAGTGAAGCTTCAAATCACCAGTCATAAAATGTTGGACTCTAGCCTAAATATTGCTAGTTCTGACACCACAGCAGCTTTTGAAGAAAGTTAAGGATTTCTTTCGAAACATTTCATTCAGTAAATAAGTGGAAACCCATATGAAGAGTGATCCTCTGTTTCTGGATCTCATTCCTTCAAGAGCTTACAGAAAAAAATGTTGTGGTCACAAAAGGTACCTTTACAGTTAGGAGCAGGAGAAGACCATCTGCCAGCATTTGTGCAATGAAGAGTTGCCGCTCCAATCAGAACGTAGCCAGGATTGCATATGTATTTCACAAGTATTCCACTGGGAAATATTCCTGTTTCCTGGTTGCTGCGAATCCCATTTTGAATGTCTGGAGGTGTTGGGCATTGCCTTCCTAAAAGAAGAAGAGAGAAGATTGGGAAGAAAATCAAATTAAGAATAGACTCTGAGATGATGCATCAGGGGAAAAAGTAAGATACTAGTTGTTCTCTAGGCCCAACTGCAAGCACCATAGTTTCCACTGACTGAGAATGAAGGAAATTGGAATGCACAGTCAAAAAAGAACAGAAGTTTAATATTGTTCAAAAAATAGAAAATCCAGATTCATCCTTACCAGGTTCACAGACAGGAATGGGGGGATTCCATGTACCATCCATTTGGCAATAGATCACTTTGGAGCCAACTATATTGTGGCCACCAATGCACTCAAAGCTAACTTTCTGGTTATATTTGTAGGTGCTGGAAACTCCAGCCACAATCCTTCCATTCTTGATCTGAGGAGATGGACACTGTGGCACTGAAAAATGAAACATATATCAGAAGCACATAAGGAGAAAAACTGGAATCGCTCTGTAAAAGTGTCAGGCCTGATTAGTTCAGTTTGAGTAGCTAAGGAATAGAGGTAATTAGTTTGTCAATGTGAGGTGCCCAAGGAAATGTTTGAAGAAATCATCTTAAATGTTTCTGGTTAGCATCTGATAGTCCTTGCTTGAGAAGGAACCCAAGAACCAAGGATTGGAGCAGGAAAACTCACCTCCACAATAAGCACGGCCACTCCATTCTCCGTTTATCCCATCCTTAGATGTACAGTAAATGGAGGCATTTCCGGTAAGGGGGTAGCCTTTATCACAAGTATAACTTACAGCTGTCCCATAGTAGAACTCTTTCAAATTCATTCCACTGTGCTTGCCATGGGGAATATTTGGTGGTGATGAACACAAGATAGCTAGAAAAAGGTAAAGGTTGTGTTATAAAAATAAATGAACTCCATTTTCCTTATCAGAGAGTGGATATAAACCCTGGAACATTTATAATATTCATGTCTCTGATGTAATATGTTGTTAAAAAGAATGGTCAAAGTTAAAACACGTATGCTATTTCAAGCATCATTATCTGCTGTGGCAGTTGCAGCTGTAAATAGAAAAACTACCATGGAGTCAGTAATTTGCCTTTTTTAAGGCTTTTACAAGTAATTGATATTAGGGGTCTTAGTACTCTTCTTTTAAAAACAGTGTATAACTATCTCTGACATGTTAATTTTTCACACTGATTCTTTGATGTTGTTTCAGGGACATACAGAAAAAGGATTTTTTTAAAAAAAGAAGTCAGACCATTTTCACTCAGCTGAAACTTTGGTAAGCTTGGACTAGAAAAAAATACACCTAAAGGACAGATGATAAGAAAGTTTTATTTGGGCAGAATCAATATGGGGAAAAATTCATTGTTGAAATTAAATATTGATAGTTATCAAAACTGAAAACTAATAAAGGTTACAATAGAAGACAAAATTTGTAGGTTGGCAATGAATTGTGGGATCTTTGGTGCTCTCGAAGGTTGATGTTTTGTTTTCATTAGTAAACTACATAACATCATCAGTTCTAAGTTTAAAAAAAAAAATCATCATGACCTCTGGGCTTCAGGCATGTTTGATTGGCTGATGTCATTTAACAAGAGTGTTGTGGTATAAGCATTTTCTCTTTTTTGGGATATCTGAATTGAACTTTAATTGATGTTGGGATGTTGACATGCAAATAGAAGAAATTACTGCCTGGAGGAAATGAATATTTGGGTTTTGTTGAATTCTGATTATTTTCTGTTTGTCACTGAAGATCACATCTGCACTACAGTTGGATCACAGTCTGGTCAGTTCTCAGTCTCCTCCCTACTGCAACCCTCAAATTCATTACTAGGAGATAGGAGATATTAAAAATGGATGGTCCCCATGTGACCAAGGCATCTACTGTTCACAGCCATGGACATCTACTCCTATGGCAGTGGTTCTCAACCTTTTTAATGCCGCGACCCCCCCCCAACCGGTCGTAAATTGAGGACTACTCAACCGGTCGTAAGTCGAGGACTACTCAAGTGGTGCAGCACCGTTTGCAGAATGGGACTTTTTGCGGGCTCAGCAGGGCAGAGACAGCCTGGACAATTCCTATTGGCTTTTGAAAGCCAATAGAATTAGACTCTATTCAAGAGAGTCTATTCTATTGGCTTTCAAAAGCCAATAGAATAAAAGGGAGTAGCACAGCTAAGGAAAAGGGGAAAAAAATGGCGGACTGCGTTGTTTGGCGACCCCCGTGAAATGGTCGTTCGACCCCAAATGGGGTCCCGACCCACAGGTTGAGAACCACTGTCCTATGGCATTTTAGATGAACCATTGTTACCAAAATAACTTATGTTATTTTCTTTGAGAGTATGACACTAAAAGAACATAAAAAAAGAGGTGGGAAGTGGTACAGTTGGAACATTCAGGATTTTGCTGGACTCCCAGATTCCCATCAGATCCAGATATCCTTGGGAATGGCATTAGGTAATGGGAACTGTTTTTGAACAATATACAATATGGAGATCCACAGGCTTCCCAACACTATGCTGGAGGCTCTGAAATGTTCTGATTTTTCTGTGGACAATAAATCACTCAGTGCCCATTAGTGCAGTATATGAAAGTATCAATTAACATACAATTTGAATAATATATGCATCCATCAATCAAAAATCCATATGTTTTAAGTCATATCTCTCTTTTCCCAGACTCCAGGGAAAATCACATAGATATGATAAGCCGCTACAAAATCCCCAAAAAAATGGATTCAAGCAAATAATGTGACTTTTAGATGTAATTGCAAAAATATGTTCAATTCTTTAGCATTTTCAAGATTAATTATTGCAACACAATTGTGTTCATGACAGTTTATACTGCACTGAAAATGATAAAATGAAGCTGCCACAAATTTTCTAGTTAATAACAATATTATTTTATTTATGTTATTTAATCAGTTCCTAATGGGATAGAAAGTTAGTAAAAATTATTTTGTGCACATGTTCTTTAAATCAAAAGATGAAATCTCTGAATTTGTATATACAAAAATTATACATACATACTGTTAAGTCCTTCGCGAAATGGCAATGACACGAGAAGCAGTTGTAGTTCTCAGGAACTCTTTATTTCTGTTCAGCATACTGGTTACAAGACGCCGACAACGCCCAAATCTCCCTGCCTCTTTTATAGGCGATTCCCGGGCTAAATTGCAACATTTGGTGCGCTAGCACCCGCGCATGCGCGCAAGTGCTGGCGACAACCAGTCTGCTCCCGGGCAGCTTGCAACTGCCCAGGACCGTTGCAATGCCCCGAGCCTGCTTCCACAGGCTCAGGACATAACACATACGTACATACATACATACATACATACATACATACATACATATATATATATATGAAACACAATTAAGGTTATTTTATAATAATGTAGAAGAGCATATTGTACCTTGAATTACACTTTGCTTGCACTGCTGTGCTCTAATATCAGACTCATCAATTTGAATAGAGTCTGCACATGAGACATTAATGGTAGGTTAGACCCCATTTTTGATAGTGATATCACCAACTCTGATGAACACGCTTCATATCCACAACTAAAACTTTTATTCTGAACTTTGGCATTCTCCAGATTAATAGCATTTTAGCTTTCCAAATTTCCAGACATGCTTGTTCATTGAAGTACATGATATCAGACATGATTTTGAAAAGAGGTCACATTGGAATCATTATTTAGCTAAATAAATATGATTGTATGCTCTACTTACGCTGACATTCAGGAAAGCTGTCATTCCATTTTACTTTTTTTTCATGCAAGACACATTGTATGGAAGACTGTCCAATCAAAATGTACCTGCATTAAAACAGAAACTACTATGGAATGGCCATTTATTTTTCCTGGGTTCAATTTCCTTTCAGCCATTCCCAGAAATGCCAGTGGAAAAGAATAGAAGAATTACAACTCAGCAACTCCTAGAAGACCATGTGCTAACAACACTGCATATAAATACTATAGTGAAAATCTATTACCAATACTTACAAAGAACAAACAATGAATGTGCATATTGAAGAATTATTACAGGAAAGCATATCTCTTGCAGTCTTCACTTATAATATTCTGCCTTTCAAACCCAATCTTGTTTGGGCAAGCAATCTAGGCCTCTAATCTAAAATATCAACACATAAATATAGGTAGTCCTTGACTTACGACCACAATTGAGCCCAAAATTTCTGTTGCAAAGCTAGACAGTTATTAAGTGAGTTTTACTCCATTTTACAACAACAACAACAACAATAAAGTTGGAAGGAATCTTGGAGGTCATCTAGTCCAACCCCTGCTCAGGCAGAAAACCCTATACCATTTCAGACAAATGGTTGTCCAAACTCTTTTAATAAACTTCTAGTATTGGAGTGTTCACAACTTCTGGAGGCAAGTTGTTCCACTGATCAATTGTTCTAACTGTCAGGAAATTTCTCCTTAGTGCTATGTTGCTTCTCTCCTTGATTAGTTTCTATCCATTGCTTCTTGTCCTGCCTTAAGGCACCTTGGAAAATAGCTTGACTCCCTCTTCTTTGTGGCAACCCCTGAGATATTGGAATACTGCTATCATGTAACCCCTAGTCCTTCTCTTCGATAAACTAGACATACCCAATTCCAGCAACCGTTCCTTATATGTTTTAGCCTCCAGTCCCCTTATCATCTTTGTTGCTCTTCTCTGTACTCTTTCTAGAGTCTCAACATCTTTTTTACATTGTGGTGACCAAAACTGGATGCAGTATTCCAAGTGTGGCCTTACCAAGTCATGGTAAAGTGGTATTAACACTTCACATGATCTTGATTCTATCCCTCTGTTAATGCCTGTGTTGGCTTTTTTGGCAGCTGCAGCACACTGCTGGCTCATATTTAACTGATTGTCTACTTAAATTCTTGCCACAGTTGTTAAGTAAATCACTGCTGTTGTTAAGTTAGTAACAGGGTTAAGTGAAACCAGCTTCTTCATTGATTTGTTTGGCAGAAGATCACAAAAGATAATCACTTAACCCCAGGACACCGCAGCCATCATAAATAGAAAACAGTTGCCAAGCATCCAAATTTTGATTACACGACTATGGGGATGCTGCAACACTTGTGTGAAAAACAGTCATAAGTCACTTTCTTCAGTGCTGTTATAATTTCAAAAAAAGTTACAAATGGATGGTTGTAAGCCAAAGACCACCTGCAATAAAAAAACTACTTACATTAATCACATCTAATAGGGATGAGAAATAAATTGGAGAAATGAATCAGTAGATTTGTGACATGATTTCACTGTAAGTGCAATCCTATCTGCCTGTATTAAGTTCTACAAAAGTCTGTAATGATCCTCAGGGTGAAAGTATGCAACTTGCAACACTTTCAGTGGGTTCATGCTTTGCACCAAGCCATAGTCTATTGAACAAACCACTTGGGCAATACACTATGGCCAATGCAAACCATATTTTGGCTATTTCCTCCTATTTGTCTCACTACAAGCTTTTGTTTTGTTCATTCAGCTTTTATATATAAGCAGAGAAGCACCACCTTGTTCTTCATCATAGCAACACTTTTTGAACTAGGATAATAGTATGCATGTGCATACAGAAGCATATAAAAAGGCACCAAATTCTTTGTCTGATGCACAAATCTACTTTGGAAATATGTCTGCTCAGTTGACCATAATAATATTCATCTTGGAAACTCATCCTAGCTCAAAATCCATTCTTCTGAAAAATCAGGATATAAATTTCCATCCACCAGTCTTATTGCAAAATACATGAAAACAATACGAGTTTTGTGTATACCTACCCTTCCTCACAAATATAACTTAATGTAGAACCAAACAGAAAATCTCCTGATACAATAAGCCTACCATTTTCTGGTTCTCCTGGATGGCCACATGATTTTTCTAGAAAAGAAAAGAAAAGTTGTATCTTTCTTATGCCAAGACCTTAACTTTACAACTATATATCATATGAATATTTCACAAGACATTCAAAAAATGAAGAATATTTGCACCTATTTTAAAAATATATAAAAAGAAACTCACTTTTACAAAATTCTTGAACTTCTGACCACACTTGATTCCTGATACATATAGAGGAGGCATTCATTCGAGGGTGCTTAACATAACCTGGGTTGCATTTGTATTGCACCAATGACCCAACGGGAAAGGAATTCATTTTCTGGTACTCATCAGTGAGCTCTGCAAAGTCTAACCTAATGGGGGTGGCACAGTTACCTCCTGATTTAAAAAAAGGAGAAAAAAAAATGAAGTCAGTGTTTATTGTTAGATTTTATGGTTCAACTTCTGAATAAATTCCTTCACTTAAAAAAAAATACTTCAGCACTTCAAGAGCCAATATACAAAATGCTGTGGTCATGAAATGTACCTTCACAATTAGGGGCAGAAGAAGACCATGTGCCATTATCCATACATTGTATAGTTGCCTCTCCAATCAGAGCGTAGCCTGGGTTGCATGTATATTTCACAATCATTCCACTGGGGAATATTGCTGTTTCCTGGTTGCTGCGAGTCCCATTTTGAATGTCTGGGGGTGTCTGGCATTGCACCACTAGAAGAAAAAGGGAGAAAATTGGGAAGAAAAAGGGATTAAGAACATACTTTGGGCTGATACATTTCTTTCAAGATTGAGAAGTTTTCCCTCAAAAAATGATTGTGAAATGTTCCAAAGCATCCTTTCAATTTGGTAGTCCCCCTGGATTCATGACTCCTGCTTAATGAACAAGTGGCAGCTGCAGCTAAGAGGGCCTTTGCATAACTTCATTTTGTGTGCAAATTGTGCCCATTCCCAGATTGAGGGACCCTACTCATGGTCATCTCCTGGTTGTATTAGTGCAATGTACTCTAGCTGGGGCTATCCTTGAAGACTATCCAGAAACTTCAGCTAGTACAAAATGAAGCAACGTAAGCAGTTATGAATGTTCCCGTAGAGCACACATTATACCTCTGCTTTGCAAGGTGCATTGGTTAATAGTTTGCTTCTGGTTCTAATTTAAGGTGCTGGTTTTCATGTTGAAAGTCCTTCATGGAATAGGGGTGCTTGAGAAACTCTTTCTCCCCAAATCCATCTGCCCATCCCATCAGATCCAGTATGTTATGGATTCTGTTGGCCAGGGAGCTACATTTGGCAGCCCTGAGGCAGTGGGCCTTTTCTGCTGTGATGAATCTTCTTCCCAACTCAGGTGAGATTTGAGCTTCTGAAGATCCCTTAAGATCTGATTATGCCAGCAGACCTGGCACCCCCGGAGAATAGGAGAACTAATATGTTCCATTATTATTAAAATCCCTTTGTATGCTACTTCTTTGTTCTTGCTCTGTTTTTATAGTCTTTTTATGGTTTTATAATGGTATTCAGGTTTTTATTGGGTGCTTAGTTTTGTTGTATGCTGCCCAGAGTTACTTGTTTGGTGAATGAATAAAAAAATAGAGTGAATGGGCATCAACATTCTGTTCTCAAAATAGCATGCTATTAATTAATAAGAAAACGCTCAGGAAAGGCTTTTTTCAAATTTAGTGTTCATAGAAGAAACTGGCAAGCATGGGGATGGGAGGGAGACAGGATGGGAATTAATTAAGTTTTCTAATGAGAGGCATTGATGAAATCCGGCTTCACTACATGTCACTGACAGATGGATGCTGGAAAATACCACATGTCATGTTGGCACTGAATTGTATGATTGCCTTTTAAAGTATAGCCAAAATCACATTCAAAGATAATTGTTAATATGGGTTGATAAACTTCTTTGGATCTAATAATTACCTGGATTCATACAACATAGAACTGAAAATGAAAGAGCAGTAGTAAAACTTAGTCTAGCTCTAGGTAAATAATGGCCTCCTTAAGAACTGATGGCACTCTTTCTTTTTAGGGAACATAATTTCCAAACATTCCTCTTCCAGCATGAAGAACCATATCTTTGATTTGAAAATATAATCTGCTGAACAGATGATAAACTTAGTAAAAAGAGACTTTCACCTGCTTGTTGATGGATAAGAACTCCCAAGCAACTAAGGAATAGCTGCAAACACAAAGGCTGCTAAAGAAATGAATGCAGTAGAACATGAAGAACATGTCACCCAAATATACTAATGGTCCTTTCTTCCTCTTCTAGCCACCCAACGTATCCCTTGACAACTAAAGTCAGACAGGATATTGCCTACAGCACACTATTATCCTTATTTTATCTTAGTAGAGGAAGCAATGTGTATGGAAGGAGAGTATTAAATTATCCTGTCTCCCTTCCCTTCTTCTGACTAGCAATGAAATTTATCTCAGGGGTATAAAAATAAAAACAATCTGCCTCACCAATATTGTACATTAATTCCTGTGCAGTTTGCTAATAGGCTAGGTGACTTTAATTTCTAAAACTATTTATAGTGCTTCAGACTATATGTGATTTTCTCAGGCAGGATGAAACAAACTAAATCTGTGATTTTTCCAAAGTTAAATTCACACATCAGTCCCAATAAAATATTCCAAAACTATTCACAGCTCACTGCAACTATTCCCAGGTGAACATTAGGGATCCCCCAAAAGGAATGGTTGCTAGGAAAGAGTTTTTTCCTCAGGAGTTAATACCTTTTCAGTGTTTCTTCAGTGAAACCTCAGAAATAGTTAGAAAATTCTAGACTCTATCTAAATTTTGCTAGTTCTAGTGCTTCAGTAGTTTTTAAAGCAGCCTTCAGATAGGAATTTCTTTAGAAACATTTCATTCAGTAATGAAGTGGGAATCCACCTGAAGAGTGATCCTTTGTTTCTGGACCTTCTTCAAGAGCTTACAGAAAAAATGTTGTGGTCACAAAAGGTACCTTCACAGTTAGGAGCAGGAGAAGACCATCTGCCAGCATTTGTGCAATGAAGAGTTACCGCTCCAATCAGAACATAGCCAGGATTGCATGTGTATTTCACAAGCATTCCACTGGGAAATACTCCTGTTTCCTGGTTGCTGCAAATCCCATTTTGAATGCCTGGAGGTGGTGGGCATTGCCTCCCTAAAAGAAGAAGAGAGAAGATTGGGAAGAAAATCAAATTAAGAATAGACTCTAGGATGATATATCAGGGAAAAAGTAAGATACTAGTTATTCTCTAGGCCCAACTGCAAGCACCATAGTTTCCACTGACTGAGAATGAAGGAAATTGGAATGCACAGTCAAAAAAGAACAGAAGTTTAATATTGTTCAAAAAATAGAAAATCCAGATTCATCCTTACCAGGTTCACAGACAGGAATGGGGGGATTCCATGTACCATCCATTTGGCAATAGATCACTTTGGAACCAACCATATTGTGGCCCCCAATGCACTCAAAGCTAACTTTCTGGTTATATTTGTAGGTGCTGGAAACTTCAGCCACAATCCTTCCATTCTTGATCTGAGGAGATGGACACTGTGGTACTGAAAAATGAAACATATATCAGAAGCACATTAGGAGGAAAACTGGAATCGCTCTGTAAAAGTGTCAGGCCTGATTAGTTCAATTTGGATAGCTAAGGAATAGAGGTAATTAGTTTGTCAGTGTGAGATGCCCAACGAAATGTTTGAAGAAATCATCTTAAATGTTTCTGGTTAGTAGCTGATAGTCCTTGCTTGAGAAGGAACCCAAGAACCAAGGATTGGAGCAGGAAAACTCACCTCCACAATAAGCACGGCCACTCCATTCTCCGTTTATCCCATCCTTAGATGTACAGTAAATGGAGGCATTTCCAGTAAGGGGGTAGCCTTTATCACAAGTATAACTTACAGCTGTCCCATAGTAGAACTCTTTCAAATACATTCCACTGTGCTTGCCATGGGGAATATTTGGTGGTGGCAAACATGGAATAACTAGAAAGAATGGAAAAATGAAGAACTAAAAAGAATATTTTGTGTCTTTTTAGCTGAATATGTACTTTTCAATTCAATTAATTTTCAATTATTTATTTATTTATTTATTTATGAGACTTATATACCGCTTTAAGTGCAAGCACTCTCTAAGCGGTGTACACCAGTAAGCAATGTATATTAATTCATTAGTTCATTTTCTTCTGGACTTATATTGGCATGAAACAATAAAAATATTTTTATATATTACCTATATACATAGTACTACTTACTCTCACAATAGGGAACTTGATCAGTCCATGCCATTTTATTATTCGATACTTTACACCTTCTGGTAGACTGGCCAATCAGCCTACGCCTATGTCAAGACAGAAGAAATAGCACATCACCCTTTTGTTTTTTGTTTAAGGATGCAGACTTTAGATGGTTGGGATCAAATGAATATTCTAGATCCATTTGTCTACTCTAGTTCAAAATGAGCTGCTTAGAGTTGTTTCAGTTCCAAGGTGGCCTTCAAGTCTGAGTAAAATGCAGGAATAAATAATCTATTACTAAAGGTCTCGTAAAGTATTTTAGTATTCATTCATCCCACGCTTTTTTATTCATGTGATGTCAGTCAATATTTATGTGCATTCATATGTGAATTGTTAGAGACAGATTTCTAGATAGCAAAATAGCAACGTGCAGGAAAAATTAGTTTCCGTGATTGCTTAGTCTTATTCTTGGCAAAAATTTTGTAATATCATATAGTGGAAAGAAAAATTTCTTACTTCACTGTTCATTAATGTAATCTGTGAATCAGACAATTGTCCTTCCTTTTCATTCAACTTAGTTCTAATTTTTGCTGATGCTTTTGTTTTAGCAAACTTAAATCAAAAGAAAAAGATGCAAAAATAAAGCAGCAAGTTGAAGACTCCCAATCTGGCCAGTACTGCTCCTTCCCACAGATGGGAAGATCTGGAAATAAAACTGGAAAAAATGTTTTTTTTTCCCATGTTTTTTTCAAAGCTGTTTTTTTCCCTGGAAAAACTGGGGAAAAAGGAGTGTGGAATATATTCTTTTCCAATGATAAATAATATATATATGACATTGTATTCAATCTATATAACATGAAGAGCTTAATGAAATATTTCTGAGACTTTTTGTTAAGTCTATAATTATTGCAAGTTCTCTTAGCTCAGGGGTAGGCAACCTTGGCTCTTTTATGACTTGTGGACTTCAACTCCCAGAATTCCTGAGCCAGGAATTGAAGTCCACAAGACATAAAAGAGCCAAGGTTGCCTACCCCTGTCTTAGCTGAAGACAAGCAAATCTTGGAATACAATTCAAGTAACTCTATACTTTTCAATGTGGTTCCCAAACAAGAGAAATATGCATTTGTGCCACTATGGGGCACTGCAGGGAAAAAGCTCCAGTTTAATTTGCATGATGATGGTTTCTTCCTTTTTTTGTTGCTTTAGAGGGAAAGGGGGGTGGCTACCTGTTTTATTGCAAGAATAATACTTTTATATAAACTGCATTTCACTCAATTTGTAAACCTATTCCACATTTTTTTTCCAAAATTTATATTTTTTTTCTGGGAAAAAATCATGGGGGAAAATGATTTTTTCCCATGGCTTCAAAATTTCCAGAAATTTTATATCTCTACTCCTTTCTCATTGAAGCATAGGCCTTGCCCAATGACTGGTGAGGAAAGTGAGATTTCCTCCATTCCACCCAGAAAAGTTCTTACCAAACAATTTCAGGTTACACTGTTCAAAGGAGGAAGAAAGAAGAAGAATCACACCACTGGAAATTATGTTGGGATTCCCTGAATCTTACCCTTCATTACACTGGTAATTTGCAGTGGATCCTAAGTCAAAATCGCCTCTTACAAGCAATCTGCCACCATCTGGTTCTCCTGGATGTCCACATGTTTTTCCTAATAAAAAACAGGACAAAGTCTACATTGTAACATAAAATGCATAAAACTGTTTCAAAGTTTGCATCTAAATTTAGCAGAAAAATCTGTTCCCTTACATAAATTTACAGAATTTGTTTAATAAGAATATAAAAAGACTTACGTTTACAGGGCTCTCGAATGCTTGACCACTGCTGGTTTCCATTACATGTAATAGAATACAGCCTAGAGATTTTCATGTAACCTGGTCGACATTTGTATTTCACTGTTGATCCAGCAGGAAAGAAATCTTTTTCTTTATATTCATCCATTAATTCAGCAGAAAGTAACCTAGGTGGGTAATCACAGCTATCTAATGGTAAAAAGAAAAGACAGCAATGAAATTTGCCAGATTCAATTTTAAATTTAGTTTCCACTTATTCCCCTATGATCTGGAGGTGGCTCTCCATACCTTGGAGTATAAGGGAATACGATCAGTGGTGGGATTCAAATATGTGAACAACCAGTTCTCTGGGTGGATGCCGCTTCCAGAAGTCCATTCTGGGCCTGGGCAACAATAAATTAGCTACCGGTTCTGCTGAAGTGGTGCAAACCAGCTGAATAACACTACTGAATACGATCATACTTGAAGAGTTACAGTTGATTTATTCCAGAAAGTTTCTAGACCCTTCCCTGAATGTCATGTTTTAATTAAAAAGAAGCCTCTTTCCGTTTAACAAATAAAAATTTAAGGATAAGTGTGAATTTTATTCAGATCAAGAGAATAATGCAGATAATGTCTCATGGAAAGCAATTGTGCAGAATGAAACCTGGAGCTTTAGATTCAACTAAACAAAAGATATAAGAAAAAGATATAAGAAAAGGGGTTGTGAGTGTGTGTGTGTGGGGGGGGATTTCTTAGGATTGATCAAAAGACAATATGCTAACATCTTCTTGTGAATTAGTTTGATTTAAAAAAAATATTCCTAAAGTACCCAGTACAAAAAGCATTTGTTTCTTCAAAAGACTGATTCTTTTCAATAGAAGTGCAGGTTGCATTCAGCTTTAGTGCCCATTCTCTTGATTTGGCTTCTACTTTAAATATAGTAAACTATTCTTTGAATCAAGGGCATAAGATGTGAGCTGGCAAATTCTTGTGCTAGCGGAAGTATTATCTTCTGTTTTCATGTCTTGTTCTTCCAGAAATTTGGGTCAGAAAACTGATCTATTGTTATGAAGTCTTTCTGCTCATCAGTCCAGGACCGCTTAAGACCTTTTTTGCTTACTAGCTTATTTATTTTCTCCTTTCCATTCAAAACACTTCCTGACAGCTCCTTAGTCCATTTCAAATTCCCTTCTCCAGTTGGTTACAGTACCTGGTTAGAAACTCTGTGTGTGTGTGTGTGTGTGTGTGTGTGTGTGTGTGTGCGCGCGCGTGCGCGCGCGTGCCCACGCCATTGTATGCCCATGCATTGAAAAACCTTGTCTAGTTCTTTTTAGTCATAAGTATGAGGGCTCCTTGCCAATGTCTGAACTTGGTTGTTTTCTTGCAGACGTTTCATTAACCAAACTAAGTGATATCACTGATGATGTTATCTAATTTGGATAATGAAACATCTGCAAAAAACAACCAAGCTCAGAGTACCCCTCATTTCAACCCTGAGCTATAAATATTTTCCTTCATCAGAGTCATAAATATGCCTGCATATTTGGGAGATTACATACCAGGATAGCAGATTGTGTCTACTTTTTCCATTCTATGATAGGAGTGGATAAACTGATAAATAATATATCCAATAAGAAATATGAATCTTGGATTGTCATGACTTCCTCCTATAAGTTCTCTCATACTGTTTTACCTTTGTTATATGTTTATTTAGATGGTCAGAACTGGCCCAGGCAGAAGTAAACAGATCTAAAATGTACATGAAACAAAAATATGTCTTGTTTCAAAGCAAAAACACCTTGCCTCAGAAGTTCTCCCAAACCATCCTGGGTGGTTTGCAGTTCAGCAGAACTTTTTAAAACCTGGAATTCAGTTGTTCTAGGGTTCAGTGGAAACAAAATCTGAAATGGATGCATGAGTCAAGTATGGTAAGTCTTGTGTACTCTTGCCTCCTTCTTCTTTTGCATGGTTCATGTGCTGGCCCACCAGCCCATCTTCCCAGAACTTTTGCTTCCCTACTTCCTTTTCTCTTCAAATTTGAATTTAAGAGATTCTTTCAAGACAAACTATCAGCAGATGGGAGACACCATGAGAGGTTCATCAAATATACAGTTATGGGAATATTTTGTGAAAAAAGCTTCAAAAGGTCCAAAGACATCATACTTAATGAAGTTAATAATAAAGGAGGATTATATCAGTTTTTAAGATTCTGCATTCTAGCCCATATTTCTATGCATTCAAACTGATTAATAAAGTCTGTGATTGTATTCTGCAGTTAAGGGGCTTGGTGGTGGATATCCAACCAGTATCTTCCATCCAGCACATTTTCATCACACTACCTTTCCTTACAGGCTTAGGATACAGGAGGATCAAAATGAAATTTAATGCTGAAAAAGTAAGGTTCTACATTTAGGCAAGAAAAACCAAATGTGCAGGTATAGTATAGAGGGTACCTTGCTCAACAGTAGTAATTGTGAGAGGGATCTCGGAGTCCTAGTGGACAATCATTTAAATATGAGCCAGCAGTGTGCTGCAGCTGCCAAAAAAGCCAACAGAGTGCTAGGCTGCATTAACAGAGGGATAGAATCAAAATCACGTGAAGTATTAATACCACTTTACAATGCGTTGGTAAGGCCACACTTGGAATACTGCATCCAGTTTTGGTCACCACAATGTAAAAAAGATGTTGAAACTCTAGAAAGAGTACAGAAAAGAGCAACAATGATGATTAGGGGACTGGAGGCTAAAACGTATAAGGAACGGGTTGCTGGAATTGGGTATGTTTAGTTTAACGAAGAGAAGGACGAGGGGGGACATGATAGCAGTGTTCCAATATCTCAGAGGCTGCCACAAAGAAGAGGGAGTCAAGCTATTTTCCAAAGCGCCTGAAGGCAGGACAAGAAGCAATGAGTGGAAACTAACCAAAGAGAGAAGCAACCTAGAACAAAGGAGAAACTTCCTGACAGTTAGAACAATTAACCAGTGGAACAACCTGCCTCCAGAAGCGGTGAATGCTCCAACACTGGAAGTTTTTAAGAAGAAACTGGACAGCCATTTGTCCAAAATGGTATAGGGTTTCCTGCCTGAGCAGGGGGTTGGACTAGATGACCTCCAAGGTCCCTTCCAACTTTATTATTATTATTATTATTATTATTATTATTATTATTATTATTATTGGAAATGAGGACATCATTGGCAAGTAGACAAAAAAAGCTGTGAAAATAGCCAGGCATACTAGATATGCTCCACTTGAAATCAAAGGCACTGGTGAAGGTTATTGCACTGACCCACCTATTCTTCTTTCTAGAATCATACTTTTCTTACCTCCTCTCAGATGCAATTGTGTTACTGCCACTATTGTTTTTGGCTTTTTTTTTTCATTTTCATTTGAAACAACCCCACTTGAAATTCAAGTTTTTGAGTTTGGATATGGATCAACTGCATTTATTTTTGCCAGTATACTGGTGATTAGAAACTAGCTGTCCCATACATGGAGCATTATGCACCTCTCTTGGGGGCAGGAAGTAGCAAGACAAAATGTTGCAGGATGGACCTGTTCTGTGCCATCTAAATTAGTCTGTTGCTCTCTCCCATCTGCCCTACAAGGTAGACCCAGTCAAAAAACAGATGTCATGTATGCCTTAAACCACTTATATTAAAATGTTTACAGAAATCTTGAAAATCTGAATGTTTTCCCTCCTCCCTCTTATCTATGTATGAATTAAGGGAGGGACGTACCTAAAGAATTTTTATAAATTTCTACTTGGTATGAGCTTAAGCTATTGTATGTTTATTTTTTCATTGCTTTGGAAATGGATCTTTCCTCTCTTCACCAAGTCTGTCCTCTCTACTGTCTATAGTCCCCCTTCCACTCAGCACATAGCCTACTACCCAAGATTCAGCGTCTAGCCTGGGCAACTTCTTTATATGGAAGAAAGCATTTATAAAAGTGTTCAGACAGCTTTGCCTCAGGCAAGAAAACATCTTGCACTGAGTGGAGAGAGAAATGGTTATCTTTTTCCTAGAAAGCCAGGCTACATTATATTTAAGTAATGCCATTGTAGAATAAGCTATTTCATGTTACATCAATTTCTAGAGAGTTCCCTTTAGTTTGTAAGCCAAGATAATTTCAGCAAATTTAATATATATATTGTAAAGCTGGTATTTAAAAACAAGCAGGGATTAGATATTCTCCAGAATGTTTCATAAATTGAAGTTTCAAAGTTTTGTGAAAGAAAGCAAAATCTATTAAAGGATCCTATAAAGATTGAAAAATAGTTAAATCTAATTAAAGAAAAAGTAATATCTAGGCTTTATTGTCTGTGGTTATAGCTATCAAGCTGTAAAGGGTAGCTAATTTCAAAGTCTTCATTCTTACCTTTAAAGCCAGTGGTGGGATTCAAATATGTGAACAACCGGTTCTCTGTGTGGATGCCACTTCCAGAAGTCCATTCTGGACCTGGACAACAAAAAATTAACTACTGGTTCTGCTGAACTGGTGCAAACTGGCTGAATCCCACCAGTTTAAAGCTCTTCATAGCATGGTTCCAGATTGTCTGAGGAACTGTCTCACCTTAATGGGATTGGCCCACCCCATCCACCAGCAGAAGTGGTATACTGTAGACGATATCAGTCAATGAATTCTGGCTGGTAGGGTCTAGATGAGCTGTGGACTCTGCCCTTTAGAACAGAGTTCCCCAACCTTTCCGGCTTTGTGGACTGGTGGGGGGGAGGGGATGGTTCCACGCAAATGGCTGGCACGTGTGCGCACACACAGCTCCACCTGCTGCTTGTGCAAATGGAGCATGTCTGCATGCTCCCCCCAGCTGCTCACACAAGGGGGGATACACACACCCGCCAAGCCACTGCTTCCACGGCCTAGTTCTGAATGGCTCACAGCTCAGTACTAGGCAGCCGTCTGGGAGTTGTAGACCCCTGGTTTAGAACATCCTGCCACCCCCAAGGTGAGATCTGCACCCCCCCCCCTTTTGGCCTTGCAAAAGAGAAAAACCTGGCTCTGGCCTGGGTCCCTGAAGGGCTGTGTCACCTGAGAGGTGACTAATTGGAGCCAGTGTTGCATTGTAGCTAGATTGCTAGATGACAACTCAAGCCATTATTTTACTTTTTTCTCTCATAGACTGTTGTGAGAATAAAAAGAGAGAGAAGAAACTGCATACAGTATATAGTTTATTTTGCTGGAAGAAAAAACTGTGAGATTGGTAATATTTTCAAGAGGGTAGGATTATTAAATAACCTGACAGAATTGTGCAAAAAGTGAATTGGAAGGAAAACAACTTCCATTTCTATTAAATTAAAATGTTGGGCAAGCTTTGGCAAGATCCAGTTCTCAATCATACTCTTCCATGCAGTTCAGTGGATAATCAGTATTTCTTAGTTTAAACTAATAGCCAGGGCTGAGAAGCTACATTTTGAATTTCTCATTTTGAATTTCTAATACAATCAGTATCAATATAAACCAAAGCTTTTGGGGGGTCCTCAGTCATTTTAATCATGTAAATGGATCCTGAATTCAAACTGTTCAAGGATCATTATTCTACGGAAAAGGCTTTAAATTCAACAAGTGAATCCCTCTTAATTTTAAACCAGTTCTTAAAGTCAAGCTAATAGGTGAGGTAAAAGGGAAACAAAGCTTGTAGGAAAACTAATAGCATTTTAAATTCAGTCAGGTGTTGGGGTTATATGCCCGTGTATGTTTACAGAAACAAATGCGGAAGGAAATTCACCCTGCAGCTAAAAATAGGGCAAAAAAAGGAAATAAAGACTATCATCAACCTCCACTCAAGTTTAGATTTCTCCCGTATCATATTTCAAGGAAGAAAAAATTTGCCATTCACGGGTTACTATTACACAATATAGTAATGGGTTCAAAAGTTGCCAAGAAAATTATAAGGATAGCTCTTAATTTTATTAAATCTATGAATGTACCTATAAAATTCAGAATTGTACTGTATGTTTAAAATCTGAACTGTAATACAGCAGAAACCTTCACTTGATTTAGAGCCGTTAGATCTGAGCTGGAAATATCGAAACATTTAGTGGAAAGTAATAAAGAGAAAATCTGCCATTCAATGATTTTTCTGAAATTTGCAAACCAGTTCCGATAGGCATAACTCCAGTGAATACAAATAGGTGAGGGGAAAAATGTCAGTCGTGACTGAGAAAATACTGTATTTAAATAATTGTCTTCAGTTTCTATATATCAGCAGCTGAGCACAAAGTTAGATTTAATTTCTTTGCCTTTGACCTCTCCAGAGCTTACAACATGCTCTTTTCTCCCAGGTGAGGATCAAAGTTCAAAAGAAAAAAGTTATCAGAACTGGAACAGAATACACAACTATTTTTAAAACTATTTGTGGGGAAGAGGGTTGACAGAGAGAGGTTAACTTCTCACCTTGGTTCACTAAAGCAGCAGCCAGGAAGGCAGCAGCAGACAAAAGGCTGAGTGTGTAGGCAGAAATCATTGCTCCTGTTTCAGTGATGACTATGAAGCTGGCAGCAGAACCCATGCACCTATGTATATCAATGCAAAACAGGAAGCAGCAATACTGACAAGCAAATAAAACAGGGGCTTTTATACCAAAAGCCCCAGAGGAATTTGGACAATGGAACTTCTTGTTGGTATACTATGAAATTTTATCTTGCACACTCTGCAATTTTATCAGTGTGAAATCAGTTTCAAAAATACTGGTTCTGAGCACCACATACATACAACATACATAGAGATAAATGTGTGTGTATAGGTCACCCCAATAGTTCTGTATCCATTTAGTCTGATGTGAGATAAAATGCTGGATTATATCAAGATTGTTTTTGTTGTATTTGGCTAGGAAAAGTTAAGAGTATTTTAAAAACTAATGAATCTTATAAGTTAGCATAAGGAGAAATCAACATCTGAAAGTTGGAATAAAAATCACCTATAGTAAGTTATTGTCACTAATAATTAAAGTAATAACAGACACCAAACTGTATTTCCCAATTAGATTAGCTGAATAGGAAGGACTTTCTGGTAAATGCTACTTTAATAACTGCCACAAAAGCTCTTTTGGAATCTTGTTTTGCATTATAAATTCTAAACATTGGATCTGTATAACACATTAAATAAGAATCCATCAGGCAAAAAAATCCATATTCTATGCTCAGAATTATGGAAACAATTAAGTTGCTAAACTGACCAGTAAAATGTTTAAGTGCTTATGCAATTCCCAGAACTACAGTTTGGAACTATGACGCATCTCTTAGAAAATGTATTTCTTTACTTTTACCTGCATCCCAACTTAGGCAGACTACTCTACTCTTAACAGTAACATTATTATTATTTAACATTGAGAACACTGTATGATTGTGTGTGTAGTTCCATAAGTTTATTAGTTACTGGATATATTTGCATTCTTAAAGTATGTTCCCTGCTATGTGATTAGTAATTTATTTTTTAAAAAATATATTTCAGTAAGATATTTTTAGTGCTAACATAGTATAGATACAGAATCTTGGAACTAAAAGAGGAATCTTCTATTCCAGTGATGGCGAACCTTTTAGAGATTGAGTGCCCAAACTGCAACCCAAAACCCACTTATGCGTCATCAAGTGCCAGGTGGGTGTGGCCCATTGGCTGGGTGTGGCCAATTGGGTGGGCATGGCCAATTGAGTATGACTGCGGTGGTAACGGCAGACTGGTTGGGATTAAAAAGTTCAATCCATCAATTTCAACTTTGTAAGATTTTTTTTTCCAGCGAGAAGTTGAAATTGACTGAACCTTTTTTTTTTTTGCACACGGTCACGGAGGCCTAAAGTGAAAAGGTTTTATAAAACCCAGCTGAAGGCCTAGGAGTGGGGTGACGGCACGCGTGCCCACAAAGAGGGCTCTGCGTGCCGCCTCTGGCATCCGTGCCATAGGTTCGCCACCACTGTTCTATTCTCACTGATAAAAAGTTTGTTAAATCAATTTCTTAAAATACGTTCAAATGCTTTTCACCTCTGCTAAAGTGCTGCTTTTTGAGGTAAAGGATGGGCTACCTTCCTTCCTCTCCTAAGAAAAGAGTAAGAAACAAAATTTCTTGTGGACACTTGTTTTCCATTATAAATTCTAAATATTGGTTTTGCTTTATCTCCTTTGTAAATAAGATGCTAGGGTGCACATTGGATAGCATTTTGTAAACTCTTGTTATATTTTTATATAATATACATTAAATGTAAAAGAGCAAACATATCCAACTAGGGACTGGTTCAAAGACACCCAGCTGGCTTTCATGACTAAGGGAGGCCTGGAACTCAGTCTCCTGGTTTCTAGGCCAGCATCTTAATTGCTATACCAATCTGGCTCTCTCTGGTAATAGGGTCATCTCCCAATTGCCTTTCAATAATGGTGCATACATGAAAATATAACCAGTAAATAGTTTCTACAGTGTTAAGAATTACCATAGCATCAACTCCCCAAATGACTTTAAATAGAACAACGATAAGTGCTCGTGCAATTCAATCTTTAATATTACCACGGCCAGACATTTCTCTATATACAGCCATTGCATTTAATTCATTTTTCCCATATAAGGAATACAATAAAATTTATAAATACAACTTTTGCAAACATACAAAATACTTTCTTGAATACCACAGGCATCCATGGCTGACCAAAATAGTGTCAAAGTGACAGAATATATGTTGTGATGTCACACAGAGCATCGTAACAGACATTTTGCCACTCTCCTCCCCAACAACTAGGTTGAATATTTCAGGATCGGCTCCATTCAGCCAAAACACACTTTCTCATTACAGTGACTGTAAAGACAAAAATTGAATCTTCCCCACTAGGACATGTATCTCAATTTATTGGTTGTAAAATTTATGTTGACTGTTAAAATATAAAACAGAACACAATTTATATTAGGCAAAGCTTATTGTTTCAGCATCAATTTAAAACCCAGAAAGCAAGTTAACTTTTCTTTAGATGCCACATGAATTTGGAAGCTGATTTAAGAACCAGGCTGTTAAAAGAACTACACAGGACTTGCTGACTCTTTCATTCTAGAATAGTCATCTCTTGATAATGCATCATCCCTGAAGTAGAGATATGGAGGTCCCTCAGATTCTGTATCTGAGTGATAAGAAACAGACATGCTAAGAGATATTCTGAAAGGATTTAAGTGCAATCTACTAGAATGTTGAAGCAGAATACGAAAAAGGAGTAGTCTTGTAGATCAAATGCTGATTGCTTCATGTATTAACTGCCTCTTCCAATGGCCAAACTGTAAAACTATGAACTCAAATCTTCACTGAGTTCCTCTTTTTCAGTTCTCAAATGGGAAACTGTTGAAAGGTTATTAAAGTTTTATTGCAGAAGTTCAGTAAACCCAAATCAATCTTTTGTTCGTTTTTCTTCCAAAGTCATATCTTTCTCTGAAACTACATGATAAGAATCAGTAGAAGCATGAGGAACGTTAGCTTTCCTGTAAAAGATGACATAAAAATAAATTCATATTTATATATGCTATTTAAAGACATTTTCAAAAATTATTTTCTTTAGTCCTAGCAAAAAGCAATACACAGATTTACACATTTCAATCTGTAAGATAAAAGAAAATGCATCTTAGTTAGAACAATCCAACTCTGAAAACCAAAGCATCTTAATAGTTGCAGAATATTTGACATTAAAAAATAATTTTCTGTAAATATCACATCAGATTTAGTATAGAAAATATATGTTTTTTAGTCAATTGCTCTTGAATCACACATCAGCATCTCTTTTGTATCCATGGGGAAACTTTGGTTTCAATGCTGAAATCTCATAGGTCAAGGTGTACAGACAAAACCAAGTTCTGTCTACAGCTAGCGCTGAAGCTATCTCAGATTTATGGCAATGATTAATTAGAAGGATGGGAGACAGAAAAAGTCTTGGCATGCTAACACTTCTATGCAGTACACCTGTTCAGGTAGCTATGAAGAAATATATAACTGTACACCACACTAAACACTTATATATAAATTTACAAGTTTATGTAAAAGTTTAGCTTCTCAGGTCTTGATATTGACAAAAATATTTAAAGCATCTCAATTTTATTATCCATGGAAGAAGACCCACTCATTTGAACTAGAAGCTAAACAGCAGAAAGGTGAAGAAAGTATAATTATGTTCCCTCATGACAAGTTTAGGAATATAGGGAACCACAGATTCAGTACAAACATGGATATGTGCATTTTTCCTTTATCTATACTGTATATATTGGATGCAGGCTGCATCATCTGCAAACTAGGACTGAGCAACAATAGAGAGAATCCCAATATATTTTACCTGCATCCCAAAACAGGCAAACACTACTCCTAATGGTAATGTGAGATGCTTATTTAACACTGAGAACACTGTATGATAATGCCTATAATCCATAAGCTTATTAGTTACAGGATATATTTGCATTTTTGGAGTATGTACCCTGGCATGTGATAGTGATTTATTTTCAAAAGATTATCTTTTAAAAAAGAGATTTCAGTAAGATAACTTTAATGCTAGTGTAAGACAGATCCAGAATCTTGGAAAGTACAAGAGAAATCTCCAATTCTCATTGATAAAGAGTTTATTAAGGCTGTTTCTCAAATAATTTGAAAGGTTTCTTTCCACCTGTGCTAAGGTACTGCTTTTTGAGATAAGAGAGGGGCCATTCCCCCTCCTCCTCTAAGGAAGGAGTAAAGAACAAACAATGCCATTAGCAGCCGAAGACAATTGTAGTAAATAAAACTCAATAAAAACTTTGAGTTTTTATTTATGCAGATATTGCAGCTGAATATACATATTGAATGAAAAACGCTGGTGCGACCACTTGAGAAGCCCTACTGTTAAACCCTACTGTAAATTGAGTAAAATGGAGTAAAATACAGGGGCTAGGGATGGGGAGTCCCTCTGCATCCAGAAGTATATTTAGCAATATAAAATCAATGATATAAATAAATAGCAATAAATAAGTTATATACGTTTCCAGCCTTCAGTGGATGATATTAATTAGATTGAAGAATGGTTCTTTGATGTTATCCTGAAGCTAAAACAACTGTAAAACTAAAAATAAACAATGTCTCAGCACTTTTAATGTTACAGTTAATTAGGCAAAAGGGATAATTCTTAAATGAAGACTGAGGTGATCAAGTGGGGGAAGGGAGGGAGAGAAAAAGTGGGTCTCTGGAATAAGAGCTGTTTTAAAATATACATTATCCCGAAGGATGTTTTTGGCTTCAAGTTATTCAACGCATTTGATCAGGAATCAAACTATACAATTTAAATGAGTTAATTTTATATAAAAGGGAAGAAGGCAGCAAACAAAGCAAAATCGAATCAATGGAGGAAACAGGCATTCCCACTTCTCCTGGGCGCATGCTTAAATCAGTAATTGTTCACCCATCTTCCTGTATGAAGACCCCAATACAACTGATTTCTGCAAGCAAATTAGATGATACTAATAGAAAACCTGAAAACAGAAAATTGTTTATTATTTAAAGAAGTCTTTTAGCAAAATAAAGACGTAATTAGCATGCTGTGGCCTAAAAGATATATAAGGAGAGACAGATAATATTCAATTAGAAATTAGAAAAATGAACAGATTAACTAATCTTGAGTTTTAAAACTGGAGACAGTCTTTCATAAATGCTAGAAAAAAAGGTAAAGTCCACAGTAATTTATTTGCAAAACATCATATTACAGCTTCCCCCAGATTGCACGTGTTAGTCTATTAAAACTCTCAAAAATATGTATTAACTATTCTATCAAAAGATTACATCTATATACTCTTTAAACATAAAGATGAGTACATGTAATGATAGTGATTAAAGCATTACCACTCAAAGTACTTATGGTTAAGAAACTGATTTGAAAATCAATTTATGAACAAATCTAAATTAGTGCTTATAACATCCTGTAACTGTACACGAATGATACGAAAATAAAGTTAATATAATGTTGTATCAGAAACAACACTCCTGCACAGAGACAGAAAGCAAGCAATATACAAGACAAGATTTCCATTGTAATCTGTCTAGAAATATACCAAAGTTGCAAGTAGACTAAAAGCTGTTCTCAAAAGACAATGCAAACTTTGCATAGAACCATTCCAATGATTCAATTTCATTAGGTTGCCAGTAAGTCAGAGACAGAAATCATTACAAGTGTCTCTGATACCAGCAGATCAGGGCAATAAGAATAATCGTACTTTTTTCAACAACACATTGCCAAGCCTGCAGTTGAACAAATAGCAAACAGAAAGAGACAGATGATTTCTGTCACTCCAGAACACCAATGCTGAAGATGTGATTAAATTCAGATTAGCCATTCTAGACAAACTATAATGTTTTGTTTGTCTTCCTCCTTTGTTGCAGATCTTTGCAGTTATTCAAGCACACAGCACAGAAGTTACTTCTGGACATAAAGCACATTTATATGAAAATTGTAGGCTTTAGAGACGGCAGTGAAAAGTTAGAGATGGCTGCTCATGCAGCTATGAAGAAGCTAGAAAGAATCAGAGACAGCGTATCTTGGGCTGACTCACCCCTGGAGAGAGAACCATTTCACAGCTGCAAAAATTAAAGCAGCCAGAACTATAACAGCAGTGACAGCTCCTTGAAGGGAAAAAGATAATGTGATAGTTTCATATTCAAAAATATACCAATCTTCATATACAAACTCCTGGCAGTACTTTCAATATGTTTCAGATCACTTTACCCATATCACATTGTATATACAGGGGATACCAAAAGTCAGGATGTATAGACAATTATGTATAGAAATTACATTACGTGTTTGAATTTTTTTCTCAACATTTCCTTATTGCTGCATTACCTTAGTGCACTTAGTAACATTTTATCTGAAAATAAATAAAACGTATTCTGATTGGCCTATTATGTGGACTGACATTTGGTATACTCCTTTATATACGCAGAAAAAAATAGGAATCTGAATTGCTTTAAAAAGATGCTTCAGAATGCACAGAAGCACGTTTGCAGCAACCATGTGAAATTAATTAAATTCTACATTTTTTATCTGGGATCATTTGACTGCCGAAAGGAAGCTTCAGATTCTGCTGAGCATTCTTGGAATCAGACACAGCTGTTTTAGTGAATTATATAAAGCTGCTGCTTTATGCTTGTGCATGTTCTGAACAGAATCTGACATTCAAGACTCAATAGAATCTTCATGGAAAAAAATGTCAAATACAACAAAGGTATTGATAAATGGCAAAAAAACAAATTACACCTATGAATGGCAACTAGTCATCCTGCACAAGAATAAAACTAAACCAGAGACAAATAAATGTAGCATTAATATTTGCTCACTTTCCTGGTATCCAATTTAATTCAATGATAAGGTATATTCTACATTTATAATAAAACCAGGAAAGGTTTAAGGTAGCCCATCAGCATAAATAGTGATTACTGTTAATATTGATGACAACTCTCACCTGACAATTGGGACAAAGTCCAAAATAAAGCTAAGCATTCGTTGGATTATTGAGAATCAGCCCCCCCCCCTCGGAATGAGACAACAGAAATGGAGAGGCCTAGCTCCCTCTGATCCCAACTGGCTGAGTAGACAGTGATTGGTGGGTTGGATAATTTAACAGAGGGGAGAGGGACTGTATGGTAATACTAGCTTCAGTTTTAGATATGGGAACAAAAATTGTATTGGTTACTCTCATGGTTTACCTGTGCTGGGACAGTGTACAAAGCACCTTGCCCTCACAGATAGATCTCTCAATGGCTTGCTAAGACTCTCACAAGGGTTGCAAGTTGGAGACATTTTGTTACAGTAGTCCCATATCTACTTGATCTATTAAACAATTTACATAACCCCTATTGGGCAAATTAATTTGCCAAGGTAGGATGATGTATCCTCAATATGTTGATGATATCCAATTGTACATCTCCATCCAGGCCCAATTAGAGATGTGGTAGAAGTCTTGTCCCAGGGCCTGGTGGTTATCAGGGATTGGATGGGGAGAAACAGGTTGCAATTTAAGCCAAACAGAATGGTGTTACTATTAATGTAAAAGCCTTATGATTCCAAGTGTCTTTGACTCTTGATGAAGTTATGGTACTGCAGAGAGAACAGATTTGCAACTTTAAAACTTCTAGACTCAAAGCTCCTGCTTAAGGAGCAGATAGAAGTTATGGGTAGGAGGCATTTTGCCCAGCTTTGGCTGGTTTCCAGTTGCAATCTTACCTAGAACAGGATGCCCTGAGGACAATTACAATTGTTGTCTTTCCTGATTACAATTCTGTGCTGTTTACCAATGTGTTTCCCAAAACCAAATTCAAGGTTTTGATTTCTTTGAGACCCTTTATGGCGAAGGGCTGGTTATCTAACAAATTACTTTCCTTATATTGCTCCTGCCCATTGCACTTTCCCCAAATTGTTCCTGCCCATCCCTCTTGGATATGGAGATAGTATCTATGGAAGGTCCCTACCAAACCGGAATTGAAGTGGAAGGTGTGTCAATAAGAGGTATTTTCAGTGGCAGTTCATCGAGGGACAGCCTATCCCCAATCAAAAATGCTTTGCAACCCAACACTTTAAAAATAGTAAAAATTGATTTTTCCAGAAGGACTTTGGGTATTATATAGGGGTGTGTGTGTGTGTGTGTATGTGTGTGTGTGTGTCTGTGAGAGAGAGAGAGAGAGAGAGAGAGAGAGAGAGAGAGAGAGAGAGAGAGAGAGAGAGAGAGAGAGAGAGAGAGAGAGAGAGAGAGAGAATATATGTATAGGGCACAATTTTCTTATATGCTAATATTAGCTATATTTTTGTGGAATTTTAAAAATGTGTATTTTTTGCTATTTTAATATTTGCAAACTCCCTGTGATCCATGAGAATTGAGGTGGTAGATTATTCAGTTGGAAAACAGATACCTTGAATAATAAGCTTAATATGGAACTGGACCTGTTCCCTTTTGGGGGGAGGGTTGGGGGGATGACAAATACAGTTTTCCTCTTGGAATTTACTGATTTCTGCAACAACCAGATTTTTTCTGCCTTTAAGAGATTCCAGCTGTAAATTGACCCTGACATAAAGAGAGAAAAAAAAACCACCACTGTGTAACCAAAATAATTTCTCAAGTTGAAATACTCTCCCTTGAGTTTAACTAACAAACAAACACAGGAAACAAAATCTTTAAAAATAGCCAAAAGAGTTTCTAAAGCATGGGAAAAATTGGGACGGGAGAAAAAGATCTTGCCTTATAAGAAGGGGTGGGAGTCACAGCCCCTTCTAAAGACAAAAAGGGAGGAATTGTACATCGAATAGTCTGTGATCATTTCTGTCAAACATTAAATGCAACAATAGTTCAGTCTGTAAGTACGTACCAAAAACAATACCGACAGTGTTGTTAGAACCTAAAACAGAAGAGAAGAAAAGTGATTAAAAACCTGAACATATATAGTAAAAGTGAAAGAAAAAATTTCTCTAGTTTCACGCTATTTTAACAGACATGTACATTATATCCATCGTGTTATTCCCTTTTTGGGTAAACAAAATTATTCAAAGCACGTAAAAAGTAAAAAAAAATATAAAGCAAAATAAATAAAAAAGATGAAATATGAGATAGTAAAACAATTAAAGCTAATTATGCCAATATAATTCACTACTTGCCATATCCTTCTATTGTCTGTACTTTCACTCATCAATACTGTTCTAATAGATTCAACCCTCATTAAGTACATGTATTGCACATGTATTTTGAAATATAGGAGTGTAAGTTATAAGAAATTTTGAAATACAGTACATTTCTATGAAACTGATCAGAAAGATTTTAAAAAAGGATTCTTGAATCATTAATATTCCCTCCCTCTCATATTTCTCATATTTCAGAGAATTCAGAGAAAACTATTTCAGAACAAAAAAACAAAAGTGACCTCTTATAAAAATGCAAAAATTAGTCTAAATAATTACTTTCCATCGTCAACACTTTGGGGTTTTACCTGATTCATGTGTGGGAGTTGTTTGACTTGCAGTTGGAGATGCTGTAGTTTCTATGAGAAAAAAAAACAGGTTTAAAACACTACTCAGAATCTTTCAGGCAATACCATGCATAACATTTAACAAGCTGAAAGACTTGTCTGGAATAAAGATGTCTCAATGTATAGCCTCAATGTATATATTACACAATATATACAATATATATTATACCTTGCAAATAATAATAATAATAATAACAACAACAACAACAACAATTGCTGTTGTTGTTTGTTGCAGTCAGCCAGATGTTTACACTGGATTCGGCATTTTTGTCTACCTACTGAGTCCTTTCCAAGGCCTTGGGATAGGCAGATCTAGATGTTTGATGGTGTTACGGATATTATCGCAGGTTCCAAGTAAAGCTACCCTTTGCAATTGACTGATGGCGAATTTATCAATGTTGATGGTGTTCAAGTGGTGCTCCAGTTGTTTTAGGACTGCACCCAAGGATCCTATTATTGGTACTACCTTTGCTTGCTTTTGCCACAGTTGTTCTATTTCTATTTGTATTTTGTTAACTTTTCCAGTTCTTTCTCTTTTATTCTGCTGTCTCCAGGTACTACCACATCCACTATCCAAACATTATTGTCTTTCTTATCGACAATTGTTAAGTTTGAGGTGCTGTATGGCAGATGTCTCTCTGTTTGAATTCTATAGCTTCTTCGTTTTTCTAAGGGCTTCTCTATTTTATGATTCCATCAGTTCTTGCTTGCAGGCAAATTATATTTCTTGCAGATTTTCAGTGCACCATTGTTGCTACTTTGTCACGCTGTTATACAGTCTGTGTGATTTTCTTGCAGCAGATTTCCAAGTAACCCACTGTTTCTTCAGCTTCTTTGCATAGGCAGCACTTACTATATTGCTGTCTTCTCAATTCTGGCTTTGTATGATTTGTTCTTAAGGCTTGGTCTTGTGCATCCGGAATTAATCCCTCGGTCTCTTTCTTCAACTTTCCTGCTCTTAGCCATTGCCAGGTCTTGTTATTTATTACCTGCTTACCCTGCTAATTTTTTTAATGTACTGGCTATGTAGTGCTTTGTCTTCCTATGCCTCCATTCTGTTCATCTGGTCTTTCTTGTAAGTCAGTTTGGTCTCTCCAGTAGTCAGGAAGCTTTTCTGGTATACTAATTTCAGTGCATTTTCTTCATTGTCCTTCAGATATTCTTCCAAAGCCCTTTTTACTTTTTCAGCCATCTCATGTACTTTTGCAACATTCCACGCCCAGGCTCATTACAACACTGCCTTGGTAAATAGAGTCTGTGAATGTTGCTACAAAAATGAAAAATGAATTCATTGTCATTATTTTTCTGGTCTTTCCATCCATTGCTTTTAGTTCAGTTGAGTACAAGTTCACTATTCCAGCTGTGTACCTAATGATCAGAATTGCTCATGTGTTGTCTTGCTGGTATTTCCTCCATTGAGTTTGGACTTTAAGATCTTCTTCACTGTCTTGATATTTTCACTCCTAATTTTTTTCTTGACTTCAGTGTGCTTGATGTTGTCAGCTTGAAGGATACCCAAGTATTTGTAGTAATCATCTTCATCCAGATCCTTGATGTTATTTTCATAGGACATCTTGATTCTTTCAGTTTTTACTATTTTTCTTTTTTTTGATGGTGAGTGTGGCATATTTGTTCAGTCCAAACTCCACTGCAATATCTTGCCTGTATATACAGCCAGTGCTGAGCAGTAATTCTATTTCAGATGGTGTTTTTCCATTCAGCTTCAGATCATCCATGTAAAAGAGGTGGGATAGTTTGGCAGATGTTTTTGATGTTTGATAATCATGGCCTAAGTTATTCAGTATTGTTGATAGAGGAAACAGTGCAAAGAAATATATTAGTGGTGATAGTGAAGCTCCTTGAAATATTCTGCTCTTGATATTAACCTCTCCCAATCTCTCACCATTGATCTGCAACTATGTCTTCCATTGTGCCATTGATCTTTGCACAAAGTTTCTGATATTTCTACCGACTCCTCTAGGCACTTGATTATCCATCATGTGGTAGAGAGTTGAATGCCTTTTTATATCAATCGATGCTACGTTTAGATTGATCATTTTTCTCTTGCAGTTTTCCAAAATCATTTTGTTATAATTATTAAATAAATTCCTTTATTGACACAATGCATTGTCTGTTTCAATAAAAAAAGATTAAAATGTATATGAAGCATAAACAATTAAAGCAGAAGTTAACAGGAAAATGTAAGAATAATTGTACTGAGTCAGGCTTTATGATGGCTGTTGACAGAAGGTGCCTAATCGAATTTCCTCCTTTAAAGCCTCAAAGGAACCAAAAAGGCAGAAGGAAGGTTAAGGGGAAGAAAAAGCTGAGAATGTATAGAATATCAAAGAAAAGCAAGAGCAGAAATACATTCTCTAAATTAGGCCATTTGGGAAACTCTAGACTTGAAGGAAGTCCAAAAATCCCTAGCAATGATAAAACATTTCTAGTAAAAATGAAACCAGGAATGCCAGCTACCTCCCCCTCTGAGTTAAGACAGCAAAGGTTGGTGGTAGTATTATTATTAATAATAATAACAATAATAAAAAAGTTGGAAGGGACCTTGGAGGTCATCTAGTCCAACCCCCTGCTCAGGCAGGAAACCCTATACCAGACATGTCAAACTTGCGACGTCATGTGACGTCGCACATCGGGCCGGTTTTGCCATTGCCGGCAATGGGGTGGGCGTAGCTTCCACATGATGTGTCTGGCCCATGGGCCGGCAGTTTGACACCCCTGCCCTATACCATTTCAGACAAATGGCTGTCCAGTCTCTTCTTAAAAACTTCCAGTGTTGGAGCATTCAGAGCTTCTGGAGGCAGGTTGTTCCACTGGTTAATTGTTCTAACTGTCAAGAAGTTTCTCCTTAGTTCTACGTTGCAATGGATTAGTTTCCATCCATTGCTTCTTGTCCTGTCTTCAGGCGCTTTGGAGAATAGCTTGACTCCCTCTTCTTTGTGGCAGCCCCTGAGATATTGGAACACTATCATGTCCCCCCTCATGCTTCTCTTCATTAAACTAGACATACTCAATCCCAGCAACCGTTCCTTATATGTTTTAGCCTCCAGTCCCCTAATCATCTTTGTTGCTCTTCTCTGTACTCTTTCTAGAGTCTCAGCATCTTTTTTACATTGTGGTGACCAAAACTGGATGCAATATTCCAAGTGTGGCCTTACCAAGGCATTGTAAAGTGGTATTAATACTTCACGTGATCATGAAGTACTAAGGATGTTAGCTCACATTTGGCATAATTTTAGAGTAAATTTCAGGAGTCAAAAATGTTTTGCCATGGAGGACTCCAGATTGAGATATATCATAATTTCAGAGATGTGAAATTACAGAGAACCACAATAACTTTTTTTTTCTTAAGAGGTTTAAGACACATTTTCCTCCCAGAAAATTATTTTGTTTGCATAGACTCCAGATGCTCTCTGGAGATAACAAAATGGTTAGGGTTCAGTAAAGAGGTTCAATCAATTGTGTTGTACGAAAGTAGAAAGCTGGATTCTTGTAGCTACTTGCGGAGTTTTGGTAGATAAATCTCATAAACCTGCAAATGTTACCATAGCTTCCTTAGAGAGACTGCAGATCCCAGGAGGCACTGCTACTTATCAGCTGTTGATAATACATTTAGATAATAATGACTATGCTGCTTAATGAAAATTAGGAAGATCCAAATAGCTTTATTAGACCAAAAATAAACAAAGCCCAAGCTAACAGAAGGATAGTGCTTTTGAGCCACTGAGAAAATAGACCAACTCTACTTTAAATGTCAACTGATTCAAGAAAAGGCAGGCAATATATCTATGGCAAAATATTGCTTTGCAGTAAGATCTCTATGGCAGTTGTTCAGTCAGACAGATGTTTTGACTGGTTTTGGCATTTCTGTCCACCTACAGATACACCTTGACTTATCACCATAATTAAGCCTAGAGTTTGGGTAGACGGTTGTAGCAGTCATTACACAAGGCACACCATGACACCGTCTCGCTCAACAACCGTGATCCTGGCTCTCCCAGCTGTGGTTTTTGCCAAGTCTTGTTTATTAACTGCTTTGCCTATTTCTTTTAATGTAATAGCCATGTAATACTTTGCTTTGCCATGTATCCTTGTTATTCTTCATGTGGTATTTTTTCTAAGCCAATTTGGTGTCTCCAGTACATAAATAAGCCTTCGTGGTATACTAGCTTCAGTGCATTTTTTTTCACTATTCTTCAGATGTTCTTCCAATAACCTTTTTTCTTCTTCCATTGTCTGGTATTTGAATGTTTCATGCATATCTATGCTTCTTGGTAAGCATATGGATAAGGACTGGAGATGTGGTATCTTATCTATATCTGTAAAGACTGTTGATTTTTCAGGCTGAAAGACAAATGCCATTTGGCAAATTTGCCTATAACCATAAAGCTGACAATAAACTCAGTGTCTGGTTCCTAAAATGAGTATTAAGCAACAACAACAAAACTAGAAACCAGCAAAAAAGGTTACACTGGGGACATAATTATCACCTTCTAATAGAGAAAACAGAACTTTACAAAATGGTGAATAACAGGACATAAAGCAGTTAAAGAATTATTTGTGATTTGAGAATGTTCAAAAATACAGAACAGCTCCCTGATGATTAAGAGGGCAGTGATATTTGAATAAGCAATCATGCAAGATTTGAACCAGACATGAGTTGCCTTGAAGGAGGATCCTGAACAGAAGGAATATCCATTTTAGGAGCTGCCACTTACAGATCATTCCTGAAGACAATTTTAAATTGGAGACTCATGGCTTTTAAATGAAAGAAAACAGGAAGAGAATAGGATAGAGGGGCAGCAATAGGCATCATAGCATCTTGAACTGCATTAGGAATTATACATCAGCTGACTAGATGTGACAAAATTTAATCAGTCCTAGGAAAAAAGCAAAAGCTAATGTGAAGATATGAAACTGCAGCTAACTGGGAAATTATGATCACTAGAGTCAAAATACTCTGCAAGGTGATTGGCTTTGGATACATTTTGATAAGGGGATCATCCTAATTATCCTAGTTTGGAGCATAAATTATTTGGAAAGCAATGACTTACATCAATGTCTATCAACGTATCACTGTCATAAATAGTCTCAACCCAGTGGAGTACTCAAAGATTTCAGAAGAGCAAGCCCAGCAATGGAGATCAGAGAAAACTAGCATGATCAAACCTATAAATACAGGTTCTAAATTAGTGGACTGTGTGTAGGCAGGATTCTCAACTAATATTACTATAGTTCTTCCCCTCGGATCAGGACTGAGTGAAACAAATCTTTTAGGAGCCTTTAGCCTTTTACTTTATGAGGTCCATAATGTTAATGCCTATGTAGGTGAATCCTGAAGGCTCCAGCAGTTGACCAGTATTCATACACACTTGAGAAATTTCCCAGGAAATTTCTGAGGCATGGCAGAAGCTTTGAAAATAGCTGAAGATGAAGGAATTGGAATTTGCAGCTGCAAGAGCTTACTCTTGTGTGGTTCACAAATGGATGAGTGATTGCAAAAAACTTGTTTAATAATCACTTTGCAACATTTTCAAGAATTTACAGTATGTTGCCCCAGCAAACAGAAAGTACCTTCCGTCTAAGGGGAAGATTTGCTTCTGCAACAATGGCACTTGCAAAGCAGCTCCTTCAAGGTTTTTAGATCAAGACTAAAAAGCTCAGAGAAGAGCAATTGTCATAAATTCGTTCATGCATAACAAACAGAAATCAATAAAAAAATATAATGAAAATGATGAAATATAAAAATGGATAAAATATAAAAGATTCCAGATCAATGACTACCTCAGAAAATAGACACAATGTTAGTCTGGTTTTGACAGACCAGTGAGCGCTTTATCCAGTCTTCCATAAACTATATGAAGGAGAGGATTCTTGCCAAAGAATCTATAAACTCTAGAAGATTTCCTACATTATGCAGGGACTTAAGATTTGCAGAACCACCTTTCTCCACAAATTTCTGTTCTGGTCCATCAATAAAATAATGTCTGAAGAATCCAGGAAGTATATTGTGATGCCTGCCCTTTGAAACCACACCCTAACGTGACTCTGCTGCTCTTTAAAATCTAAACCACTAACATCTCTTTCATAAATTGTGCAATTCAGTTACAACCATGGTGACAGTAAAGTGACAGTAACACTGCAGGATAATTTGTTTACACTCAGTGCTCTACGGGGGTCCATATTTGTTCCATGGGCAAAAGGGAGATTTACAGCTCATGTCATACTTCTTTCAAAAGGCAACAAAATACCACATGATACATTGTTAAATGAAATGAAACATATTCCTCAAGTAAGCACAACCCCATGGTTGTAAGCCACTCTGTAGATTATCTGCACAAGAAAAGGATGGAAAGCAGTTAGAAAACACAGATGTGGCTACAGAGTCTTTCCTCCAAGACCAAATCATCTGAATCCTGAAAAAGGGCTGTGATTAGCACTCCAATTATGTGATGACTCACCTTCAGTGCCATCTTCTCTTGGAGAAACAGTGTCAGGCCTAGGGGGAAATTGGGGTGTAGGAGGAACAGTAGGTGTAGGGGATTTGGTTGGTTTGGAAGTGGTAGAGACTACACAAAAAGAAAGGGAAAATGTTTATGTAGTTTTCTCCAGATCCAGGATGCTCAACTTTAAAATTTTCAATACTGAGGTTCAACAAAGATTTAAGAAAAATTACTTACGTATACGACATGTTGGAACAGATTTCCACTGACTATCAGCACCACACTCAATTGTAGAAGACCCTACCAAAGTGTGGCCAGGATTGCATTCAATCTGTATTTTATTCTCATACGTATATGTAGCTTGAAACACACTTGCCACTCTCCCATTTTCGACTCTTGGTCTGTGACACTCAACCTCTGGAAAAGAAATCAGTGTTTACTTTGCCCTGAATGACCAACTGGCTTTGTGAGAAGCAAATGAGAAAGTATGCATGTTATTGTTAGTCAAATGCTGTGAGTTATATATTTCAGTCACAGAATGAGAAACAGATACATAATGGTGACATGTATGCATGTAGTGGCATCACCATGTGATGTAATTATGGTGTGCTGCTGGCACTAGGAATCTTAAGCCTGGAAATCATTATCTGCTTACCTTCCGCCAAAAAGAATAACTATCTAATATGGCTGCATCTTGTTTGCAGGAGTTGTATGAAACAAAATTAAATGGATACACACACGATTACCTGCTGATTTAATAATTAACTGAGCCACATATATAACTATTATTATAAATATGCAACATTGACAGTTAGTGAGATATAGTATTTTAGATTAGGATGAAGGAGTTCACCTAAGGTTTCTATGATTAAGAGAAACGGTTCTCTTGGAATTGGGAATAATCTCATTAGATTTTAAGATACTATCCAATGTTTTACCTTGTATTACTCCATGGATGGTGTGGGGCATGATAGAGACGCTTTAGGTTGAAGAAGATACCACCCCCTTCTGCTTGAATCCTTGGTTTTTAGTCTATTCCTCAATTTTTGTAATTTTAAATGTTCTTATGTATTTATATATGTATTTATATTTCTATTTTTATTGTATTGTAAGCCACTCAGAGTCACTTTGGATAGTGAGATGGGCAGCATACAAATTTAATAAATAAATCAGAAGGAAATGAAAACGAAACTTTTTTTATTATGCTCCTAACACAATGGAGCACAATAAGTCCAATTCAGCTATAGGGCATTATTACCAAATCTGAACACAAGTAATAGAAGAAATTATCTGAATTATGTTTGCATTTCTTTCAATACTAACTTGTACGAACCAGTTTCACTCAGGTAGTTTCCACTTAGTAATCCACAGAACCCAATGCTTAGAAGACAAGATTACCAGATTTTAGCAAGAGTATAATGTATATAACTAATGGAACTAACAAAAAAGCAATTTGGCATATTGAAGGTAAGGAAAATAACATAAATTCCATTACTTTTGCATTCAGGTGGAGACAGATCCCACTTTCCATCTACACCATTTTCTTCAACTATACATGTAATAGCAGATTTTCCAATAAGGGAGTAATCAGGATCACATCGATAGAGTACTGTTGAGCCAGCATCATATGTATCTAAAGGATTGGGATCATATCTTCCATTGGCAATTATAGGAGGACGAACACAAGGAATACCTGGAGAAAAAAATCAACACTGATTTAACTAGGTTAGAATTGCAAATCTTTTGGATAAAATTACCTCATGGTATAAATGTTTAGCTGCTTGAATTAATTACTTGACCCCATCAGGTAAATGCAAACATTCTTTCTACTGTCAACCAGAACATCAAAGTCACTTTGCCAAGGACAATATTCCTATCTAATAAATATCTGCTGTCCAGATCCTGGGTAGGATTTCTTCATAATGTTCTTATTATCAAAGTGGTCTTCCTCATTAGGATCTCTTCCATATGCAAGTTTAAACTAGAAAAAGTACATTCTTCCTATGGAAGTAACATGGAAGTCACCCATCTCTTGACAGAATATATACTCAGAAGTATATACTTCATCAAGAAAAGCGTTGCATGGTAGGTGAGGCTCACAACAGAAGAGCCATTGCCTGTTTACATTATGCTAATGTGACTTGACCTAAAGGTTTGAGATTTAAAGAGGCAGATTCAATGCAAGGTTGTGATTTCAAAAAGGATTCATTCATAAATTATAATGGGAAAGCATTTAAATGCTTGCAGATGCTTATTTTTTGGCAGAATGCAATGCTAATAGCAGGAACAATAGTTTCTTTAGTGGACGGACATTAATCATACTAAGGTTAAACTGGTTATTTCCAAAGATTCCTGATTCCACTGCAATATTTTTTTCCAATATTTTCTCCTACTACAAAGATAGTAAAAATTAGGAAAAGGCAGCATATGGTGGCTTCCTGTATCCATTTTTCCCCTATGTGTAAATCAGAATCACATTAGCTCTTTTCCAGTCTTCTGGTAAGTTCCCCTCTGCTCCAGGAGCTATGAAAGATTATGTTCAGTGGTTCTAAGATAATAATAATAATAAAGTTGGAAGGGATCTTGCAGGTCATCTAGTCCAACCCCCTGCTCAGGCAGGAAATCCTATACCATTTCAGACAAATGGTTGTCCAATCTCTTCTTAAAAACTTCCAGTGTTGGAGCATTCACTACTTCTGGGGGCAGGTTGTCTGCCAGCTTTTTCAGAATCCTGAATTTAATCTATTTGGTCAAATGTCTGTGGAAATTCTCAGTCATCCAGGTCATAATTGTTTCAAAGGTGCTTTTTCAAAAGGCATCTGGACTCCCCCCTAAGGAAGAACAAAATATTACACTTCTCATCCAAGAAGTGATAAAACTGATGAAGCTTCTTAGATGAGAAGCAAAACATTTTGTTCTTCCTCCTCAGGAAAAAAACAATCCAGTTGCCTTTTGAAAAAGCACTTTTGAGACAATCCATCTGATCCTTTGAATTTGAGCTCATCTAGAGTGGATATGTATATCCAGGTCATGGTTAGCCCAAAGGTGCTTTTTCAAAAAGCAACTGGACTGGCTTTGTTTCTGATTGAAGATGTTTCACTTCTCATTCAAAAAGCTTGGGTGAGGTGAAGTTTCAAAACTGAAGAAGCTTCTTGCATGAGAAGCAAAATGCCTTCAAGCAAAAACAAAGAAAGTCCAGTTGCCTTTTGAAAAAGCACCTTTGGGATATTCAACTAAAGGCTAGGCAGAGTGAATCTTTGCTATTAAGCTAAATGTAAAAGCTTAAAATAAAATATCTTACGTTCACAAAATGGAAGCTCTCTATTCCAGTCAACTTTGCCTGATTTCAAAGTACACCGTCGAGTGTTACCACCTATAATTCTGAACCTAAAGGGAAGAAAAGTCTTATGTCTCAGCAATTGATTTTTTTAGTTGCAATTTCTAAAATAAGCCACAACAGGTTGAGTTCACACAACATGCTCACTCAAACCAAACAAATTATATTATGATGTACTAAAATATAGGACTCCAACCATTATAATACTCTGGTACTTATTTTCCTAGTAAGTATCTTTAGAAGTATATCCTGATAACTTGATAGGTGCTGTATACAATAAGTGTTCACCTTCAAACCAGTATCAAAGCTTTATACCTCCACTACCCTGGCTGGTCTAAATCTCGCTCTCCTCTCCCCACATTCCCAAACAGATACAAGAAAGTTACTGAGATTTAGGAAATCACATATAAAGAAATTCTTAGGACACCAGCACAGTAGAAACTTGCTCTATCTATTTCAGTCCCAAACTACAAATCTTGGCCCTTTTCGTCTCACCTTATAAAGCCAGCGGTTTGTAGCTGCTCTTTTCTTGGTTTTAAACTAATTTATTACATCAATCTAGCCAGAAATGTAGGTTAAGATAAACAGGACTTCCTACAAGTTGGAATTAAACTTAATATCCATTTGTAAGGCAATTTGCAATGCTGACAAAACAGGCAGATAAAGACAGCATCAGAGTTTCTTCCAGTATATTCTGTCATGCTGACTCAGGAATTCTGGGAGTTGAAGTCCACACGTCATAAAAGAGCCAAGGTTTGCCTACCCCTGACCTAGGGTAATTAATAAACATCGACATATTGGCAGAATTTTACAGGTAATTTTTGAGTTACAAATGTAATGGAGCCTGCCCATTCCATTTGTAACTTGAAAATTTGTGGGAGTGAATCTTGTACCTCGAACAAAAAAACTCCCTGTTCACACACGGCTGGTTAAGTGCACACAAGGTATCTCAGGGTGGGGAAGGCCATGGAAGACCTAGTGATGGAACAGGCCCCCAAGGCCTTCCTGACCCACTAATATACCTCATGTTTCCCCCTCCCTCCCTCCCTGCCGTGCTGGACTCACTTACCTTGCAAAAATCCTTTCTGTTGTAGTTTCTTTCCCTTTGAGGGAGAGGAGAGTCACCTTGGAAATGCTTTTCACATAGACAATGGAAGCTCTTGGGTGCTGTAATATTGTGTGAGTTCAAAAAAGATCATGGCCCCCAGAAGCTTCCATTCTGGGGGGGGGGGAGTGTTTGCTTCATTTGCTTGCCTATGGGGCAAAGTGTGGAATCAGAGCGGCTGGGAGTAGGAACCAACGCCTGGATGCGTTTCTCGGTCACATGCACTGGCCTTAGTTTGAGGGGAGGACCGAAGCCTTCAACTAAGTGGGGAGGCATCGCAGAGTGAGTCATCTTGCACCTGCACCCAAGCTGCTGGCGAAGGTGGCAGTCACCTGAGTGGTCACGATCTTGCCTCCCCAGCCAGCCATGCAGTCCACCCCATGCAGTCCTTGCCTGACTAGCCAGTAGCCGAAATCTTGACCACTCTTTTCCATGTTGTCCTCCCAACTCAAGCTCTGCTCCTTAAGAAAGAAACTGGAGGCGCAGAGCAGGATTGCTCTCAAGAAGATATGGATGCGCTGCTGGTTTTATCCTGGTCTGTGCCTCCAATTTCTTCCTTTCAGACGGAGCAGAGAAACTCAAGCTGCTGCCACTCAAACAGTTTTTATCTGAACGAAGACCTTGCGGAGATGGGGAGCTCCTTCTGTGTGTGAATGCAACACTTGAAAACTCAGCAAATTTGTTTCGTTTTGAACCTCCCCATTTGCTCAGAGAGAAAATCCAGTTACCTTTCTGATAAAAAGTTTATGAGAGCCTATCAAGCATTTGAAAACGAAGCGATTTGCTTTGTTTTGAACTGCCCCATTTGCTCACAGATGGAGAATCCAGTTTCCCCAAAGTCTCCTTTCTGATAAAAGGTTTATGAGCGGCAGTGGCTTGGGTTTCTCAGCTCCATCTGAGTGGAGGAAAGCAGAGACACAGCAGCGGGATTGCTCTTAATAAGGCCGGCGCACGCAAGCAAGCAGCACACCCAGGTCTTATTTTTTGAGAGCAATCCTGCTGCGCACGGAGCTGAGAAACCCAAGCTGCTGCTGCCACTTGAGTGAGGAGGAAGAGGAGGAGAAGAGCGGTGAGAATTTGTGCCAGCTGGCCAGCTAGGCAAGTAGATTCGGCAGGGTGGGTGGCTGGCTGGAGAGGAGGATCATGGCCACTCAGGTGGTTGCCACTGCTGCCGGCTTGGATGTAGGTGCCAGGGACCTGGCCCCACAATGCCTCCCCACTTAGTTGAAGGCTTCATTCCTGCCCTCAAACTAAGGCTGGCGCACACAAGCAACCACTCAGCTGGGCCACAGACGATTCCACGCTTTGCCCCATTGTTGTGGAAACGAAGCAAACCCTCCCCAGAGAATAGAAACTTCCGGGGCCATGATCTCTTTTTCAGAGAATGGGTGTTTGAACTCGCGTGATATTATGGCACCCAGGAGCTTCCATTGTCAGCATTTGCAAGCTTTTCTCCTCTCCCTCAAAGGAAAGAACCCGCGGCAAAGAGGAGTCAGATTTTGCAAGGTGAGTCGGGCGTGGCAGGAAGGAAGGGGGGAATAGGGTGAAAGTTGCAGAGCCTCTGCAGTCATTTGTAAGGCCGAACAACTGCCATGGTGCTGCGATATTTGTAATTTTGGGACTTGCTCATAAATACTAAGGGGCGCTGATCACATAACTTCAAACGAGTGTTAAGTGAACGCTCATGACTCTGGGATTACCTGTACTGACTTATATATTAATGATGCCTTTAAATAATTTCTGCAGATTTCTGCAAATCTGTTTTAAGTCATTTTGAAAGATGTGTATCTTACAAAGTAACTATATATTATAATTATCTAGTGGAATATAATTATAATATAAAGTTCACAATAATATATAGTTAACAATTCAGATTTTTATTATCACTATTTTTTGTCCATTATCTCCAAATATATTTTTACAAATTGCTTCAACAAATAATCTCTAACTTACCCATCATTACAAGCAAGGGTTATTTCTTCACCAAGCCGGAGGTCATCTGAATCTATTATTCTGCCATTTTCTATATGTGGAACAGGACATCGCCTTCCTAAAAGATTGGAACTGATGTTAACATGTCCCCTTGCGAATCTTAAAACAAAATAAACACAAGTCTAGAAATTGTATTATTCTAGCTTTACACTTCTCCAAAGTATATTATAGTTGTATTCCTCAAAGTTGTTTTGCAGTGGAGAGCTGCTTTGTAAACTATCCACAGCTTCTGTATATATCTGTTCACTTCCATGGCTGTTCATGCACTTACATATGAAAATAGCCAAAAGTAGTTTATGAAGCAGCTGCATGAATTGGAAAAAAGCTGGATGCTTTATACTAAGTCAAAATCTTTCAAAACATTCTCTGTGTATATTAAAATCTCTTGAAATTATAATTATATCATAACAATAAAAATGACTGTTATTAACATGATTATAATTACATATGTATAATATAGAATGATAGTAAAATAAATTATATGCTTAAAAAGAAAACAAGCTAAACAAACTAAAAACCTTAAAACAGATAATAAAACACTGGAACTACGCAAATTTCAAAATTTCAAACATTACTTTTCAATTGTTAAACCATAAACTGAACCAAGGCAGCCCAGAATGGAATTCTTCAAACTTAACTCTGTTTTGACACAAAGCAAATTCAAAGGTCAGGTGTTGAAAAAATGTCATTAAGTCAATTGTTTTCGAATATATTAACATCCCTCCATGTGTACATAATTGACTTTTTTGCAGAAGACAAAACAGAACATGCAAACTAATCTTTGTAGATGGAAAAATTCCTAATTTGGAGGATATATTTCAACAGATCATTAAATAGTTTTCATTCTTAACTTCTTCCAAGACACTCTTCATCACAGTAATAATATTTAAACAATAAGAAATTATTATTGGTGTATTTGCATCACGTATAGCAGGAAGACTGTTTTTCAAAATTATTATGTCTACATCATAAAATGAATGGTATCAATATTTTTACATTTGTTCATCAGCACAATAACACATCTCTTCTCAAAGTTATTTTGCCTACTGAAGTTTTTAAATCATATAAAGCATATTCAACGCTAACATTCTTTAAACCTGAAATATGACTGGACAATAGAGTCTAATTCTCTATTTCGAACTTCTTGAAAGTGTATTTTTATATATTTTTTTAAAAATCCTGATGCTAATAAATTGTGGGTTTACTCAATGCCTCTGGAGTTTCCAAAGTCTGTATGGCATCAGAGCCAAACAATGAACACATCAAAAGCTTTAATTCTATGTGTTATATTCCTTCTACAGAATGTCAGAAGAGGTCATGGTTTCTAAAATAAAAGTGTGACCAAGTATTTTAAGCAAAATACTCCAACAAGTTAATTTCTAATGATAATGAAAATAAAATTTTAACTTTTGCCCAGTAAGGCCCAAATACTTCTGATTAATATTAAAGGCTTAATTACTAGCATATTGTATTTTCCGGCGTATAAGAAGACTTTCTAAAGCATGCAAATCGGCTCCGAAGTCGGGGGTCGTCTTATACGCCAAGTCGTCTTATACGCCAGAAAATACGGTAGTTTCCGGCGTATAAGACAACTTTCTAGGCATGCAAATCGGCGCCGAAGTCGGGGGTCGTCTTATACGCTGAGTCATCCTATACGCCGGAAAATACTGTATTTTGAATCAGGAATTCAAAATGCTAAATAGTAAGTTGAGCCAACAATGGTTAGTAGACAAAATAACTTTCATTTAATACCAGATTGTTATTAATAAGCTAGTCCTTTAAAATCATAACAATTAAAATCACCATAATTGTATAAAAGCTTAACTTTAAGAAATCCTGGTTATTTGTTCCTTCCATGAATATTTCACTATTAATTTATCTGTTTAAAATATTTGTGGAAGCAACTATCTTGGTGCAATATTAATGTTCCTCAGAAACAGAGATATCTTCAACCACATCTTAATATCCCCTCTCATCTGGGAAATTTAAATTGCAAAACTCCTATCTATTAGACAGGATATTTTCCTTAGACTAATAATCTCCAGGTATTTCATAGATTCTGGAGTACTGGTATTATTGTTATTGTTAATTGCGAAGTTGTGTCCAACCCATCGTGACCCCATGGACAAGGTTCCTCCCGGCCTTCCTGCCTCTACCATCTTCTGGAGTCCATTTAAGCTCACGCCTACTGCTTCAGTGACTCCATCCAGCCACCTCATTCTCTGTTGTCCCCTTCTTCTATTGCCCTCAATCTTTCCCAGCATTAAGCTCCACTGAGTCCTTCCTTCTCATTAGGTGGCCAAAGTACCTGAGTTTTAACTTCAGGATCTGGCCTTCTAAAGAGCAGTCAGGGTTGATCTCCTCTAGGACTGACCGGTTTGATTGCCTTGCAGTCCAGGGGACTGGTATAAATGAAGCTTAATTTTTATGTCTATCTCTCAGGACCTTTTTATCAATAAATACAATATTAAATTTATTTTAATTTATTGAATCTACACCCTAAAGATCTCTGTCCCCTCCTCTCCTTAATTGTTTATCTTGAAACAGGATAGCAAACAATTATCTCTTTTGTTAGACATAATGGGGGAATAAAAATTAATCTTCTGCATTATTGTCCAAAGATAGGACAACCATTTATTCAGGATGGTACAAGGATTCCTAATTTGGTTCTTGGACTAGAAAATCTCCAAGGTTGCTTCCAGCCCTATGATTCTATTATTGTAATATTGATATGTTTTTTGGTTAAAGTTTAGTTAAACTTTCCTTCAGAGTAGTTTGCTAACATGTGGAAATGTCTGACCTTGGTCATCTTTGCCAGCTTGCTTGCCTGAGGTCTGGGACAACTCACTGTGGTCAATTCACCAGTCAACTTGCCACAGGACAAGAGTTACAGTAATATTAAAGAAATGGTGAAATAGAATCATTAAAGAAAGGGTGCAAGAGGAGGAACAAAATAAAATGCGACTGACAAAAATAAAAATTTAAAATAATTAAACTAAACTGAATTGTCCCTCAGGAAGTTCTCCTGTGGTAAGTTGGCCACAGCAAGTTGTCTCATTCTGTTACCTGCGTTCCCTCCACTGGGCTTATAATCCCAGCCAGGTGCAGGGGGAGGCACCATGGAAAGGTTCCAAAGACTGGCAGGGCTGTCTGTGCCTGCTGTGCCCCACTACTGACCAGGTCCTTCTTTCACACACCACCTAGAGCTTTCTTTTGCACATTGACCAAGACCCCTTATGCAAAAAAAAAAAAAAAAAAAAAGGCTGGAGCTTGCTTCTTGAAAAATTTTTTTCAATTCTGTTTGTGGAACTTTTTCTGGCTTTATCTTTTTGACTGCCATTTTAACTTTATCCTCTATTACAAATTTACTCAGATAATTTTTTAATGTTTTTCTTCTGTACTGTAGGTTCATTTTGCTAAGCAATTTTTAATTTCTTTAAAAAACACATTTTTATTTGCATTATTAAAACTTTACATTATTCTTTTTGCTTGGTATAAATATCCTTTGCTAAATTCTCATGATGGAATAGTCAGAAGAATTTTCAGTTACTGTTTTATTCAAAGTAAGTTATAGGCTGGAAGTCTCAAATGTACAACTTTAAATCTGATAATTTTGAAGAACTATATATATTTCATTCAACATTTCATAGCAGCCTTTGTTTTGACAAAAGATACTCACCTTGACAAAGTGCAGGAAGATCTGACCACTTATTAGTATCAAGACATCTTATAGTAGGAATTGTTCCAGGTAGATAATCATAACCTGGAATGCACTGTAACCGCAGAGTAGTGTCAACTGCATAGCTTTCTGCTAGGTCTCCTCCTCCTTTTAGTGAAGAATGGGGAGGTAGAACTGGAGCTGGACATTGAGCTGTAGTTAAGTAAAAATTAGGAAGTTCTGAAGTAGAGAATAGAAATAAAGGTCTATTATACTACTGAAGCCCAACCATTCAGTTTTAAGTCACTGGGAGCTTATGCCAAAGAATCTTCAGCCCAGAAATGTAGGATTAAGGTTAGGAGCGCAAAAGCAGAAAATTAGGTAAGAGTAGCAAGAGAACCATAATCCAGCAAAGGTTTCTTGAAATATGACAAGAGCCAGAAGATAACAAAAATGGCAGGCCCACTGCTTATTTAGGATGCAGAAATTTTAACAGATGACCAAGAAAAAGCAGAGAAACTTGACTTCTATTTTACCTCTGAAATGGTCACTTGAATGGTACAGAAAGGAAACAAATGCAATAGGTACAAGTCAATAAGGGTGTAGTAAAGGCATTATAGTAGGCAATAAAGAGAGCTATTTGCAGGGATCTTAAAGACAATACTGTGACCCAAAGGCCAACACAGCTTTACCCCCCCCCCCCAAAAAAAAACAAATGTGAGAGAAATCTTGTCTCCTCCTCTGGCAAGGTAACCATTTCACTGACCTAGAGGAATATGACTGATATAAGGAACCTGGAATTTCCCAAGTTTTGAAAAGGTCTCAGTGTCCCAGAGAATATCTTCAATGACAAGCTATTAGTGTAATTTAGAAGACATTCTAATAAAGCAGGGTTGGCTAACCACACCAGAGAATCAACATTAATGGATATCTATCAAGATGGAAAGCAGTAACTAAGAAAGTTTCAGATATAGGTTTTAGACCAGGGGTGTCAAACTGCCGGCCCACGGGCCGGATGCATCACATGGAAGCCGCGCCCACCCCATTGCTGGCAATGGCAAAACTGGCCCGATACATTGCACGTCACATGACATGCCTGTTTTAGATCCAGTATAACTTAACATTTTCATTAATGAACTAAATAGCTATCAAATGTGTGAGTGACACAAAACTGGAAGTTCTTAACAACACATAGGATAAAAGTATTTGATTGCAATCTAGCACCAAAGACAGGGTTGAAAGGAAAAATACATCCTTTAACAGGAAAAAAATGTGAAGTATTACATTTAGAGAGAAAAAAAATGTAAGACAAACATACAAGATGGTGGAGTCATGGCTTAAAATGCTACATCTGAGGATTTAGGTGTGGCCACTGACAAGAAGCTGACCACAAGTCAGGAGTATGAAACAGTTATTAGAATGGATACAAATTTGAATTGCATTAGAAGCACACATTAAAAACACATAAAATCATTGTTCCCCTCTACTTGGCACTTGCAAGACTACACCTGGAGTACTGTATCTGATTCTGAATACTACATTATCAGAAGGAGATTGATGGGTTAGAACTTCTTCAGAGTGCAGTAACAAAGATGATTATGAAATGAAACTATTTCCCATGGCCACCTAAATTAGGATCAGAAATAACAAGTTGCAGCTACCTGGATTTCATTTAAATGTGTAAAAAAGCCTCCTGATAAGACTTGTGTAGCAGTTTAGCTGTGGAGGTTGTAGATTCTCCATTCTTGGAAGTTCTTAAGTTGAATCTCTCATGGATTCTATAAATAATTTTCCTATATTTTGCAGTAAGTCAGACTAGATGATCTTTACAGGTTCTTCCAAACTACAATTTTCTCATTTTCCTTTCACTACACAAAGGATACTCTTTACTTTTAGAGGAATTTAAAGCTATCTATCCTATTTTACCTTATTTTTCAAGGTAGATTGAAAACCATTCGTTCAGAGCAGACATGTCAAACCCGCGATGTCACGTGACATCGTGCAACGTATCAGCACTGTTTTGCCATTGCCGGCAATGGGGTGGGCATGGCTTCCACATGACACATCCAGCCCCCGGGCCGGCAGTTTAACACCCCTGGTTTAGAGGTAGGAGAAACCTCAAATGTAATTTACCAGATTTCCTGCATGGATTGCCCCTGCAGCTATGTGGGATAGACACAGAGGAAGTTAATCATCAGATTGCAAAAGCACAAGGGAGTGGTTAGATGAGGAGACAAACTCATTGGTAGCTTCACATTGCAATGAACAAGAACAACCTAGTGCACATATTCTGGAGAGAGAGAGAGAGAGAGAGAGAGAGAAGTTCCCTGATGATGGGATTCTAGTGTGAGCCTGAAAGCTTGGAAGAATAAACCAAGACTGACTCAGATTGGCTCCTGCAACATTCTCATGGGACACATATATATTCCTTCATTTGCAAAAATTATTTGCTTAACATAATTAAATCTTAGGGCTTTGCTTTTGCAGTTATAATAGACTATGTGAACATATAGCCCTACCAGTAACTTAAATAATCCTTAAAAAAAAAAACATTCCTCTGAACCTTGGTTTCTGAGTCCAGCTTTTATGTTCTGAAACAGAAGTTCACTTCTTGGCTTTCAGTCCCTGTTTGGTGTTTGACTTCTGTAACTCAAGAAACCAACTCTTAAGAGAAAAGGTCAAGTGAACAGGTCAAGAACGGAAAAACCAACTTCTTCCCCTTAAGAGTTACATATCTGTTTGAGAAAGAACAAATATCATCCACAAAACAACTATGATGTTATTCCCATCAGGAGCAGTAACCATTGTATTAACAATTAAAAGAACCTCAGTTAAGGCACTCTACTGCAGTGTTTCTCAACCTTGACAATTTTAAGGCATGTGGACTTCAACTTCCAGAATTCCACAGCCAGCAATGCTGGCTGTGGAATTCTGGGAGTTGAAGTCCACATGCCTTAAAATTGTCAAGGTTGAGAAACACTGCTCTACTACCTCTGCCTTCTAGAAGCCAGATCTGGCTAAAAGCCCGGCTGTTTCTGAATCCCGCAGTCAACCAAACAAAGGGTCCAGGGGTGGGGAGGGGGAAGTGAAGGATGGAGAATCCACGGCCACTGAGGAGCCACTAGGCTTGATACGATATAGGCGAATGGGCGTGGGCGTGGCAGCCCCAGCCTCTCCCAGACCGCAGAGGGCCCCGGCGACAGGCTCTGGCTGGCTTCGTTCTTTTTCTTTCGACTCAACAAGATGAAGTGTCTTTGCGGTACGCAGCTGGAGCAGCAGCTCTGCCTGGCGAGGGGCTTTCTTGTTCTCGGTCGCAAAATAAGAAATCGCGGCTCTCCGGAGCCAGGGACAAAGCGACTCCCCGCCTTGTCGACGGAATCTCGATATGCTCCCCTCTCTAGGCAATAATTAAGGTGTTTTTCCTCCCTCTCACCCCGCCCATTTTAGAGCACGAACTTTCGCAAGCTCCTAGAGGCGCTTCTTACTCACACAAAGCCGTGGACGAGAATAACAGCAGGAGCAAGGCCGCTGAAAGAACCTCAGCGGAACAAGAAGCCAAAAGACCCATCGCAACAGCTGGCGGGAGTTGGAGAAACACTCCGGGAGTCTAAAAGCAGAAAAGGGCGGCACTCCCAAATACTACCGGAAGACGAAAAATACACAGCCACCGCTTTTCTGGTAAATGGGCGTGAGCAGCTTTGTCTTTATAACCCGACCTTTATAACGTCATGACAAACAGGAAGTTTCTAAGACTACGGCGCGCTGCTCTGCGGCGGTCAGGTGTAATGCAGAAAAGCATGGAGCACGTGGTTCCGAACAGGAACTGGGTTTCCTTGGTTGACTGGAGGGAGGAAACGGGTGGGCGGTGGTTTGACTTCGTGCTGTAAGAGGAGTTTTGAAGAAATTTGCGGTTTTTAACTCAGAAAGAGAAAGAAAAGGAAAGGAAAGGAAAGGAAAGGAAAGAAAGAAATAACTAACTCGGCGGAGGTTGTAAGGATGAATCCAGGCTAGAAAGCTGGTGTTTTGAACCTTCCCCAGCTTGTTGACAGCTATGTTAGGCTTCAGTTCTCATAAATGTGGATAGCATAACTACTGTTCATGTCTTAAATTCTAAAGGTTCTGGAACTGAAGAACAATAATGGTGGAGAGTATCCAACTGGGAAATAGTTGTTGATGGTGCATGCTTGCAGTTGTAGTGGTATTTTCATTAAATTCTTTTTTTAATTCACGTTATCAACCAGCTTGATTTAGTTAGTGTTTAAGGCACCAAGCCAGAAATCAGGACAACATGAGTTCTAATCCTGGCTTAGACTCAAAGCCAGCCGAATGTCTTGGGCCAATCACTCTCTCTGTTCTAGGAAGGAGGCAGTAGCAAACCACTTCTGAAATACTGCCAGGAAGACTGCAGGGACTAGTCCAAACAGTCTTGACTCCTAGCAACTATCTGGAGAAGTCCCCTCTACTATTGGCAAGATTTTAGAAGTGGTTTGTTACTGCCAATCATTCATGCTAGAGCATCAACAAAAGTGGAACTACGAAATATAAATCTAAAAGAAGCACAAGACATTTGGCACTTATGATAAAGCAATTGTATGTTTAAGTTCTAAATAATTTCATTTGCTTCCAAGCAACTTAGCTTTTCAACAAATAGAAAGGAAACCAGTTCTGAATAAGCACATATAGGATTGCGTAAAAAAAAAATGGTAGAAAAAGTGCACTAAAACATTTTACCTGCGCTTTTTATCATATAGCTTATTTTCTTCAGTTGATGAAATGTTTCTGCAAACATTTACGTTAATAATTAGAAGTATTTGAAGGCAATTGTTTCTTAAGAACCTCATTACATGTGTAGCACCATGCTGGATCAGATGAAGAATCCATTCTATTTTTTAAAAAGACCAAGCAGCTTTACCTTATGTTTTATGTGGTAGCAAATTCTATTGTTTAATTTTATTCTGGGTGATGGAAAATACTGAAATAAGAGCACTTTTTACTCTTAAAATTAATAGAATGTTTCTGTATTTTGAGAGCAATAAAGTTAAATCAGTATTCAGTGGCTGATATTTTTCTAGGAACTGCTATGGCACTCAGAAAAGTTGCTAATAGTAGTTAATTTAGATTTTTCACAAAAATGAATGCCTGAGGCTGAGAATAAATGCAAAGCATTATGAAACAAGGTAAATAAGGTTGAGAAATTGATCCCTGGCTTGGAAGTTATATAATTTATTTTGGAGAGGATTGCATTCGCCTAATAAAAATAGTACTTAGTTGAGTTTATTGTGAATTTACTCTTATTACCGGATATTCTACAGATGTCACTGGGTAGAACAGCCTATTAACAATTTTGGCTTGTACATCAGCTCCAGCCTTCCCTGACAGAAATAGTTTTAAGTTGATTGCTTAAAGGTAACATTAGGGGATTTTCCTTGAGAGTAGTTCAAAATCTGCAAATAACTCAGAATTCTACATACCTCCATTTCTGAAGAATCTGCACTAATTCATTTAGCCATTCAGTCATTTTAATAAACCACTGTTGATTTCTCTGATTCTCTGATAAAAAACTTTGAACTAAGATTTGGATAATTTCTAACAGTCCTTACATCCTGATAAGTGATTAATTATAGAGCGGAAGTGGACATTCTTAATTATGGTACTAACCATATGAAATAAATTCCCTGTATCTGTTCAATAGTCCCTCCAGCCAATTCTGGAATGTTTCTACTATATATTAAAAGCTTATCTGTCTGTGCAGACATTTTGATTTTCTATCTTTCCTTAGCTGTTCTATAGTTTCTTAATAGTGTTAATTTAATTTATATCTTGTTGTATTTGTTATTTAATGCTTTACTCTATCTTTTAAATGCTTAAAAAGTAAAATATTTTTTAAATGCACACAAGTAGGTCAGCTATGGTTTGAACAAATTTCAAAGCCTCACTCCTTCCCTCTACAATAGAAAGAAAGATGACAAAATTGTTAAATATCTATTAGTTTTTCACTGACTTCAATTTATATTTTTTATACCTATGTGCTGGGCAAGAACTGAGAAAGGCTGACTAAAATTTGAGAATTCCAGAAGACTGATGAATATATAAATAAATCCTCTGGCATTCAGCATAATCTGAAGAAGACTTAAAGGTGAAATTAATATTTTGTAACAGGAAGACAGATCAGTTAAGCCAAGGAAAGAAATGTGCAATCAATCTCTCCATTGAGTCATCTATTCTTGAATAAAGCAGTGCATGATGATACTTCAATAAATTTAGCTTGTGAACAATCATTGACATTTGGACTTTCAGTAAAGCTGATACCAAGTGTGTGATTTTTTTTCTACTGTGGTATAAAACAAGCACTAATTCTGTTCAATAGGTCACATATTTTTAAAAAAACAACAATTTGTTCTTTCCGAATAGGGTGGATATTGTATTGTTGTAACAAAAAAGCTTACTTCCACACCCTTCTGTATCCTTAGCCTTATAAGATTACTTCTTGATTAATGCAACAACCATTTGCTACTAGAATGAGGTGATGGCCATGACAAATCAATAGATAAGCTGAATGTTTCATTGGAATCACAAATAAAAAATTTGTGGAGGATAATAGTATAAATAAATAGTATCAAGAATGATAAATGCAGTCCCCACTAGATATCATTGGAGTAATACACTATCCAGATATTTAATATATGCCTGCAGCATATAAAATAAAAAATTGTGACACAGATTAATGGACACATACCTTAATATATAGCAGGGATGCCCAGCTTGGGTACAATTAGGTCACATAAGTAGCCCTTAATAGGCCCCTTCATCCCACGAATAGAGACATAACATTTCTGAAAATGTTGAAACCACCAAAAGAAACAAGCCTTCGAGAAAAAATGGAAATTTGGAGAAAATAGAATTATATGCAGTATCCATTTCTACACCGTCCTTTACTGATCTAAACTGACACTGCTATTTTAAGAACATACAATGCATTAGTATAATTTGGTTTGCTCATATTATGTTTAATTATTTTACATTAAATATTTTGAGAACTTTTATCTAGTGCTCTAGAGTTTTTGAAATGTTAGCAGCAAAGAAATTCACAAGCAAATCAGGCACCCTTTTTGGTAAAAGTGGCAATGCCTGCTGGAAGCACTAGTTGTATTCTGTATACAGGAATAGTAAGTTACTGAGTATACTGAGAAAAGTCTTCCTGTATTCTATTATAGAAAACATTTTGGATCAATAAAAGATACTGATGCATGGTATCTTGTCTTATTGCATTCATTTTTTTACAAAAAGTTCATGTTTCCTCTACTTTTTCCATTTTTCCAGAAAAAATGTTTCTAAAAATAAAATAATTTTTCCCCCTCCAGAAATCTTTTACTTTTTTTATTTTTCCTTTGGTGAAAAGAGAATGGCAAAGGATAGGAACAGAATAAAGGTACAGAGTAAGAATTATAAAAAGCAGACATTAATACATGCCAGTTGCCAAGCATCCAGATTTTGATCACATGACCATGGGGATTCTGCAATAGTTGTAAGTGTGAAAAATAGTCAGAAATCACTATTTTCAATGCCGTAGTAACTTCAGTCATTGAATTTTTGTAAGTCAAGGGCTACCTGTACAACTGTATAAAAGGAGGAGCAGGTAGCATATTAACCTCTATTCTGAGGTCTGTCCAGCAACTCTCACCATATTATTCCATAGATGGCAATGTTTTTCAATACTTCTTAGTTTAGCAAATGTTATCGGAATGGGAAACTTGTCACAGCCAACTTGCCATGGCCAATTCGCCACTGGACAACTCGCTACAGCCAACTCCTTTGGGACAACTTACTGCATGACAATTTAACAATTCTATTTAATTATTTAAAATCATTTTTCTTAATTTTTACCATTCACATTTCATTTTTGTCTCTCCTTTTGCATCCTTTAATGATTCTATTCCACAACTTCTTTGATATTAGTGTAACTCTTGTCCCGCAGTGAGTTGTCCATGGCAAGTTGTCTATGGTGAATTGTCACAGATACAATGTTATTGTTAGAAATCTACCACCTCTGAAATAGATGGGAATTATATAAGAAATACAGCAGGATCAAAAGCTATGCCTCTGATTCCCCAAACATAACTTTGGAGACTACTAAAAGAGACATGCAACTGTCTATGGAGTCCCAAAGATTTAAATTTGGATTTGGATTCATTTCCCCAGTTGATGACCTCATATCCTTTGAAAACATTTCCTTATAACAAGGAAGCTTTTAGTGCCAAATAGTACCCAATAAAGGTAGAGTTAATACTATGCTGATGAAAAAATATTTCTTATGCTAATATGGCAAGCCAAGTTTTAAAAATTATCCAGTGTCTAGAATAGCACCATATATTTATAAAAGTATTTAAAATATTTTACTTTTCTACTTAACACTTAAAGTTAAGTACATATGCTTGTTACATGTAGTTGTATTCAAACAAAATATATAATGTTTATTGTTGAATCTAGAAATGTCATTTTGCATATGGAAGGGAGAAAGAATTTTTCTTATTTAGTATAAAATACTTAATGAAGAAAAGGGAACAAAACTCTAAAGTATATTTCTCTTTGTGGAAGCTGCCCATGTTATCTGTGGAACAGCATCACTGCCATACTCAATATATTATTATTATTATGGATCATCGCACAGTCAGCCAGATGTTCAGACTGGATTTGGCATTTTGTCTACCTATCGAGTCCTTACCCTGGGATAGGCAGATGTGGATGTTTGATGGTATTACAGATATCGTCGCAGGATGGAAGCAGTTCCTAGTAAGGCCGCCTTTTGCAATTGACTAATAGCGAATTTGTCAATGCCAATGGTGTTCAAGTGGTGCTCCAGTTATTTTGGGATTGCACCCAAGGAGCCTATCACTATTGGTACTACCCTTGCTTGGTTTTGCCACAGTCTTTCTATTTCTATTTGTAGGTCTTTGTATTTTGTTATCTTCTCCAGTTCTTTCTCCTCTATTCTGCTGTCTCCAGGTACTGCCACGTCCACTATCCAGACTTTTTTGTCTTTCTTATTGACAATTGTTAAGTCTGGGGTGTTATGTTGCAGGTGCTTGTCTGTTTGAATTCTGAAGTCCCATTTTCTATGACTTTCTCTGTTTTATGATCCCACCAGTTTTTGCTTACAGGCAAATGATATTTTTTGCAGATCTTCCAATGCACCATTGTTGCTACTTTGTCATGCCGCTGCTTGTAGTCAGTCTGTGCGATCTATATTATTATTATTATTATTATCATTCATCGCACAGTCAGCCAGATGTTCAGACTGGATTTGGCATTTTGTCTACCTATCGAGTCCTTACCCAGGACCTGGGATAGGCAGATGTGGATGTTTGATGGTATTACAGGTATCGTCGCAGGATGGAAGCAGTTCCTAATAAGGCCGCCTTTTGCAATTGACTAATAGCAAATTTGTCAATGCCAATGGTGTTCAAGTGGTGCTCCAGTTGTTTTGGGATTGCACCCAAGGAGCCTATGACTATTGGTACTACCCTTGCTTGCTTTTGCCACAGTCTTTCTATTTCTATTTGTAGGTCTTTGTATTTTGTTATCTTCTCCAGTTCTTTCTCTTCTATTCTGCTATCTCCAGGCACTGCCACGTCCACTATCCAGACTTTTTTGTCTTTCTTATCGACAATTGTTAAGTCTGGGGTGTTATGTTGCAGGTGCTTGTCTGTTTGAATTCTGAAGTCCCAGAGCAGTTTAATTTTATCATTTTCTATGACTTTCTCTATTTTATGATCCCACCAGTTTTTGCTTACAGGCAAATGATATTTTTTGCAGATCTTCCAATGCACCATTGTTGCTACTTTGTCATGCCGCTGCTTGTAATCAGTCTGTGCAATCTTCTTGCAACAGCTTACCAAGTGGTCCACTGTTTCTTCAGCTTCTTTGCATAGGCGGCACTTACTGTCTGTTGCTGTCTTCTCAATTTTGACTTTGTATGCATTTGTCCTTAAGGCTTGGTCTTGTGCAGCCAGAATTAGTCCCTCGGTCTCTTTCTTCAATTTTCCTGCTCTTAGCCATTGCCAGGTTTTATTATTATCTGCTTTCCCAGCTATTTTTTTCATGTATTGGCCATGTAGTGCTTTGTCTTCCCATGCCTCTATTCTGTTCTTCATTTGGTCTTTCTTGTAGGCCAGTTTGGTCTCTCCAGTAGTTAGTAAGCCTTCCTGATATACTAATTTCAGTGCATCTTCATCATTGTTCTTCAGATATTCTTCCAAAGCCATTTTTTCTTCTTCAACCATCTGATGTACTTGTAGCATTCCACGCCCACCTATTTGCCTTGGTAGATAAAGTCTATCAATGTCACTGCGTGGATGAAGGGCATGATTCATTGTCATTATTTTTCTGGTCTGCCTATCCATTGCTTTTAGTTCTGCTTGAGTCCAGTCCACTATTCCAGCTGTGTACCTAATGACTGGGATTGCCCAGGTGTTGATTGCCTTTATGGTATTTCCTCCATTGAGTTTGGATTTTAAGATCTTCTTCACTCTCTTGATGTATTCACCTCTAATCTTTTTCTTGACTTCAGTGTGCTTGATGTTGTCAGCTTGAAGGATACCCAAGTATTTGTAGTACTCTTCCTCATCCAGACTCTTAATGTTATTTTCGTGGGGCATCTTGATTCCTTCAGTTTTCACTATTTTTCCTTGTTTGATAGTAAGTGTGGCACATTTGTCCAAGCCAAACTCCATTACAATATCTTGGCTATATATACGGACAGTGTTGAGCAGCGATTCTATTTCAGATGATGTTTTTCCATACAGCTTCAGATCATCCATGTAAAGGAGGTGGGATAGTCTGGCAGATGTTTTTGATGTTTGATAGCCATGTCCTGAGTTATTCAGTATTGTTGACAGAGGAAACAGTGCAATAACAAATAGTAATGGTGATAATGAATCTCCTTGAAATATTCCTCTCTTGATATTAACCTCTCCCAGCTTTCTCACCATTGATCTGCAACTGTGTCTTCCATTGTGCCATTGATTTTTGCACAAATTTTCTGATGTTTCTACTTACTCCTGTTATTTCTAGGCACTTGATTATCCAATCATGTGGCAGAGAGTCAAATGCCTTTTTGTAGTCAATCCATGCCACATTCAGGTTGGTCTTCCTTCTCTTGCAGTTTTCCAAGATCATTTTGTCTATTAGGAGTTGATCTTTTGTTCCTCTGCTATTGGGGCGGTTTCCTTTCTGCTCAGGTGGAAAGAGATTGTTTTCAACTAGATGCTGTTGTACTGCATCAGCTACCACACCAGTTAGTAATTTGAATGTTGTTGGCAAGCAGGTAATTGGCCTGTAGTTACCTGGTGTTGCCCCTTTTGCTGGATTTTTCATTATTAGGTAGGTTTTCCCAGTTGTTAGCCACTTTTCAATTTCTCCTCCTTGTAGTATATTGTTGAACTGCTTGGCAATGAGTGGGTGTATAACAGTTAGATGTTTCAACCAAAACCCATGCAGTTCATCTTCACCTGGTGCTGACCAATTTTTGATTTTCTTTGCTCTTTTTTCTACCATTTTTGTTGTTATTACTAGTTCTTTCATTTCAACTTCTGTTTTATTTGCATCCACCTCTTTTAACCAAGCCGCATCCTTGTTGTATTTCTTTGGGTTATCCCATATCTGCTTCCAGAACTGCACTGTTTCTTCCTTGTCAGGTACTGACTGATTCCTTGCAGTTTCTCCATTGATGGATTGGTAGAAACGTTTCTGATTGGATTGAAATTGGAGGTTCTGCCTATAGTTTGCAATTCGAGCTTCATATCTACTGATTTTCCTGGCTATAGCTGTTATTTGTTGCTTTATTATTTCCAGTGCTTCCTTGATCTTCCTTGTTTCTAAGTGGTATTTCTTGATTAGGTATTCTTTGGTCTTCTTGTTCTTCAGCTTCTTTTCTTTCATCTGTTCTAGCTTGCTTGCATGTGATCTTAACTTGCTGATCTTATTTTCTAGTCTAACCTTCCATTTTTGTGGTGCACTGTTTGTTTGTTTTTCTTTTTTGTTGATTTTACATCCCAGGTATTCTGTTATAACTGCAGCTGTGCTGTACATTAGTTGGTTTGTTTCTTGCAGTGAATTGGTGCTTATACTTGCTATTGCAGTATTTGCATCTTTTAATGCTTGTGCTAGCTGTTTCTTTGGAACAAGCTTCAATGCAGGCAGCCTTATTCTGTTGTTTTTGTGCTGTTCTAGATGCTCAGTTATTCTTTGTTTCAATTCTTTTATTTCTTTAGTTAGAGGGTTTTGTTCTTCCTGAGGAAGAGGTGCCTGGTTTCCAAATGAGAACAGTTGTATATCTCTACTGGATTCTTTCACTGCCAACTCCCCCTGGTTTGCCTCTACATTCTGAATTACTTCTTGTAAGGCTTTGATTTCTTTGCCCTGGGTAAACCTTTGCAGTTCGTCCAATTCTGTTTCTGTAAATACTTTATTTCGTGTTATAAATCGGCGTTGATCTGCTAGTCTCTGTTCTGTTATTTCTGATTCTGGATGTTGTTCTTTCCAGAATTCGTGCATTCGTTTTAGATATCCTCGTCTTGTTGGACTTGATCTGTAGTAACAGATCATTATTTCTTTGTTTTCCATCACTGTGTATCTGCGACGGGTAAACACCTTTTCTTCCAGTAGTTCTGCAGCTGCTGGCCCTGGTTGCTCAGCCAACAGTCCTGAGTCCTGTAACCCATTTTTCACCAGATATCCAGGAACTCCAATATCTAGTGTGGACCTTGTTAACCCGGGCGACGTCCGAGCCGGTATGGCATTCTGAAATTTACGTCTCACCATATTTTTTATGGGAGAGACACTCTTTGTCTGACTCCTCTGATGAGACCTGTCCAGTATGGTTGAACCTCTGGCATAGGTCTCATCTTCCTCAGAGTACACAAGCCCCACAACCACATCAAGGTATTATTATTATTATTATTATTATTATTATTATTATTATTCAAACTTGGGAAAGTATCTCACCATAAAACATTAAATATTATGCAAAACAAACATCACATTTAATATTTCATATTTTTGCATCTTTTTCTAAAAAGCTATTAAAATCACTGAATTAAAATGTAAAACATCATTCAACTTAGGGAAAAAAAGAAGTTTTGAGATTATATTTTACCTTTGCATTCAGGAACAGACCCTCTCCAGATCCCAGTTTTATTATCTTCAGTTATACAATGGAGAAGATCATCTGCAGAAAGTGAAAACCCAAGATCACAGATATAGGTGACTTTTGAGTTAAGGGGGAAAGTTCCATTCTTTCCTCCGGTATAAGCTCCATTCTTTATTTCTGGAGGAGGAGGACAAGTGGGTCCTGAAATAGAGACAAAATTTTGTGACTTGTAAAAAAAAATTGCCAAAACAAATGAGTAACTATTTTTTCTAGGAGAGGAAGCTGGATTGTCTATCTGTCTGTCGGTCAGTCTGTCGGTCTGTCTATCTATCTCTTTACCTAAATGGACATTATGAAGAATATGCTAGCACCAAGACAGTTGAATACGGGTCTGACAGAGGCTATTGGAGGTCAGGTTTGGCTTGATTATCTGGGGGAGAGTTTGATCTTGTCAAGCCTGAGGAATTAGATAGGATCCTTCAAACTGTTAGGTTGGCCATCTCTGTATTAGATACATCTGTCTCCTAGCTAGTCAGCAACCTTTGGTTCTGACGATAGTTAATTCCTCTTTGAGAAAGGGGGTGTTCCTGCCATGTCTTGGTTTACCCCTCATAAAGGGCCATTAGTAGACCCCACTGTCCTTAATAATTTCCATCCAGTTTCAAATCTTCCATTTTTAGGAAGGATTGTAGAGAGGGTGACTGCTAAAGATTTAAACCAAATTGTCTGGAGTCTTTCCAGTGAAGATTCAAACCTGATATGGAAATGAGACAGCACTGATTACACTCTTGGATGATAATTCAATTCCAGAAGAGAGATTAAAACAGAAGAAACACAAAAGGGAAAAACCCATGAATGCCACAAGACATCTAGTTCCCTGTATCAGCTTTAATCCAATTTCTGAGTGCCTGAAACTAGCATGAGGAGCTGCTAAACTTAGAGATGCTCCAGTGGAATCCCAGGGTATTCTAAGCATTTCATACTCCTTCATTGCCCCGCTGCAATCCACAGGCGAATCCTGGCCCCAGGCTGTTTGAAAGAATTAAAGAATCTTACTGAAACATATTGGAGGCTTTGGTTTCCATATGACTGCATTATTAGAAAGTGTACGTGGTAAGCACTGGCTTGTAGGTGATCCAATTAATTGGTACCTCAAGAAAAGAAAACATAATACATGTTAATCTCTTTCTTGTTTAAAAGATTGGAGAATACTATGGATAGCCAAGAAAACATATTATTGAAGATTGACTGTATTACTTAAGACAAATTATTAAAGTCAAATTACAACATTTTGGGCATATTATGTGAAGAAGCAGGTCCCTTGAGAAGTCCATGTTTCTGGGAAAGGAGAGAAGAGAATGGCACAATTACAGCAGTGATGGGTGCACTATTGGGAGATGTGAAAATTATTTAAGCAAAGACAGTTACCAGATAGACTTCCTTCCTTCCTTCCTTCCTTCCTTCCTTCCTTCCTTCCTTCCTTCCTTCCTTCCTTCCTTCCCTCCCTCCCTCCCTCCCTCCCTCCCTTCTTTTTTTCTTTTTCATCTTTGCTTACATCATTAAGAACAAATCTAGTCATTTCATAAGTAGCAAAAAGTCCAACTCCACTATAAAAATTATCATCCACAGCAAAGTAAACATTGGAAAACAAATCATGAAAAGTGGAACATTCATTTTTTTGATTCATCCTTATTGATTTACTGTGCTATTACCATGCTGACCACTTGCAATCTCCGTGTGCCCTCCCTCAGCCTTGCTACATTCATGCACCCTTTCTCTGAGTCTTGTGCTTTACAAATGCATCACTTAACAAAAATCCCAATCCCAATTACTGTCTAAAATAAAGGACTACTTGTATCATAATTAGATTTTGCTAAGCCAGCTAACTCAACACGCACCCTTTATTACAGGTGAAATTTACTTTCGCTTTTAGCAGGAAATCCATTAGAATAATGCGGTCACCATTTTCTGGTTTCCCTGGATCACCACATGATTGTCCTAATAGAAAAAAAATATTGAGAATTACTGTTCCATGCCTCTGTATATATATGCCATAATTTCAATCAGTCATAAAGAAAGCTTATACATTTTCTTGGGAGAACAGTCATACTGGAAAGACAAGCTAATTTATATATTGTACTTTAATGTAATCAACAAAAATTAATGCCCTGAAAAATGCTCAACATTAGATAGAAAATAACTTTATTATAGTCCCAGACCAGCAACACAGAGATCAATAAATAAATAAAATTATGAGTTGCAGTTTCAAAATATATTCTAGCCAAATTGATGAACCCTAATAATATATTAGTGAGCTTTATTACTTAGCAGATAATGGGTATCTTGCAAATAAATAATGGGCTATTTATCTGATAAAAGTTCAGAAATATAAAAATCATCTGGATATCCAGGAAGGATAGTAAAAGAAGTGAAATGAAATTGTTGTATGTATTTCCATAAAATGTAATAAATAATTAGAAAGGATTCAAAGTGCAGATTGTGCAAAGAAGCAGAAGAAACAGTAGATCATATATTCAGATCATGCAAAAACATTGCACAAACTGATTATAAATGATGATATAATACAAAATGATACACTGGAACTTTTGTAAAAATAATTATGTGCCCAAAATGAAAAAATTATGTGAACATACAGTAGAAAAAGTAGTTGAAAATATTGTGGGATTTATAAATAAAAAGTGATAAAGTCCCAATTCATAATATTCCAGATTTATCTGTGGTTGTAAAAAAGAAAACATGGATAACTGATGCAGCAATAATGGGGGATACTAGGACAGAAGACAAAAAAATTAAAGAAGCAAAGTATCAAGATCTGAAAATCAAAAGATTATGGGCATAAACTAGCTATGTTGTTCCCAGTGGTTATTGGTTATCAGCCCACTGGTTGCCATACCAAAAATATCTGCACATTGATAAAATTTCCATTTGTCAATTACAAAAGGCCACACTGCTTGGATCTCCACATATGCTATGACAATATATTACAACATAGGTCAATATAAAAGAGAAAAAAAGTGACATTATCATAGGTGTATATTATAGGCCACCCAACCAATAAGAAAAAATAGATGAACTTTTTGCCAACCAGTTAACAAATGTATCTAGGAAGCATATAACAGTAGTAATGGGAGACTTCAACTATCTAGATATCAATTGGGAGACAAACTCTGCAGTGAGTGGGGAGATCAAATAGATTTCTAATCAACCTAGCTGACAACTTTGTCATCCAAAAGGGGGAGGAGGGAACTAGACACAAAGCTGTACTGGACTTAATCCTTACAAATAGAAAAGTGATAGAGGGAATCAAAATTGCCGGAACCTTGGGTAAAAGTGACCATGTCATACTGGAATTTAATATAAGGCAAACACTAGCAACAGAAAACAATCCAACCAACATCCTAAACTTCAAAAGAGCCGACTTTAACAAACTCAGAGAGAACTTAGGAAAGATCCCATGGATAAAAATCCTAAAGGGGAAAATAACCCAAGAAGCATGGAAACCCTGAAAAATGCGATCACAAAAGCTCAGACCAGCACAATACCATTGAGAAAGAAAAACAAGAAATCCAAGAAGAAACTAGCATGGCTGCACAAAGATCTCTCTAACAAACTAAACGACAAAAAGGACAAATACAAAAAATGGAAAGAGGAGCACATAACCAAGGCCGATTATCAGCAGACAGCCAGAACATGCAAAGAAGAAGTCAGGAAAGCAATATCAGCAGACAGCCAGAACATGCAAAGAAGTCAGGAAAGCAAAGGCCCAGAATGAACAAAGACTCGCAGCAGAAATCAAGGACAACAAAAAAAGTTTCTTCCAACATATTAACAACAAGAAAAAAGTCAAGGAAACTGTAGGCCCACTAAAGAGAGAAGATGGCAAGGAAATTATAGGCAATAGGGAGAAAGCAGAGCTCCTCAACTCATACTTTGCATCAGTCTTCACAAAAAAAGAAATCATAGCCCAACAGACCCCAAAAAAAAAAAAACATTGCAAAAACATACTAGAAACAAAAATCAAAATAAGCAAGAAAATGGTAAGAGAACACTTATCCAACCTTGATGAATATAAATCACCAGGACCCGACAGATTACATCCCAGAGTTCTGAAAGAGCTGGCAGATGTTATCTCAGAACCATTGCACCACATCTTTCACAAATCCTGGAGCACCGGGGAAGTACCCGAGGATTACAGAAGGGCTGTTGTAGTCCCATCTTCAAGAAAGGAAAAAAATGAACCCAGGAAATTACAGACCAATCAGTTTAACATCAATACCTGGGAAGATCCTAGAAAAGATAATCAAAAAACAGATCTGCAAACAACTAGAGGCAAACAAAGTCATAACTAGCAGCCAGCACAGGTTTTTTAAAAACAGATCATGCCAAACCAATCTTATCTCATTCTTCGATAAAGTAACAAAACTAGTAAACCAGCAAAATGCAGTGGACATAGATTTCAGTAAGGCATTTGACAAAATGGACCACAACCTACTCCTTGGTAAGCTAGAAAAAGGTGGAATAGACGGCATCAACACCAGATGGATTGTAGTTGGCTGACAAACCATATTCAATGAGTAGTTCTCAATGGCACTACATCTACATGGAGAGACGTAAGCAGTGGGATACCACAAGGTTCCGTCTTAAGCCCAGTACTTTTCAACATCTTCATAAATGATTTAGACAAGGGAATAGAAGGGGAACTCATCAAATTTGCAGATGACATCAAACTGTCAGGAGTAGCCAACACCCCAGAAGACAAATTCAGGATCGAAAAAGATCTTGACAAACTTGAACAATGGGCCCTATCCAACAAAATGAGTTTCAATGTAGAAAAGCAAAGTCTTACATTTAGGCAGGAAAAACCAAAGGAACAAATACATATTGGGCGAGACCTGGCTTAAAAACAGTAACTGTGAGAGGGACCTTGGAGTCCTAGTGGACGATCACTTAACTATGAGCCAGCAGTGTGCAGCAGCAACCAAAAAAGCTAATACAATCCTGGGTTGTATAAACAGAGGCATAGAAGCAAGATCACATGAAGTATTAGTACCACTTTATAAAGCCCTAGTAAGACCCGAATACTGCAGCCAATTTTGGTCACTATATCACAAAAAAAATGTTAAGAGTTGGAATGAATTCAGAGAAGAGCAACTAAAATGATCAAAGGCCTGGAGACCAAAACATAAGAAGAATGGCTACGGAACTTGGGTTTGGCTAGTCTAAAGAAAAGAAGAAATAGGGGAGATATGATAGCAGTATTCCAGTACTGGCAGAGGGAGTCAGGTTGTTCACCAGAGCACCAGAGGGCAGAACAATAAACAATGGTTGGAAACTGATCAAAGAGAGAATCAACCTAGAATTAAGGAGAAACTTCTTGACAGTGAAGACAATCAATCAGTGGAACAACTTACCCCCAGAAATCGTGGGCGCTCCATCACTGGAGATTTTTAAGAAGAGACTGGACAATCACCTGTCTGAGATGGTATAGGTTCTCCTGCTTGAGCAGGGGGGTGGGGTGGACTAGAAGACCTCCAAGATCCCTTCCAGCTCTATTCTATTATAACATCTAGATTCTTGGGAAAAAAACTTGATGCAGATGAAGACCAATACCAGCAAAACAGCTGGCAGCTGTGATTTCCCATTGTTGTGTATAATAATAATAACAACAGGGAAATAGCTTTCAGTAATATTTTTAGTAAGTTTTGATTTTCTTTTTTATATAGTGTCACTTTTTCCTTTTCAAGAAAATAATTTATCACTATTTATAATTTTACTGTGCTGTCTGTTGCTTCCAGTATTTGTATTCTGCATAGAGTTTAATAATGACACGCAGGTTTTAAATTATAAATACAGTATACCAAGTATCTTCAATCACTTTCTGAATTATTGAAAAATAATTTATAATCTCTCATTTTTTCCCTCTGATTTTATTCCTTCACTCTTTGTTTTCTTTAATTTTTTTATCATGAAAAAAATGAGATAAGAATATGCAAGATAGCCAACTTTTTCAACAATCCAAGAACTAAGAAGTTCATTAAAAGGGGAATAATTAAATGTACCATCTAGCAAAGAAGATGAGCGAAGTATTAACATAGATTGGGTAGAGTTAAAATGGTATCAATCCTGGGAGTTGGAATTCTGGGAGTTGACGTCATGCATCTTAAAGTAATTGAGGTTGAGAAACACTACTCTAAAATAATGCATTAATATGACTGAAGCATCATCCTTATCTGGGGCAACTGTGGATTTCTTAGAAAGCAATGAGCCAGTTTGGTTTAGTAGTTAAGGCACTTGGCTAGAAAACGGAAGACCATGAATTCAAGCCCGACCTTGACTGGCCCAAAGCCACACAGCTAGCTTTCATGGCTGATGCTTCAGGCATATTAATGCATTCTTTTAGAGCAGTGTTTGTCAACCTCATTGCTCTCTCAGCCCAACCAACCTCACAGGGTTGTTGTGAAGAAAATAGGAGAAAAGTGTATTGGATACATTTGCTGCCTTGAGCTATTTATAAAAAATAATAAAGACAGGATACAAATAAATAAAAGACACACTGAATACACAGCAGCAAAAGAGAGTCAGAGTCAGACAAGAGTCAGACTTCTTTTCATAATCACCACTGGAAATAGCTTACAAATGGTTTTTCAGATATCAAGAATCTTCAGAATGTCACATTTAATCACACAGGGTGAGTTTTATGCAAGTTTAAGGACTTATAAATTTCTTATTTTGAAATAAAGCAAAAAGATATTAGAATGTTGATTTGGGGTAATTATAAATAGATTAAATGGGCTAGATGGATTTAAAGATTTTGAAATTAATTACAAGAATCCTTTCTGTGGGTTGTTTAGAATTCTATAAAAGATACAGTAAGATTTTGAAATTAATTATAAGAATCCTTCCCATGGGAAAGTGTTATTGATTAGAACAGTAGTGGCGAACCTATGGCACGCGTGCCAGAGGCGGCACTCAGGGCTCTCTCTGTGGGCACCCATGCTGTGCCCCAGAGATGGTGAGGGACTGGCCCCTGCCACCCTGGCCCCACCCACCCAGTCTGCCATGACCACTGTGGCCACGCCCACCCGGCACCCGGCGATAAATAAGTGGGTTTTGGGTTGCAGTTTGGGCACTCGGTCTCTAAAAGGTTCGCCATCACTGGATTAGAAAATCTATATGGGATCAGAAAGAACTAAAGTTCATAATTAACTGAAATAATTAAAGAATAAGAGATTTACTGATAAAGAAGGAGCAACATATTATACTTCGGAATAATTCAAGAATATTTGAAAACATTATGGGAGCAGCTTTGATGCTAAATATAATCATTTAAAGCCAAAAACTCTGGTGTCTGGAGATTGTCAGCATTTGGACAGGGGCCAGCAGGCTTCAACTGAACCCAAACAAAGCTGAGTGTCTTTGGATGTTGGAATTCCCTGGTTATGAGGACTTTCCTTCTTGGTCTGGATGGAGTTGCACCACTGCAACTATGTGCAACTTTTGGGTCTTTTTGGACTCACAACCCGTTTGAAGATCACGTGGCAGCGGTTGCAAGGAGCGCCTTAGCACTACCCATGTTGTGCACCAGTTATTCCTATTCCTGCACCAGCAGCCTTGCTGACTTTAGTCATCTCTCATATGGATTACTGCAACATGCTCTACCCGAGGCTTCCCTTGAAGAGTATTCAGAAACTTCAACTGAAGTAAAATGCAGCTACGTGTGCAGTTAAGTGCATTCCACAATCAGTGCAAGTTACAACCCTGCCCCACAACCCACAAGGGCTACCAGTCTGCTTCTGTGTCCAAATCAAGGTGCTGGTTATGAGCTATAAAGCCCTACACAGCATGGGACCACGTTACTTGAGCTCTTCTCAATCACATTTTCCTATTCCATCATATCTAGCAGGCTCTGGATCCTGTCAGCTAGGGAGCATCACCTAACAGGGCCAAGGAGAAAAGCTTTTTCTGCTATGGAACCCACCCAGTGCTGCCAGAGATCTTATTGGTCACAACCCTGCTAGCCTCTTGAAAGATTCTGAAGACATTATTTTGAAACAGGGAATGTGGCAGAACCAGTATAGTGGTTGTACCAAGTGGTATTGTTACACTGTCTATGAATTTTTATGATGCTTTTAATTTGCCGTTGTATTATATTGCATTGTTTTTGTTGTGTTTCATATTGTTGTATTTGTTTTATTTGTTTAACCACTCAAATCATATATATGAGCAGATATATTAATTGGAATAATAAAATAAATAAATACATAAAATATTGATCTCCATTCTGGCATTTAAATTACATACTGTATTAAGAGAAGATAATAATTGGCAAAAGGCTTAATTTGGACTATAAATGCCAATGTATAATAATAATTATAAAAAATTATAAATTAATATCAAACTGAAGTGTTTACATTTTGTAAGTGCCACTATGACTCTATGAGCAGAAAAGGTCTGAATTATTTCTACTTGAAGAAGAATATAATCAATCACCCTAGATCACACCTAGATTCCCCTTTTTCACTGTGGAAGCCATTATTCCAACCTGAATCATAGCCATCAACCCTCAAGTCACCTAGTGTCTACGTTTCTGACAGAAATAAAATAATAAATCTGAATAAATATTTCATAAAAGAAGGTCAAAAGTTAGCCAATATCTAACAGTATTCCATGAGATTAAAAACGTGCTATAACTACATGCCAGGTAGTTCATAGCCTATCTATAAGCAGTTCCTCAAAAAAGAAATAATTTAAACATAATACTAAAAATAAAGATGCCAATAAAGCTGCATATGATATCAACCAAACTAAAAATATAGTGTACCTATTAGTCTTTTAAGAGCCTCAGAAGTGTAATTCAGGAATTCAGCACCATTATAAACATTATTAATTAACTGCACACATCAGTTGGCCCATGTAGGATCATACCTTTGTAAAATCATTATCAAATGAATCAACAATTATTCAATGCAATTTTGAAGTTAATTGCAATGGAAGATCCTGACCTTTACAAAAGACAGGGATTGATGACCAGGTATAATTTGAAAGGCAAGTAATAGCAGGCCTTTTTGGATGACCAGGAATGTGCTCAGCGCTTCGATGGCAAATATGGTGCACAACTGATCCCACAGGATAAAAATGAAGAAATTCATCATCCACTACAGAAAATCTGGTCTCTCGTGGACTCTCACAGCCACCTGTGGACAAAAGCAGACAGAAGAAAGGCTTTTTTTAAAAAAAATTACTTGTTAAAATATGTGTCATGTATACAGTATTTATTATGTGTTGATAACTGATAGAAGAAAGGGCATACAAGTAACTAGCTGTTATATTTAACCGCTTCCTGGCAGTAATCTCACACCCAAGAAATGAGTCTACATTTCTTGCTTCATTCTGATTGTGACTGATCCACCCAAGTGATTTCATAGAATAACACTGGGACAGGAGAATGTGGCTGAAAGAATGAGGAAAACCAAATCACAATGCAGACACTGAAAGGAGGTAATAAAAAAACAATACAGAAAGATGTCTGAAACAGGAATAAAGGTTGTTCAGGATAAGGGTCTTTAATGTTTTATCAGGTTCATACCATGTGTTTGGAAACTATCAAACAGTATTTAGAACAGAATTCATAAATGTGGAAGATGAAAAATATACTGCCTTTTATGATCCTACTGAAATTCTTTTAGAGAAAAAAATCATTTTGTTCATATTTTGCTATTATTTGTATTTAATTGTTAAGCTTTTTTATATTTGGCTGTTATTGCACTTGTTAAATGACCACAATCCTTACTTTATACGTTACAGTCATTAAGTGAGTGTGGGTTATTAAGAAAAGCTTGGGGTATCTCAGTCATAAGAAAGGCTGTGGTCCCTTATACTTGAGACACCCATGCTTTTGCTTAATAACCTACAATGTCACTTAACATCTGTAACATGGAAGCAAGAATTGTGGTCATTTAGCAAGGTGATCATGAGGATGCCTTATTTAACAACCTCACAACTTATGACTATAATAGCAAGGCTTCATTATGGTTGTAAGCTGAGAACTACCTATACTTAAATTGTTCATTAAACTGGAGAGGTGGAAGGAAGAAACTGATATACCATATTTGATTACTTTTAGTATCACTGTATTTATTTCTTTTCATTTTTTTCTCCCACCGTTGTATTTTAGTGTTTCTGCAGATATCATATGGGTATATGCCTTTTTGCTTGCTTTGATATTAGCATTTCATCACAATCTTTTTTATAGAAAAGATTGTTAAAAAGATGGAGTTTCCACTTAGCATACATGTGTTAATTAAGTTTTAAAAATGAAATCAGAAATTGATCAATATATTTATTGAATTTATTTACCAAATTAATCTTCATAGACTTAAGCAGTTTATAGATGCTAAAATTGCAATAAAATTATATATTTAAATTTCAGTAACAACACTATAATGATTAATATCAAATTATAAAAAACATAGACATATAAGTGCCTAAAAGTTCAATCGCTTCACAAATGTTTTCTGGAAAAATCAAGATATATTACTTCTAGAAAATTATGGAGAAGATGGGCATAGACTGTTTTGGAAAGGCAGTCTCTTAAATAGCTAGGTTTTAGCCATATAAAACTTTAAAAGTAGCAACCAGATTTTTTTTCAACCATTTTATTTTACTTGAAAGATCAAAATACAAAAGAAAAAAATTAAATAGAGATAAAAATAAACTAAACAAAAATTTAAAAATTTAAAAATGTGAATTAAAAAGAAACAAAGGATAAAAATACGTATTATCCCCCTGACAAATCTATTGCAACAATAATAGTTCTGGCCCTTGCAAACCAGGTCCAAAATGTATAAGGTATTCACAATCCAATTGATCTGTCATACATTACATATATGAAAGGAGAAATAGTTAACATGTTAAACAACAGCAAAGTTTAAGTTCAAAGTACTCTGTTAACAGTCTGTTATTATAATTTCCTCTTAGAAAGTCTACAGCGGTTTCTTATTTACCACAAATCACCCCGATCAGTATCTCTGAATCCAGGGGCAAATACCCTCACTTCGTTCTTAATAGTGAAACTTTTCCTTAGGTTTTTAATTGGAAACTTTCCCAACAATTGCATCCCATTTCCAAAGTTCATAAGTCTCTGTTGTAAATATCTCTGCAACATCCATTGTTGAATTATTCTCCTTGACAACATAACATTCCTCTTGCCATGAAAGTCCAGTCCATCCTTTGTTATATCTATTATCTCAAAATTTCTTACATTCATGCTTCTTTCAATCTTTTCTGGCAGATGTATACCTTTCAAACAAACACTTCTTTCTTCTTTTTTCATAGATATTTTATTAGTTTTTAACTATAATACTCTCCAGTACCTGGTGTACAGGGTGTTGTCTTGGTTTATATTTTAACAAGACACATCTTTCGTGTCTGAATTTGCTCCGCTGGGAGATCCTGGAAAGGGTCGAAAATCTCCCTGTAGAGCAAGGACCCCCATTTGATCACGGGAGGGCAGTGGCCCTTCCATTTGATCCAGGGAAGCCCTCCAAATCCCAGGGGAATGACTGGTCACAAAGCTGCTGACAGCTGAAGCAAAAAGCACCACCAAGCAACTTTCAAGCAACATGGATGAAACTGGGTGAGACCTGATACTCTCTTTAAAATCCTAAGTTTTATTTCCTGAAAAAGCTGCCTAAAGCATTTTTCCTCCTGTGAGGAGAGAGGGAAGGGAACTTCTACCCCACCCTCTAAGACAGTGGTTCTCAACCTTTCTAATGCCGCGACCCCATAATACAGTTCCCCATGTTGTGGTGACCCCCAACCACTTATACATCACCAGGTGCCAGGGGCGTGGCCAAAGAAAAGGGGGAAAAAATGGCAGACAGCCTTGTTTGGCGACCTCCGTGAAATGGTCGTTCGACCCCAAATGGGGTCCCGACCCACAGGTTGAGAACCACTGCTCTAAGAAAAGCGCTGACTAACTACCCAGGGGAAACAGAGCAAACCATAAGATTAATTTTAAACTAATTGGATGTATTTTTTTAAAAAAACTTGGAGACTAAAAATGTTATTTTCTCTTATTGGAGACTTTTGTCTTTAAAAAAAAAGACTTGAAAAACCACCATATAAGTTTTGGACTTAAAAAGCTATAAAACAGCATTGGTGACATCTTGTGGTGAATTATGTTATTACAATTTGTTATTGCCTAAAACAGGGGTAGGCAACCTTGGCTCTTTTATGACTCGTGGACTTCAATTCCCAGAATTCCTGAGCCTAAAAGAAATCTGGCTTGAAGCCCAGACTTCAGATAAGACTTGTTTGGCCTTGACAGCTACTACCTTTGAAAAACCAGCTGCAAAGAAGGGATCTCTAGGCGGTTTATCTGTGTGGCAGACTGTTTTGGAAACTGCCTTCCTTGAACTATGAATCTAAACTTTTATTGACTCTCAGAGCTATGTTTATGGAACTACTTTCCTATTTCCCTGCATGAGAAGCATATATTATTACACGAGATGATGAAACACCTTGGATTATAAACTCTCACTTGATAAACAATTTCTATTATAAAGACCACCTATAAAAAGTGAAATAGATGTCCCATACCTAGCTACAAAAAACAAAAAAATATTTTTAACATTTCACTCTAAAGTCTTCAACTTAACATACTATCAAGAAAATATGGATGAAGATCAGGAAAAAATCCTTTCCATGTTGAAATCAATACACAAAACTACCGTAAATGCCGGCGTATAAGACGACTTCCGCGAGTGCTGAAATCGGCGCCAAAGACGGAGGTCGGCTTATACGCCGAGTCGTCTTATACGCTTGAAATACTGGTAGTTTCCGGCGTATAAGACGACGTTCTAGGAATGCGGCCCGGCTATAAAGATGGGGGTCGTCTTATACGCCGGGTCGCCTTGTACGCCGGCATTTACGGTATTCTTTCAGCTTGTAATAAAATAAGAAGCAACACAAAGGAACAATGTTCTAGCTTAAATGTACAAACCCAGATCTTGATTACAAGCAAACAATTAACAACGCAAAAAATAAAAAGAAAATTGGAATAACTAAATGCTAAGATAGAGGAGCCAACTGACCAACTGACCCAGCCAGCTGAAAAATCAGAAAATGGAGCGACAACATTGAAAATGGAAAAGACTTTTCACAAATTAAGAAATTAAGAAATCAGAACATATTTGAGGAAAAGGAAGAAGAACAGATTGAATGGAAGATAAAGCTATTAGGACAATTGTGGGAAATTGGAGTTTTTTTGGAAGAATAAGTTTCTAATGGACTTATTCTTCCAAAAAAAACCCAACCAAATGGTCTTTCTTATTCCAAATAATATATATAAAAACAGAGGGAGAACTGTTCGATGATTCAAAGGCATTGACATGGAAGAGTTAGCTGGCAAGGTAAAAAAGCCAGAGTAAGGCTGAAGAAAATAATGGCTTTGACTTATTAGAAGGGATATTATATTACCAATTAGATAGTTAAATATGGTGGAAAATAGATAACTTTTAGAAAATAGAGTAATATTATAATCAAATAGATAAGATGTGTAACCAGAATATTAGACTTTGGTAGGAAAAGGGAAAAAGGAAGAAGTTGAGATAAGGGAAACTTTTGGTCACCTAAACATAAAGTACTTGGAAATCATAAATAATAGTGTTATTTTGAATATTGATGGGAAATTAAAGCTTGAAAAAAAAGCAATAATAGGACATTGATTGTATACAAGGATTACGTGCAAACGCAATTAAGACATGTATAAGCTAAAAATTATTGATAATGGTTACAAAGATGTTTTTATTTAGTTGATAACAATAAGAATTGCTAGCCCAATATGAGAAACAGATATTAATGGAAAAAGAGAGGAAATATTTGATGCTGTAACGTGAGATTTATATTAAAGATTTATGTACACTATTGAATTATTGACTAACCCAGTATCACGTTGCTTTTTAAATATTCAATTGTAAAATGAGAAAATCAATAAAATATATATATAAAAAAAGAATATTGTGGGTGGGTGATTTCTTCCAATCCTTTGGCTTAAATGTTAAGTAAAGTAAGGGATGGAATCAAGCCTGGGGCATGCCATAAAATAATCTGAGGTCTGGATTTTTCCCCACTCAAAACATCTGTTCATGTAAAAATATAACCACTATAACATGGTGCCTCCAACTTTCAGTTTCACAACTCAATCTTCATGAACTTCTGAAGTCCAGCAAAAAGGCAAGGTGTTAGCCTGAAATTATTCTATCTTGCCCTGTCAAGGATCTTCCCTCAGAAAGAATAATTTGAAAAAACAATATATGTACATGTAGGGAAGGAACATTCTCAATTTATGTTTTCTGTAAGATAGCAGAGAAGCTTCATATAGGGAGGCCTATCTTGTAGTAATTTTTGAAGCTTATTAATGATTTGTAACTTCTGCAATCTTGTAATTATTGTTGAAACTATATGCAAAATCTTACATAAGTACTCCTTTCTCACTGAGTGCTTGTGCTTGCTTTGGCAAATTATCTTCTTATACCATTGTTCTACACAGAATAAACTTTTATAGTCTCTACTCGATGTGTGAATTGACTATTCATACATTGGCCAACTAGCCTGTTTCAGGGACAATAATGTAGCTAGCCTGATTTCCACAAAGAAATGCTATGACACAAAAGTGTAGGTTTTCTAGCTGTTGCTTCCTGTTTATCTAATCAGTCAGACTGTTATTAATTGGAAAGGGAGTCTTGTGGGTATCCAGGTGCCAAGCTACAAGGACTTTAGAGATCAAACCCAGCACCTTAAATTGGACCTAGAACCTGACTGCTAGTCAATGCAGGGTCTAAACATGCAGTGTTATGTGCTCCCAACTTTCAGGGCTTTAAAGTATGTGGGCCACTGCAATTTGGGTCAACTGCAGTTTTTTTAAAAGCAGTCCCAAGTAGAATGCATTACAGTAGACTAGTCAGGTGGAAATAAGTTCATGAGATTGGCTTGAATCATTGACTTCTATTAAATAGTTTCAAGATAATGATGACATTCAACTCTGAATATAAATTGCTTTTATACACTGATAAAATTATAGTTATTCTCAATAATCATGCAATAACAGAGCTTTTTAAAGTTCCATAACAAGAGTATTTATATTCTCATTATAGCTTTACCTGGAATGTTTAATTTATTACTGCAGGAATTCACTATATTTATAGATTATTTGTCATGCCTCCATCTGAGCCTGAATCGGAGGAAGAAATGGAGCTGCAACAGGACCCTATGGAGGCTCAGGGAGAGGTGTTTGTGGCTTCAGAGGACTGTGGGGAGGAGCAGGCTGAGGCAGGCCAGGGCCCTTCAAGTTTGGAACAGGGGAGACAGAGTTCAGGTGAGAAGCAAGGCCCATCCCCACCTGATCCTAGAGCTAGGAGAGTGGAGAAGAGGAGGGAACAACACAGGCAGGCTCACTTGCTCAGGAGGAGAGTGTCCCGCCCCACCCCACAAGGCACACCTGGGGATTGAGATATAAGGAGCTGCTGTGGGGTGGGGACTTTGTCGGGAACAAATGTTGAATCTTGGGAAAGTGTGTATTGTTGCTCTTGTTCTGTACCTTTGGAAAACCTGGACACCTTGACAACCGGACTGGCTGACTACATGGATTTCCTGAATTACGACCTCAGACTGCATTTTGACTTTTCTCTTTGCAAACTCTGCAGGCAAGCTGAGATTCAAGCGGACTCATTAAGTTGATGTATTGTTTGGTTTGGCCTTGAGGACATTCCTATAATAATCAGGCTATATTGAAACTGCCTTCAGCCAAAGTCGGCTGGAAGGTGAGTGTGTGAATTTGGGTTGGAGGCTTGCCAGCAAATGTGGGAGCATTTGAAGGAAATTTGCAACCATTAAAGAACTGTTTACATTGCCAGCTGTCTGCATTGCCTTTGTACTGTGCCCTGGGTCATCATATTATTCTAAAAAGGCAGGATTTGAATTTATACAAAAATAAAATACTTCAGTTTATACTTTGTTTACTTGATAAAAAAACATCCATGAAAGAGACTAAAACAAGATGGATTGAAAACATCAGCAAGTATTGAGGGCCCAATTGGCAAAAGAAAGCTCAGGACTGTATAGGATGGAAACACATGAAAGAGACCTTCATCCTGCAGTGGACAGATATGATGATGATGATGATGAAGATGATGATACTTTTCTTGAAAAGTATGTAGTATGTTCTATTATATATGTATAAATTTAGAGCAGAACAGAACAGAATAGAATAGAATAACAGAGTTGGAAGGGACCTTGGAGGTCTTCTAGTCCAACTCCCTGCTCAGGCAGGAAACCCTATACCATTTCAGACAAATGTCTGTCCAATCTCTTCTTAAAAACTTCCAGTGTTGGCGCATTAACAACTTTTGGAGGCAAGTTGTTCCACTGGTTAATTGTTCTAACTGTCAGGAAGTTTCTTCTTAGTTCTAGGTTGCTTCTCTCCATCCATTGCTTCTTGTTTTGCCCTCAGGTGCTTTGGAGAATAGCTTGACTCTCTCTTCTTTGTGGCAACTCCTGATATATTGGAACACTGCTATCATGTCACCACTCGTCCTTCTCTCCATTAAACTAGATATACTCAATTCCAGCAACCGTTTCTTATAGGTTTTAGCCTCCAGTCCCCTGATCATCTTTGTTGCTCTTCTCTGCACTTTTTCTAGAGTCTCAACATTTTTTTTACATCATGGTGATCAAAACTGGATGCAGTATTCCAACTGTGTCCTTACCAAGGCATTGTAAAGTGGTATTAATACTTTACATGATCTTGATTCTATCCCTCTATTAATACAGCGTAGAACTGTGTTTGCTTTTTTGGCAGCTGCAGCACATTGCTGGCTCATATTTCAGTGACTATCCACTAGGACTCCAAGATCCCTCTCACAGTTACTACTGCATAAATGTATAGCTATAATTTCAGTAGGTACTGTATAATCAATGATTAGAGTTCCTATTAGTCTTTGGAGTAAGATTAATGTTATCAAAACAAATATTAAATATAAATTAATGTCTTAACAGAGTTTCCAAAGTCTCTTGGATACTTTATAAAGATAAATGAATTAATAAGAGCATTTTTATGGTTAAATTAATAAGAACTTATGGTAGGATAAAGCCCTTCAACTATCATTTGCCAAATTTATTTTATAAGGATGGTAACTATCAGATTTTCAGCTATATTAATTCTTGGGCTTTTATTTTAATGTCTGTATTTTTTCATATTATTCCAAGCAGCTTCCAAGCATTTATATTTTATTTTGTTCCTTTTCTTCTATGGCCATTTTATCCCAAGATCCATTGTTGGCCTTACTAAAACATGATCTACCAACACTTAGAACCATTCTTCCTCCTTGTAGCCTTCACTAAATTAAATATAAAATCAATTGTGGTTTTTATATAGTGAAAGCTTGAGAGAATTATTCAGTGTTCTTATTAATTGTGAGGTCTCCAGATGCCCCAGTGATTCTATATTTTCTTGTCTTATTTCCAATTATTCATTCTCGTCACTTAACACAATAAAGGTTTCCCCTGGGACAATTTCCAGTGACGTGAGGAGACCCTACACCCTCATTTTTCATGGGGGATTTATAGCCAAATTCTGCAGCTAGATGTGAGACTCATACTGCAGAAATACTCTCTAAAAGAAAGGGAGATAATCTAATTTAGAGATTATCTGAATAATTGTATACAGCCTGCATTCAAACAATTAGAAAATAAATGCATAGCTGTACATCCTTTGCAGCATTTTATACATCTTCAATTACTATATTGGTATTGTAATATTTAGAAATAACAGCAAATTTATTCGTATATAATTGAATGCCAATGGGATAGCATCACTAATTCTTAATTTGTCTTCTTGAACTCATAGAAATAGAGCATAAATCTGTCAGAATGCAGTTACCAAGAAAATTAAGAAAAAGAAAACAACATCGGATTCTGAAAATAGCAAAGTTTACACTATTTTTAAAAAGAGTATAAAATATATAGGTATTTTAGAAAGCTAGTTATATTTGCCCTTTTGATGCTGCCAGCTTTGCTAAAAGTGCAGTGCGTCCAGAACTATGGGAATCTCAATTTTGATTTCTTTGTGCCATATGGAAACTTCTACCCTCACGTTTGATGCCCCGCCCAACAACTAACTGGCTTCCTCCTGTGGAGTGGGTTGGGGGAGCAAGGAGATGGAGGAAAAGGGGGCTCTTCCTGCTTCTTTCACTTTTTTCTTGGCCTCTGAAATTTCAAGCTAATCTGCAAAATCAATCTGCTTCCCATAATGCTTTTTTGGTGAGAGGGGGTAAGTCCTTTTTTTTTTCCACACTAGGGAAACAAGTATGGGGAGACCAAAAGAGGAGAAGAAGCAGGTTGGAAGGAGCTGATATTCAAAAAAATTGAAAAAGGGGAAGACGGGCGGGAAGAGAAGAAAAGATAAAATAAGAGTAAAAACAGAGGCATGGAAAAAAGGAAAAGAAAAAGTGGAAGAGGAAGCAAGAGAAAGAAGAACAGAGCAGGAGAGTGAGGATTTAGGGGAGTAAGGAAGAAAAACAGGATTCAGAAAATGTGCCTTTACATCCTTACAAGTCTAACAAATAAATAAATAAAGAGCCTAAGTATTAGATAATTCTTAATTACTCCCTTCTTTTTAATAAGCCAGTGGTGATATAACAAGAAAATATAAAGAAGAAAAAAACTTACTCTCACAAAACTCTTCCATCGAGTTCCATCCTGTTTCTGGAAAACAAGTTGCAATGTGTTTTTTTTCATGGTTTTCTCTATAGCCAGGAAGACATTTGTAGGTTACTGACTGATAAGGTTTGTAAATAGATTTAACAGGATCGTATGGCATAGCATGTTTCAATACTGGTGGAGGTCCACAGTCACCTAAATTAAAGAGAAAACATTAATTTTAGTCAATGTGCAGCTAGTTTGCTGTGCAATATTTTTGATTTTTAATAGAACAGTGGTTCTCAACCTTTTCTTCACTGCGGACTTTCTTTAAATACTTTTTGTGGCCACGGACCATAGCCATGGACCCCGAAGACTTAATATTTAAATCATTTCTTCAAGCTTTCCTGGACCCCCTGTGAGGACATGGTGACCCCCCCCAGGGATCTGCAGACCACAGGTTGAGAACCACTGTAATAGAATATATAATAATATGTTTATACTAACTATGCAATGAAAAATAATTTTATTTATTGGGATTTATTTATTACTTTACTATACTACCACCTTCAATCTATGTTTTCAGCCATGAAATCAGTAATTTTTGTTGTTGTTGTTCAGTCACTTAGTTGTGTCCAACTCTTCATGACCCCATGGACCATAGCACATCAGGTCCACCTGTTCTCACTGTCTATCAGAATTTGCCCAAATTCAAGTCCATTGCATCAATGACACTATCTAACCATTTCATCCTCTGCTGCCCCTTCTCCTTTTGTGTTCAATCTTTCCCAACATCAGGGTCTTTCCCAATGAGTCCTCTTTAGTCCTTAGGTGGCCAAAGCTTCAGCTTCAGTATCTGTCCTTCCAAAGAACAATCAGGGTTTGGTTTCCCTGAGAATTGACTGATTTGATCTTCTTGCAGTCCAAGGGACTCTCAGGAATCTTCTCCAATACCACAATTCAAAAGCAATTCTTTAGGGTTCAGCCTTCCTTATGGTCTAACTCGAAAAGCCATACATTACTACTGGGAACACCATATTATAAACTATACTAATACATAAGATAATAAAGAACATACAATATCAATGTGCTGGATTGTAAAACTGCAATACACCAAATTCCTTGCAAAGAAAGCTTTGTTTGCAGATTATTTCTAAATGATGACTACATGGGCCCAAACTGAACTTTGATGGGAAACTGTTCCCTAATGTGGGATCATTAGAGAAACACATTGACTTTGGGTCTTCTTACATCTGGCACTGAACATTCAACATTGAAGTACTCCAAGGTTCTCCACCTGGGTTAAATATTTAGGGGAGGTGGTTTCACCTACAGAAGATGGTCCTGAAGGTTTCTTAGCTCAAGCCATGTAAAGCCTTAAAACCAGTATTTTAAATTCCACTCAAAAATTTGTTTGCAGCCAACAATGTAACTGCAACACACATATGATGTGGCTGTAGTGGTTTTTAGCTGGGAAAAGGGGGAAGGCTCCCAATTGAGCAAGTGAATTGAACTCAGCAGCATTTAAAATAAAATGAAAATTAGTGAAGATTCAGATTAATAAAAAAGAAACTTAACAAGCAAGAGAAGAGACAGTTTGGGCTCTAGGTGATAGCCAATATATTACCCCAAGGCCTCACCTACTTAGAAGACTAGAAAAGAAAAAGAAAAAAGTAAGTGCTTTGCTGGGGCAGAGAAAAGATTAAAGGAGAAAAGAGACCCTGGGGTGTGGAGGAAACTGAGAAAGGTATACCTTCTGATATCTGAGCTGACCACGTGAAAGCCATGATGAGATAACAAGGAGGCCATATCAGAGTCCTGTACAGTAATGAAAAGGAAGGAAGAGGATAAGGAGAAACGTGGAGAGAAAATGAAAGCTGTGAATATCTAAAGACAGTAAAGTCAGAGTGAGATGTGTGGCGAGAAGCATTCAAAGACCTATAGGTGGGGGTCGGGGTATTGCTAAAGGGAGCTCAGACCTCTAGAGAAGTCAACTGAGTCATCCCTTGGGTTGGAGATATTGGCAGATTTAGCCATACCAAACTCCCCAAGTTAACTGAAAAAAGGACAGTGAGGCATTTTTTACAATATTCAAAAGTACAGGTGGCTATCATTTAGCAACCATAATTGGGACTGGCAACTAGGTCACTAAACAAAGCAGTCACTAACTTAAATCATGATTGTACTTACAATCTTACTTCAGCTTTCCTTTGCTTTATAAACCTACAATGATCATAAATGCAAGGATTGATCGCAAAGTTATTTTTTTACCATTGTCAGTTCTCTAACCTCCAGCCATAGATTCCACCTGGCCAACCATGCCCACAACTGGACACTGGGTTGTCAAATCATACCCTTTTAAGTTTTTTAGTCAAAAAACATTACAAAGGCACTCCAAACATTCCAAGATAGTGGCTTTTCAGACTTCTCTGCATCTTTCCTTTCTCATTCGGATAAGATGACAGTCCAGTAAAGTTGGCTGTCAAGCCCATTGAGGCAGTCAAACTCAGGAAACAAGAACCACTTGGATTTCTTTCAGAGCTAAATAATCTCAGTGTTTATTTTGAATATCCTCTTCTGTAGCTTTTCAGCTGTATTATATTTTTTCCCAAACTTAGCAATGAGAACTATACACAGTATTCCAAAGATGGAAATGCATTACGATTACATGAAGGTGTTAAAGCATTCCTAATATAGTAAACCTAACTATAAACAGTTTGAAATTTTAATGACTCTTTTGTGCCTCTGTAGAATCCAGAACTGCAGCAGATGCAATTAACTTTAACTGAATTATGTTCATAGTATTTAAACCAAAATAACTCAAAGTTATACACCATTTTGCCATTTTTTTTCTTGGAAATAGTTGCTTTCCAGGCTGAAGCATTTTACACGTAGAAGCAAATGTAAAAAAGGGTGGAGTGAGATCGAAACTAAAGTTTGACAGCAGCATGGTTGGTAAATTTATATTTGGTGTCCTGATAGTTCCCACGATTGCCTGGTCAGAACCAATATTAGTAAGTGGCTTCACAAAACATAAAATGCATTTTCTTTTCTTTTTTTCTTGTCTTTTCCATTCTTATCGATGTTTATATGAAGTAGTAATCGTGATCACGGACTTCCTCCTATTAATATATTTTGAAGATTAATTTGGAACGGAAGAGAAACAGGGCAGGAACAGGTTGTTCCTTTTTCGGAACAACCGTTATTTGGAGGATGGGAAGGCAACAGGGACCGGCTGGCTCCTTGTCGAGTAAGTGGCCCTGCAAACGAAGCGACGCACTTCCGTCCTCCCCTCTAATCCTTCCAGTTACTTACCCAGCATTCCGGAAAACAGTGAGAAGAGCACCAAGATTCTCGGAGCCAGGTGGGAAAAGAAATCTCCAAACATCACAGTGCAACTTCCATTCATTTTATTCTTTCTTTCAAAGAATGAATCTCTAACGCGCCAGGAATGAGGGCGGAACTGCATAGGGTGCGGGCGATAAAGACTAATTTGGGGAATCCCTCCGAGGACAGTAGGCTTAAGTAAGGGCTTCCCCGCGACCAGTTGCTGGGGAAACAGGGCGGTGGATAAATCAAACAGTTGCGAAAGTTCGAATTACGTTGCCCTGCATTTTTTTTTAATAATTCACTCCAATTCTTGGTCTCGTCCCCTTCAAAAGTCTGACAGGACTGTCTTTGTGGTTCATTGCTAGGCATATGTTGTGTCAAACACACATTCTGTTTTCCCCGTTTTCAGAAATCCGGAAATGACTGTTTTACCACACCTAACAGGCAGAGCCAGCCTCCAAATATGTCCATCTATGGTACGCATCCTTGCGGACTTCATTTTCTGTTCTTTTAAAAGATTAAAATCTGTATGTTCTACCACAAAATTGTTGCCTTTTCCAAAATATATGACTGCTTTACTTCCACAAGAACACTAATTCCAGGTTATATCATTACCTATGTCTCAATACTATAATCCGGATTTTTAAAATACTATTATCAATTTTATATGAAGTAATAATAGTGGTTATTGATTTTACAGTTGTCTGGTTGCCTCACATCTCCATTCCATTGTGTTCTGAAAACGTTTGTGGTAAGGAAGTAAGAAACATGAAATATACTCCTGAATGTGAAGTATGTTTACAAAAGTTATGATTTAAAAATGAAATTATTTCATCAGAAAATATTACTTTACATTTATTGAATACCCCCACCCAATACTAAGGGAAAAGACATTAGATTTTGTTGTAAGAAATTTGAATATTCTTCCACTATGATCTGGTCTAATCCAGCTAGTGCCTTGTTTTGGTTTCATATTACTACCTTTGTTAATAGACATTTGGGAAGAAATATTATAGTTAGGGAACATAATGAGATATTGAACTATATTCCTAAGGTACGGAATTTGTCATCTCATGAAGAACTTTGATATACAGCATAGAGGATATTTTTTGTATAAGTGTAAAAAATGTATCTTCTTGATTTTAAGGAGTGAGTCCAGGGCATGAGTTTATTTTTTCTTAATAGTCTTTTTTTTAATGAAATGAGTATTTTATTATAGGGTTTAGATCTTTAGATTATAACCTTCAGGATTGAATTTATTGTTATCAGTAGTAGTAGTAGTAGTAGTAGTAGTAGTAGTAGTAGTAGTAGTAATAATAATAATAATAATAATAATAATAATAATAATAATAAAGTTGGAAGGGACCTTGGAGGTCATCTAGTCCAACCCCCTGCTCAGGCAGGAAACCCTATACCATTTCGGACAAATGGCTGTCCAGTCTCTTCTTAAAAACTTCCAGTGCTGGAGCATTCACCGTTTCTGGAGGCAGGTTGTTCCACTGGTTAATTGTTCTAACTGTCAGGAAGTTTCTTAGTTCTAGGTTGCTTCTCTCCTTGATTAGTTTTCACCCGTTGCTTCTTGTCCTGCCTTCAGGCGCTTTGGAAAATAGCTTGACTCCCTCTTCTTTGTGGCAGCCTCTGAGATATTGGAACACTGCTATCATGTCCCCCCTCGTCCTTCTCTTCGTTAAACTAAACATACCCAATTCCAGCAACCCGTTCCTTATACGTTTTAGCCTCCAGTCCCCTAATCATCATTGTTGCTCTTTTCTGTACTCTTTCTAGAGTTTCAACATCTTTTTTACATTGTGGTGACCAAAACTGGATGCAGTATTCCAAGTGTGGCCTTACCAATGCATTGTAAAGTGGTATTAATACTTCACGTGATTTTGATTCTATCCTTCTGTTAATGCAGCCTAGCACTGTGCTGGCCTTGGCAGTTGCAGCACACTGCTGGCTCATATTTAAGTGATTGTCCACTAGGACTCCGAGGTCCCTCTCACAGTTACTACTATTGAGCAAGGTACCCCCTATACTATACCTGTATATTTGGTTTTTCTTGCCTAAATGTAGAACCTTGCTTTTTTCACCCCTGAATTTCATTTTGTTAGATAATGCCCAGTGTTCAAGTCTGTACAGATTTTTCTGTATCTTAAGCCTGTCTTCTGGCGTGTGGCTATTCCTGCCAGTTTGGTGTCGTCTGAAAATTTGATGAGTTCCCCATCTATCCCCTCGTCCAAATAATTGATGAAGATGTTGAAGAGCACTGGGCCCAGAACAGAGCCTTGGGGCACCCCACTACACACTTCCCTCCATGTAGATGCGGTTCCATTGAGGACCACATGCTGAGTACGGCCTGTCAGCCAGCTATGAATCCATCTGGTGGTGATGCTGTGTACGCCACATTTTTCTATCTTGTCAAGTAGTAGGTTGTGATCTACTTTATCAAATGCCTTACTGAAGTCCAAGTAAATTATATCCACAGCATTCTTCTGAGCCACTAATTTTGTCACTTAGCCAAAGAATGCAATAAGATTTGTCTGGCATGATCTGTTTTTGACAAACCCATGTTGGCTTTTAGTAATGACTTTGTGTCTCTAGGTGTTTGCTGATTTGTTGTTTGATTATCTTTTCCAGAATCTTCCCAGGTATTGAGGTCAGGCTGATAGGTCTGTTATTTCCTGGGACCATTTTTTTCCCTTTTTTGAAGATGGGAACTACATTAGCTCTTTTCCAGTCCTCCGGTAGTTCCCCAGTGCTCCAGGATCTTTGAAAAATATAGTTCGGGTCAAAAGAGAAACTACTGTTCTTAAAATTCTGCAAAATATGTGTAAATATTTGTGAAATACCCAGGAATGTTAGTTTCCAAAGATATTCTAGTGTATTTGTTATGCAGAAAGTGGTTCAACTCGAATGCTATGTGGTTGCCAAATATAATGCGAATATATTAGCAAAAGGGACAGAAAACTCAAAAACAGCAATAAATGCATTTTTAAAGCAGGCTATTATAGGTTTATTCAATAGTGTTCTGGCAGACAGTTTTCAGAGTGTTGCTTTGTGTTTAGTCAGGCCTAAAAGCCATCAACAGAAGCAGCTTAATAAACTTATCCCTTGGCTGTGCCATGCAGTGTAGCAGAATTGGCTTCTGTTACAGCTGATAGAGGACCTGCAGAAACTGATTACTGTGTGTTGGTGGATATCCATCCTTCTATAGCATTTCCCTCCCTTTTGATTTTAAGTTTCCTTCCAGCAATCAGAATTCCATTTCAGATGTCAATTGCTCAGGCCTCACCACTACTTGTTTCTTGCAATACCTTTAATTTTGGAGTTAAAAGTTAACAATACTAAACCCCAATCGAAGAAGCCATTACCTGGACAATCCAACTATACCTTTTATACAAGAGAGATGAAATTTTGCCAATAGGATAATCAGATGTTTCCTTGTGGCAACAAATCAGAAGTCTAGAAACTAATTTCTATGAAGAGTGATTGAAGACTTTTAATTAGGGAAGCACCAATTCCTTCAGTGTTATCTTTCCTTTCACTTTCGTTTGTATTGCATCTGTTGATTGCAAATAGGGAATGTCTTAACTTCTGATGCATGTATAACATTTTAAGTATATTCTAGGTATAAATATGACGTGTTCATGTTCTTTTGGCAAGGAGAAAAGGGGACAATGTGAATATTGTCTATTTATCCTCTTTTAATAAAGAATTAAAACATCAGTTTAGAAGTTGTGGTTCTAACAAGTAGTTCCAATAATCATATTCCTGTGGGTCTAATCTAGTAAGGGACAGGATGTGCAAAGAGCACTGTACTTTGTGACTTTATTTGGCTAGTAAGAAAATAGAAGCAACTCTGAGTAAAGAGAGTGCAGATAGCAGGGTGGGGGAGGAAGCAGCAATTCATCATGCTGTGACTCAGCTCACTACAAGCAAAAAAAAAAAAATTCAAACAACAATTATTTGAATGTTTCTAGTAACAAATGATCCACCCATGATTAGAGAGGAACTGTGGAATAAGATAACATATCTGATAGGACTGCTGGAAACTGTACAGCACTTGCATTCTTTGTCCAGGATTACATTTGCCTGTACTCCTTCAGTTTTGGTTGAAAAGGTTTGGTATGAATGTGTGTTTTTTTAACTTGTCTTTCTGTCAGCAGTAATCTGTTCAAATACCTATGTTCGGGATCACAGCATTAAAAGAATAAGACTCAAACCCACAACAAAGTATTCTGTTGAACACAGGCACAGGCTGCCGGGGATAAGTCTGCACTGTCTGCATCTCAACAATGAAGGGACAAAGGGCAGAAAACATCCTGCAGAAAGCACAGCTCCACAACACGATCCTTTCAGCAGTTCCAAGAAGGCTGCACACCCATTTGCACAACACAGGTGACCCTGAGGACACAGACAAATCTCCAAGTGGCCTCAGATACTCTCTAAAAGAGTACAAATGATCAGCTGTCTGCAAGGAATATAAATCCTTCCATTCCCCACCCTCCAGCCAGAGCTTCAGCTCATCCAAGTTTCTTGGTTGAGAAGCAAAATGTCTTCAAAGAAAAACAAGAAAGTCCAGTTGCCTCTTGAAAAAGCACCTTTGGGACAAGCGTGTCCTGGATGACTGAGAATCTCCATAGATTTTCACAGACAAGATCTACGTACTATCCACTTGGCAATGAATTCCTCTGGAGCCAACCATCTTGTGTCTCCATCCCATGGTCTCCAAGCTAACCTTGTGTAGCTACTCGAAATTTCAACCAGAATAATAGAGTTGGAAGGGATCTTGGAGGTCTAGTCCAACCCCCTTCTCAAGCAGGAAACCCTCTATCATTTCAGACAAATGGTTAACCTATCTGTTCTTAAAAACTCAAGTGTTGCAGCTACCACAATTTCTGAAGGCAAGCCATTCCACTGATTAATAATTATGTCAGAAAATTTCTCCTTGATTCTAGGTTGGTTCTTTCCTTGATTAGTTCCCACTCATTGCTTCTTGTTCTTTGTTCAGGTGCTTTGGAGAATAAGTTGGCTCCCTCTTCTTTGTGGTTGCCCCTTGGATATTGGAACAGTACTATCATGTCACCCCCAATTCTTCTTTTTATTAAATTAGACATACTGAATTCCTGCAACAATTTTAGCCTTTAGTCCCGCAATCATCTTTATTGCTCTTTTCTGCATTCTTCCTAGAGTCAGTCCTTCCAGTCTTAATCTGAGGAGATGGACACTGTGTCACTATCAGAAGTAGATAAGGAGAAAGAACTGGAATCACTCTGCAGAAGTGTCAGGCTTGATTGGTTCAGTTTGGGTAGCTGTGAAATAAGGATAGCTAGTTTTTCTGTGTGGGGTCCCCAGGGAAATGTTTGAAGGAATAATTTTAAATATTCC